GCACACGTGGTTTTATTGTTTGTGTTTTTCTCAGTTATGGCCAAGGTCAAGCATGGAGAGGCTTTTAGGAACTTGGGTAGAGAGAGACCTCAGGCTGCTCCACCTTCTCCATACACAATTGTGTGTTGAAGGGCCTGGGAAAGACCATAGTCCCTGTCTTGGGTGCCACGCTGTCTCTTGAGCGTGAGCACTCAGTTCTGTGTTGTAGTTAGTTTACTGTTTGTTTATTCATTATTTATTTCTGCACTTCGCACAGAAATCTGCTTCCTGGGAATTTCCAGCTGTGCTTGCTGATTTTAGTTTCTTCCTCTGGAATAACTTGTATCTATCTTTCTCTTTTGGGGGAAACACTGTTAAGTTGTCTTTCTATGAGCTGTGTGTGGCTGGCTCTTTCTTGTTGTAGTTTCTGGGCACCCTGTACATCGTAGTAAGTCTTCCAGGGATAAACAATGCCAGCATTGTCTCAGAATGAGCACCCAGAATTAAATTCCTGCCAGAGTACTTTCTATATGTAAGCTTTTCTTCCTTTTTAAAAGAATTCTAATAATAGTTTTTAGTTAAAGTCTGGTTTGTATTTTAAAAACCACAGTGTTGTTACCAATAATACATTCATGAAGTTGGAGTAAATAAAAAGTAGAAGCCATTCTGATGCTCGGGGAATTCCAGTGTAGTTGTAGCTCTGTGTCCTGTGTCGGGGGGCAGTGTACAGACGGCTGGGTCCCCTGCCAGTGTGCTGGTGAGCGCAGGTCTCTGCTTTTTGACATCTACTTTGCGCATTCTTTTCACATGTATGCCTGGTCTTACAGAACCTTTTCTCATCTTTTTTTTTTTTTTTTTTTTTTTTTTTGACAGATACAGTTAGACAGTGAGAGAGAGACAGAGAGAAAGGTCTTCCTTCCATTGGTTCACTCCGCAAATGGCCACAACGGCCAGTGCTGTGCCGATCCGAAGCCAGGAGCCAGGTGCTTCCTCCCCGTCTCCCATGCAGGTGCAGGGGCCCAAGCACTTGGGCCAAACCCCACTGCCTTCCTGGGCCACAGCAGAGAGCTGGACTGGAAGAGGAGCAACCGGGACTAGAACCGGTGCCCATATGGGATGCCGGCGCTGTAGGCGGAGGATTAACCATGTGAGCCACGGTGCCAGCCCCTTTCTTATCTTTCTAAAGATTTTTTTTTTTTTTTTACTTGAAAGGCAGAGTTACAGAGAGAAGGAGATACAGAGAGAGAGAGAGAGAGAGAGAGGTCTTCTGTCTGCTGGTTCACTCCCCAAATGGCAGCAACAGCTGGAGCTGGGCCAGTCCAAAGCCAGGAGCCTGGAGTTTCTTCTGGGGCTACCATGTGGGTGCAGGGGCCCAAGCTCTTGGCCCATCTTCCACTGCTTTCTCAGGCATATTAGCAGGGAGCTAGATGGGAAGTGGAGCAGCTAGAACTGGAACTGGTGCTCATATGGGATGGCAGTGTTGCAGGTGGCAGCTCTAACCTGTCACGCCACAACGCTGTCCCCAGGACCATTTCTTAAAGAGTTTTCCTTGTCCATTGGATTGCTTTGGTCTCGGGTGTCCTTGGTGCCCTGTGCTGGTTGGTCCTTTTCGAGCACTGCCCTGAACTCTCTGCTTGCTTCTCTCTTTCAAGAATCTTTAAGCTCACTGACTCTTGTGCACACCCACACTGCTATTAAGCTTGCCCAACACATTTGTCATTTCAGATGTCGTATGTGTCAGTTCTAGGGCCTCTATTTGACTCTTAAGTGTCTTTTTCTATCAAGATTTCTTCTCATCTTTTTTACTGTGTGGTTTTCACTGTGCCCTTGGGCATACTTATTGAAACCACTTTGACATTGCTCTCTGCTGATTCTAGGATATGGGTCCTTTTGGGCTTGTCTTCTCTCTCCTCTCTTCTCTCTTTTTTCTTTTCTCCTCTCTCCTCTCCTCTCTCTCCTCTCTCCTCTCTCCTCTCTCCTCTCTCCTCTCTCCCCTCTCTCTCCTCTCTCCCCTCTCTCCCCTCTCTCCCCTCTCTCTCCTCCTCTCCTCTCCTCTCCTCTTCTTTTCTCTTCAAGCAGAGTTACAGACAGAGAAGTCTTCCATCTTCTGATTCACTCCCAAAGTGGCCGCAACAGCTGGAGCTGAGGCAATCTGGAGCCAGGAGTTTCATCTGGGTCCCCCACGCTGGTGTAGGGGCCCAAACACCTGGACCATCTTACACTGCATTCCCAGGCCATCAGCAGAGAGGTGGATTGGAAGAGTAGCAGCCAGGACATGAACCGGTGCCTGTACGGGATGCCCTTATGGGATGCCGGCACTGCAGGCGGAGGCTTAAACTACTACACTGGCTATGATGGCCCCTCTTTTTTTTTTTTTCTTTTATAAAAACTTATTACTTTGAAAGGCAGAGCAAGAGAGAGAGAAATCTGCATCCAAATGGCCATAACAGTCAGGGCTGGGCCAGGCTGAAGCCAGAAACATACTCCTCTCACATGAGTGGGCAAGGGCTCAAGTACTTGCATTAGCGGGAAGCTGGATCAGAAGCAGAGTAGCCTGGACTGCAGCTGGCTCTCTGATAGGGGCTGCTGGTGTGGTAAGTGGCAGCTTCACCCGCTGTGCCTCAGCACTGGCCGCATTGCTTGTCTTGAGAGTCTGGCTCATGGGTTCCTGCCTATCTGTATGCTTCAGTTTGAGTTGGGTTTGGGACAGTCACCAATGACGTTAGGAACTTTGAATTCTGTTCTCATAAAGGGGATGATTGCTTTGCTTTCTAACACTTGGTTACCTTGATTGAATTAGAGCTCAAGCTCTTGTCTCTGAAGTCAGGCAGCACCTTGAATTACATTTGGTATTTTGGCTTTTGGGTCTGTTCATGGTTGTGCATGGTTTGGGAGTCAGTCAGAGGTGGAGACTGCAGAATGAACTGGCCGCCTCCCCCAGCTGTCACCTCCATCCTGTCACTCACGCTGAGACTGTCACCATGTTTGAGCTGTGGCATGCATGACCTGGAAGCCTTGCCAGGTTCCGTTCCCTTCTTACAAGTGTAGATTCCTTTACCATGTCATCCACCTACCTTTCCTTATTTTATTATGTTTAATCTAGAATTTATGGTTTTTTGGAATATGTTTGGTCAGATAGGAATGACTTGGCTGTTATTAGATGCAAAACCTTTATCAATTTGTTTTATCTAAAAATAACTTCCTTCTTTTCATTGTAGAACATTTGGGCAGTTTGGATGGGAGAGACACGCATGCACACACACACACACACACACACAGTATTAGCTGTAGTCCTGCTCAGAGCTCATAGTATTCATTCATTCATTCATTCATTCATTTTTATTTGACAGGTAGAGTTAGACAGTGAGAGAGAGAGAGAGAAAGGTCTTCCTTCTGTTGGTTCACCCCCCAAATGGTCGCTATGGCCAGCGCTGCGCCGATCCAAAGCCAGGAGCCAGGTGTTTCTTCCTGGTCTCCCATGTGGGTGCAGGGGCCCAAGCACTTGGGCCATCCTCCACTGCCTTCCCGGGCCACAGCAGAGAGCTGGACTGGAAGAGGAGCAACTGGGACTAGAACCCGGCTCCCATATGGGATGCCAGCGCCGCAGGTGGAGGATTAACCAAGTGAGCCACAGCGTGGGCTCCACTTACAGTATTCGCTGCAGCTGTTGAGACCATGTCTGTCTGCCTCCCCTCCTGTGGGGTCAGCCCTGCATCCCTTTCCCTGAGCTCCTCAGCCTAGTTTGGTGTAAATGTGGTGCCATCCTGTGACAGTTACTCTGTTGTCGTGTCCCCTGAATGACTTTAGGGCCTTTCCCCAGCGAGCGAGCTGTCTGTAGAGGGTTCAGGGGTCATGGTGCTGGGCGATGGCCCTTTGACGGTTCAAGGCGGTTGGGTCAGACAACCCCCTTGCCCTCAGCTGAGGGTAGTCTAGGCGTCTAACGTTTGCTTCCCCAAGTAGGGCTGATACAATTGTACCCTTCAGGAAGCATTTGGCAAACCTGCATCCCTGTCCTTAGCACTTACTGTGGCTGGGGTTACAGCTAAGTCTGCTGACCCAGACCTGGCTAGTTCCTGTCTTCATGGCAGCTTTTTTTTTTTCTTTTTTTCTTTTTTTAACAGATTATTTTTTTAGAGCAGGATTGAGAGGAAGGGAGTTCCATGTATGTCCCTGGCCCCGCACTGTACATCTTTGTTTACTACCGACAGCGCCGTGGGAGGGCTCACGTGTTGTGCTCAGTGAGTCCCTGCTGGCAGGTCGTCACACAGAGCCACAGTTCACACTGTGGACACGTGTGCTGTGGCCGTGAGGGCACACACCTGCCGTACGTGTCGCATACAGTGATTTTCTACCCTAGCGCTCTCTCCACCCCCACCCCAATGCCTGCTAGCCACTGGTCGTTTTTGGTTTTGTTTTTTGCTCTCCCTGGAGTTGCCTTTTCCAGATGTGCTACCCTAGGACAGTAGTTGGAATCATGTGACTTGTGACCTTTCTGACTGCTGCTTTGCTTTTATTTCCACATCTTAAGTAATACACACGCATGTTTCAAATAGCTGTAGGTTGCTAACAGTAAAAATAGCACTTTGAAGATCCAAGACTGTTATTCCTGGGGTTTTAATGTCATTTCCAAGTAGGAAAGCAGTTTAACTTTTTTTTATTACTCCATTTTCTGGGTATGCATTCGCTCCTGGCAGTGTGACTGGGGAGGTCACTAAGCTGTGGTCTTAACAGTGGACTTAGTTTCCCAGCCTTCTGCTCTTGCTTGTTTGCAAAGCCAGTTGGCATCCACAGGACCCTAGTGTGCATTGATTTGAAATTCCATTTAAGACATTTTCCTTACAGAGGTAAGTTAGAACTTTATCATGCACAAACATCCATTAGATGTGGATATTGGAGGATACTGGGGAGATAACATTCCTCACTAACAAGGTCAGGATTTGGGATAATTATGATGGTTTGGTTTGTGTTCATTCTTGAGGTGCCAGAGCTGACTTGGTCTTGTGTATTTGCTCCTTTTTCAGCAGCAAGCCCTCGCGGGGAGTCTGGCAGGGCCCGGCAGTGCCGCAGAGACAGACCCATTCAAGAGGCAGCAGGGGCTGCCACCCACAGGTGTGTCTCAGACACGAGTGAGTGCGTCCCCGCCAAAGAGCAGCGGTTTCTTTCTACTTTGAATGTGAATTTTCCTTTTGCTGTTTATCAGCTGGACAGAGTATTTATATGAACGTTTATGTGCACTGAAGCGAAACATTTGTCTGTTGAAGAGATACATTCCATCTTTTCCATGTGCGTTTGGAGGTTCTTTAGTCACCATGTTATGATTAAATGTAAATTCATCTTTTTGAAGTTGTCTTTTTAAACTGAAATTTTCCTTTAAGTTATAAACTTAATACATCTTAAGGTAAGATTCATACAGCTTGGAAGAGTATAAATTGACATCTGCCTCTGGTTTGATGCCTGTCAACTCTCAGACCACGAGCAGCTACCACTGTTGATGTTGTGTATTCTCACAGGTGTCCTTCTGTCATGGCACAAGTAGTGTCATGTGTGTTGTTTTGGAAGAATCCAAATGTGAAAATATATATAATGTATGTTTCTTTTAAGATGGTGACACAGGAGGCCATCTTTCCAAATCGTATAACTCATTCTTTATGATGGCTGTATAGTATTCCACCACGTGGTGGATTCATTTTTTTATCAGTCAGATCATTATTAGTGTTCATTTGTTATTGCCTCATTTTTTTTCTACAATCAACAGAGGATTGAACATAGAGTCTCATTTATTTCTTGTTTGTCAGTGCCTCTGAGGTGAGAGTGCTCCGTCAGGGTGCGTGTGCAGTCAGGAGTGGTTGATGCTCCATTGCCCTCCAAAGAAAGAGGGCCAGCCAGTTCTCACTGCCATAACAGTTTCTGGATGAGTTGGCCGTTTCATTAGTATGATCAATCTTCTAATCATGGTCGATGTTCCGTTTCAGTGTGATTTTCTTTAATTTTTAGTAAGGTTGGGCAGTGCTTTTTCCCATTTGTTCATCATTTGTGAGTCTGTTCTCTGGCCAGCCTTCCATGCTCTGCCTGTTGTCTGTCTGGTTGCTGTGCTTTTCATGGTGGTTTGTTAGGACCCTCTGACCAGCTCTGTTCTCCATGGGCTGCGTCGACCCTCAGCTGTTGCTTGTCCTTGGCCTTTTTATGATGGCTTTTCTTGCATTGGCGAATTTTTAATGAAAAAAAGTAATATTTATCCACTGTATCCTGTCATACATAGAAAGGCCTCCCTGTTCAAGATTATAAAACACGTACACTTTTTTTTTTACTACTTTTGTGGTTTATTTTTATATCAAACTGCACCTTTTTTGAAAATTATTCTAGAGCAGTCTAAGCGACCTCGACTTGAAGTGGGTCACCAAGGGGTAGTTTTCCAGCACCCAGGGGTGAGCGCAGGAGTTCCTCTGCAGCAGTTAATGCCAACAGTCCAAGGTAAGACCTGGCCTGGCGCCAGCTCGCTCAGCTCCCAGAGAGGGAGGGCATGGCCACTGAAACCCAGGTCAACCAGGCTCCGTGGTTGAGAGCCCCAGTGTCGGAGTGGTCTCTGAGGCTGGGTTATTTCTGTGTCCCACGTAACGCCGTATGGAAAGAGCCCTGTGGACACTCTTGTCCCTCCAGTGGGAGCTCCCGTTCTCACTGTCACTGTGCCTTTCAGTGGCTTCTGTCCCTGTTTCTGCCTTGCTGCTGTTGTGGGGGTGCTCTGTGGTAGTTGACGTCTGTTTCGCTTGATGCTGATGACTGCAAAGCTCGAGCGCCTCTCTCCCTCCTGTGTGCTCACTTGTGCCTTCGGATCTAGCACAACACTCACTGCCCATCGGAGAGTGAGACGGGTCTGTGACTTCCTGGGTGGGAGCTGCTGCACTCTGAAACTGGTGCCCTGGGGTTTTCTTATTTTGCAGGAGGAATGCCCCCTGCCCCTCAGGCCACGCAGCTCACCGGGCAGAAGCAGAGCCAGCAGCAGTACGACCCTTCCACAGGGCCTCCTGTGCAGAACGCCGCCAGCTTGCACACTCCGCCTCCGCAGCTGCCTGCCAGGCTGCCCCCCGCCGGTGTCCCCACTGCAGCCCTCCCGTCTACACTGCAGTATCCGCAGCAGCCACAGGTGGTAGAGGCTCAGACACAGCTTCAAGTCCCGCTGAAGACTCAGCAGCCAAATGTTCCTGTCCCCGCGCCTCTCCCCAGCCAGCTCCCTCTTCCTCCTCCACAGCCCATGCAGCCGGCCCTGCACATCCCGGTGCCTGGGAAGGCCCAGATACAGGCAGCTCAGCTTCCATCCCAGCCACAGGTACACTGGGGACAGACGTTGTTTGTAGCTAGAGGTGAAGAGAAGGAAACACAGTTGCAGAGCTGGCTTGCATCTGTGTGTTTGTCCAAGCACATGTTCTCATAGCAGTTTATTTGCCCAGTTCACAATCAGTTCAGTAGCTACTGTGTATTTTTATGTACTCTGTAGTAATAGTTGCCATTATTTAAATAATAGAAAAGGAATGAATGTGGTAGCTGTTAGTAGTTGGAGCCTGCCCTACTGCCCTGCCCACAATGCTGATGGTCCCACTTGATCTGCTCAGGCACTCTCGGGTAGGTGCAGAGGAACTGGCCCGAGCCCTGGCATGAAGTGACGAGCTGGGCATGAGCCATGCCTCTCAACCTTGCCAGCTCCTCCCTGTGTTTGCTACCGTCCTGAGTAAGGCCCTGCTACAGGTATCTGAAGGGAGTCTCTTTGTGTTGCTATGTAAACAACAGTTGTCACTGTGCACTAACTTCACACGCAGGACCTCTGTCCCCAACGGGTTCTGTCATGAGACTTACTAGTAAAACTTGCTTTCAGGAATCACTGCCTTACAGTGTACGAGGTGGAGAACATTCTCTTGTCTCCTAAGTTACAGTTAGTCTAGAGCTGGCAAAGATGTATCATTCTTGGGTTCTTCTTTAAAGGAAAGAAGGGGGAGAGAGGAAGGGAAAAAAATGGAGATCACCTTCAAGATACAACAACTTTGAACAGCCCTTATCTGGACTGTTGAAGTTTGTTTTTCTTTCTTTCTTTCTTTTTCTTTCTCAGACTAAGTGTTGAACTCTTTACCTAGAATACTTAATCCTCTGTATAAAGCTAAATGAAAACAGATCTTGGTGAAGAACAGGAGAGGGAAGAGGTAGAGGGAGGGGTAGGAGAGCGTGTGGAAGGGCAGGTACAGAGGGAAGAATACGGTGTTCCTGGTGTTGCATTTATGAGATGCACGCAAATAAAATAAACACATGCAGTGAGTCTCTTCTGCACGCATGCAGTGCAGCCGTGGTTTGGGATGCAGTAGCAGGCAGTCCCAGTTCCTAAGGAGAGCTCGGACACAGCCTGCACTTGTTCCAGCAGGAGGGTGCAGGAGCAGTGTCCTTAGTTCTCAGCGACCCTGGCAGGGTCAGTGCAGCCGCTCCTCTCAGCCTCTCCTCCACTGGCACGGGAACTTACCGGGTGCGCTTAGATTCCGGGCCCCTTAGATTCCAGGCCCCTTTTTCCTTTTTTTTTTTTTTTTTAATATAGTCAGTTGATCTTTTTTTTTTTTTTTTTAAGATTTATTTATTTATTTATTTGAAAGAGTTACACAGAGAGAGAAAGGTCTTCCATCCGATGGTTCACTCCCCAGTTGGCCACAACAGCTAGAACTGTGCCAATCTGAAGCTGGGAGCCAGGAGCTTCTTTTGGGTCTCCCATGCGGGTGCAGGGACCCAAGGACTTGGGCCATCCTCTACTGCTTTCCCAGGCCATAGCAGAATCTAAGCTCTTTTGGATTATTTGAGATTTATAGCCAGGTCTTCAGTGTGGAATGGTAGAATAATAACAGCAATGTGTACTAGCTCCCACTTGTCACTTTGGAGGTGAGGTGTCGGGCCCTGTGATCAGTACTTTGTGAACATTATTCTGGTTTTTTGTTTGTTTGTTTGTTTTTTTATGAAGCAGAATATTTTAAAAACTGAGAGCAGAAAGGCTGAATACGTTGGCAGGACTGTGCAGTCAGCACCTAGTGGGCCTGTGATGGCCAGTGTGCAGGCTGTGTGGGTGCCGTGCCTAGGAAGGCGGCTTCCAGCAGGCAGCGAGCTCCTGCGGTCCCTCCCGCTGTAGATTTTGGTGACATGGTCCCCATGGATGCTTTCTCTCATAGCTGTGGGCAGCTTTAGCAGCCTAGTGGTTTTTCATTTCTTTTAAAATAAGATTTATTTATTTAAAAGGTAGCGTTAAGAAGGTGAGAGAGGGGAAGAGTGCTTTCAATCCACTGGTTTACTCCCAAATGGCTGCAACAGCCAGGGAATTCATCCAGGTCTGTCATGTGGGTAGAGGGGCCCAGGCACTTGGGCCATGTTCCACTGCTTTCCCAGGAGCATTAGCAGAGAGCTGGATCAAAAGTGGAGCAGCCAGGCTGGCACCGCGGCTCACTAGGCTAATCCTCCGCCTGTGGTGCTGGCACACCGGGTTCTAGTCCAGGTTGGGGCGCCAGATTCTGTCCCAGTTGTTCCTCTTCTAGTAAAGCTCTCTGCTGTGGCCCGGGAAGGCAGTGGAGGATGGCCCAAGTGCTTGGGCCCTGCACCCGCATGGGAGACCAGGAGGAAGCACCTGGCTCTTGGATTTGGATCGGTGCAGCGTGCTGGCCATAGCGGCCATTTGTGGGGTGAACCAACAGAAGGAAGACCTTTCTCTCTGTCTCTGTCTCCAACTCTGCCAGTCAAAAAAAAAAAAAAAAAAAAAAAAAAGGAGTAGCCAGGACTCAAACTGGTGCCCACATGGGATTCCAGCACTGCAGGTCGTGGCTTAACCCACTGCGCCACAGCACCAGCCCACAATGGTTTTTCTTAGGTCCATTTACCTGCCTGTGGCATTGAAGAATTAGCTGTGCCAAGTATCTTTAAAGAAGCCCTTTTACAGGGGCTGCTGCTGTGGCATGGCGGATAAAGCCACCACCTGCAGTACCAGCATCTCATGTGGGCACCGGTTCAAGACCTGGCTGCTCCACTTCCGATCTAGCTCTCTGCTATGGCCTGGGAAAGCAGTAGAGGATGGCCCAAGTCCTTGGGCCCCTGTACCCACGTGGGAGACCTGGAGAAGCTCCTGGCTCCTGGCTTCAGACCGGCGCAGCTCTGGCTGTTGAGGCCAACTGGGAAGTGAACCAGGGGATGGAGGATTCATATGCTCGCTCGCTCGCTGTCTCACTCTCTGCCTCTCCTTCTCTTTCTGTGTAACTTTGACTTTCAAATAAAGTAAATGAATCTTAAAAAACTCTTACAGAGTCTGTGGAAACCTCTTAATTGTAGGTCAGGCTGGGCTTGGCAGACTCCCGCTGTGAGGGGCCAGGTACTGTGACTGTGCTGGCCTTGTAGGCTGGTTAGGTTCTGAAGGGTGTGCACAGCCATCATGACCTGCAAGTGAATGGGTGTGCTGTGTCCCTGTGAACTTCATCTCCAGAAGTGTGTGGCCAGCCGTGGTCCCCTTCTGCCCCAGTGGAAGTGTGTGGCCAGCCATGAGTAGGAAAATCCCTTTAACTAGGGGAGGGGCCCATGTGTAACAGGCTGCTCACTGGGGGTGGAGAGGCCGTCTTGGTGGGGCCCATGTGTAACAGGCTGCTCACTGGGGGTGGAGAGGCCGTCTTGGTGGGGCCCATGTGTAACAGGCTGCTCACTGGGGGTGGAGAGGCCGTCTTGGTGGCCTCTCTGGGCTGTACATGTGCTGTCTCTGGTGCCTGTCTGTACATAGCCCTCATTCCAGCTTCACCTTCCTTGCTAAGTTGATGCCCCCTTCTCTCCAGGATTTACGGATGAATTGGCTTTAGTCTTTAGTCAGGGGTCAGATTTTCCTTTGGTTCCGCAAGCTTGGGTCTGGATGCACAAGGGCGAGTGGAGCTTGCAGCCTGTGGGATCTGCATCCGCTCTGCACAGCAAAGATGGAAAAGGAGTATTTGGTATTTTTCAGTTAGGAAAAAGCTTACACAGTTAAGTTTTAAATTTTACAAAAATAGAGGAGAAAAGGCTGGGAAAAGTGAAAAGAACAGACCAGAGCCAGATCATACCAGTGCTAAGACAGCTGGGAAGGCAGTGGGAGGCAAGGGGCCTCGGGTTTTGTGGGCACAGTGTGCTGTGTGGTACTCCCTGTGGTCTCCTTGACCACTTTGCCCTTGTGGCACTGAGAGGCAGCTGACTGCCCTGCTGGGTGGACTGTGTGGATGTCCTGAAATGCGTCTTGACCTTGCTGTGCTTCTCCTCTGCCTGCTAGACAGTGGCATCCACACGGCCACCCATGGACTCTGCCCAGCCCTGCCAGCGGCCTCTGCCCACTTCCTCGTCTACCTCGTCCCTTGCACCTGTGAGTGGCCTAGGCTCAGGACCCCTGCCTGCGCGGTCATCACCAGTGAACAGACCTTCCTCATCAACCAACAAGGCGCTGTCTCCTGTTGCTTCCCGGTCTCCAGGGGTGGCTGTGTCAGCCGCACCCAAACCACAGAGCCCTGCTCAGAACGCTGCCTCGTCCCAAGACAGTTCTCAGGAAAAGCTCGCAGAACAAATGACACTGGTGAGTGCACTGAAGGAGAAGTGCTCAGAAGCACATTTCACTGCGATTTTTAAGGATGTGACCTGTTTTTTGAAATACAGGCAGAGGTTCAGGCTTCAAATACTTGCAATAGCGGAGACTGGGCTGGGGTGAAGCCAGGAGCCAGCAGTGCAATCCAGGTCTCCCACATGTTGTATCAGGAACCCAGTAACGTGAGCTATCACTGCTGCCCCCCAGGGTCTGCCTTGCAGAAAGCTGGAGCCAGGGGCCGGTGCCGTGGCTCACTAGGCTAATCCTCGGCCTTGCGGCGCCGGCACACCGGGTTCTAGTCCCGGTCGGGGCGCCGGATTCTGTCCCGGTTGCCCCTCTTCCAGGCCAGCTCTCTGCTGTGGCCCGGGAGTGCAGTGGAGGATGGCCCAAGTGCTTGGGCCCTGCACCCCATGGGAAACCAGGATAAGTACCTGGCTCCTGCCATCGGATCAGCGCGGTGCGCCGGCCGCAGCACGCCAGCCGCGGCGGCCATTGGAGAGTGAACCAACAGCAAAGGAAGACCTTTCTCTCTGTCTCTCTCTCTCACTGTCCACTCTGCCTGTCAAAAAAAAAAAAAAAAAAAAAAAAAAAAAAAAAAAGCTGGAGCCAGGAATCAGACTCAGGCACTCCGGTGCAGAGTGTGCATGTCTTGACCCTAGGCTGAGAACACCTGTCCCAAGGGTGTGATAGCTTGAAACTGCAGACTTCATAGTGTGGGCATTGAGCATGGTGTGTGATGGTAGAAAACCAAATGTTTCACCTGCTGTGGAGGAAGCAGACTCCAGTGGCGAAGGTCTTTTTCTTGTGATGATCAGCAGTGTTGGGCTACTTTCTGGGCAGCCAGGTGTGAGGGCTGGGAAGGGAGAGAGTCAGAGTGGGCTGACGGCTCTGCGTCAGGCAGAGATGAAGCCCTGGCTGTGGCCCATCGTGGAGATTGACTACCCAGCACTTAGCCCTTGGTTTTTATTGCATAACTAAGCATTTATTTTGTTCAGCTTCGTTAGGGAAGTTAAACAAATAGGGTAGGCAGATAGCCTAGCTGTTTGGACGTACACCTGCCAAGAGTGCTTCCTGCTAATGTAGAACCTGGGGTGATGGCTCAGGTGGCTGAGTCCTTGCCACCCATGTGGGAGACCTGGGGCGAGCTCCTGACTTTGGCCTAGCCCAATTCTGACTGTTGTGCTCATTTGGGGAGTGAACCAGTGGATGGGGAAGAGTTGTTTGCACTTGGCGCTCTCTTTTTCTGTCCCCCCTTCTCCTCCCTCTCCCCTCCAGTAAATACTTTTTTTAAATAACGAAACATCAGATAGGAGGTTGTAACCCCAGTGGTCCCCCTGACCTGGCATCACAGTGGTCAGTACCTGGTGCCACACTGCAGCACTGTGCAGCGTGTGCAGTCTGCAACACAGGACAGTCTTGTTTGCTCAGTTCTTCCCCTTTCCGATGGTTTTGGAGCAGATCCCAGGTGTCATGCTGTTTCCTTTGTCAACACGTGGGGTCCTCCCTGTGTTTTAGGGGAGAATAAGACTTGTTGCCCCATCTGCTCCAAAGGCTTCCAGGGCAGTCACAGGCTCATCTGCCTGAGCTTCTGGAGCCAGCTCAATCTTTGTGTCCAAGTCTTGAAACTGTGGCTTCCTGAGGGTTTCTTCATTAGGACTGATAGAGCCGTGCACATGGCAGGGTTTCGAATGTTTGGGGTCTGAAGTAGCAGACTGTGCTAGATAATTTTTGCACTGATGTCACCTCCCTGTCCAACTCTTGCAGGAAAACCAGATCCACCAGCGGATTGCAGACCTAAGGCGAGAAGGCCTGTGGTCTCTGCGGCGGCTGCCAAAGCTGCAGGAGGCCCCCCGGCCCAGGTCCCACTGGGACTGCCTGCTGGAGGAGATGCAGTGGATGGCCACAGACTTCGCCCAGGAGAGGCGGTGGAAGGTGGCTGCTGCTAAGAAGGTAGGGCTGAACACAGGCTGCCCTTGAGCTGTGCTGCCATGGTAACTGGGCCTTGCAGACTGACTCTGAAGGCTTTGACTACTATAATCCCTTCCAGTGGTTTGTGTGGTGACTTTGCCATGCGAGTCGTTCTGAGGAATGGTGTTAGGTTTGGTGTTAGGAGAACCAGTGTGGACCATGGAGAGCAAGTGGTCTGGAATTCGGGTGCCTTCCTGCCAGTTTCACCTACAGTTGGAATCAGGGTGTCCCTAGCACCCAGGCCCAGGCTGGTGCCCAGGGCTGGTCAGGGAGCTGAGGAGGCTGAGAGCCAGGAGGGCAGTGTTGTAGGAGGGGCTGCAGACTGCGCCCCTGACCCATGCTTAACTCTACCGAGGCTTCTGGTCCAGCTTATTCTCCAGTTCTGAGTAAGAATTTATTTCATTTTTACTGTACCCAAAGCACACATACAGGAGGCACAGCTTCTAACTCCAGAAATTTGGGGATAAGCCCTTCCCCCATGTTCTATTCTCCCTGTGTCATGCACCCCCGTCTTCATGTCTAGGGCCTGTATTCATATTTCCTGTACTCTTATGGTGTAGTCAGTTATTTGTCCCTTGCCCTGTCTGCTTCTCTCCATGAATTCTCACCATCTTTCCCCATCAAGGTCAGGGAGGGAAAGGCTGAGACCACTGGGATATACAAGGTTTCAAGTCAGATTCAAGACTGTTCCTTCTGGCAGCTCATAAAGAAGCATGGTCCTGGGCATGTGGACAGCAGCTGGACAGGTCGTGGTTGGGTGGCAGGGCACGGTGGCACTGGTGAGGCTGGGCTGGCTCGTAGCACAGTGTCCTGGTGGGGCAGTTGGGTCATTTCCATTCCTAGAACGGGATGATGGTGACTGCAGGACCAGCCCCTCTGTGCTATCAGTTCTAATTCACGTCTCTGCCTTTTTAGTGTCCTGTTGGTAGATGTGTAGAGTATATAGTGCGGAAAGCAGTTTGGCAGTTTAAGGCAAAAGCCTTAAAACTGTGAGTTATTGTAGCCCAGCAGTTTCCACATGTAGGAATTAGGTAAATTTTGCTGCCATCTGTGCAGTGAAGTACTGTGTACCACATTGAAAGTCCGTGATCCCTGCTGCGTGAGCGGACAGAAGCTAACCAGGTACTCAGTGGGGAAAGGCTGGAGTGCTGTACAAGGTTCCAGTTTTGGGAAAAATAGCATGTGTTTAGTAAAAGAGTGGGTTTTTTAAGATTTATTTATTTATTTGAAAGAGTTACACAGAAAAGGAGAGGCAGAGAGAGAGAGGGAGGGAGGAAGGGGGGGAGGGGGAGAGAGAGGTCTTCCATCCGATAGTTCACTCCCCGATTGGCTGCAACAGCCAGAGCTGCGCCATTCCGAAGCCAGGATCCAGGAGCTTCTCCAGGTCTCCCACATGGGTGCAGGAACCCAGGGACTTGGGCCATCTTCTACTGTTTTCCCAGGCCATAGCAGAGAGCTGGATCAGAAGTAGAACAGCCAGGTCTTGAACCGGTGCCCATATGGGGTGCTGGCACTGCAGGTGATGGCTTTAGCTGCCACACCACAGCACCAGCCCCGTAAAAGAACGTTTTCTAGAAAAGTTCAGCCAAGTGGTGTTGGTGGTCTTTCTGTGCCACTCTCTCATGCACTCTACGAACATAGGAGGGCATATTTGACAGTCAATTTCAGGTGACTTAAGGCTGAGAAGACAGTGCAACAGAAGGCTCTTGTGTTTTCATTCACTAGCTCGTCAGAACTGTGGCACGCCACCATGAGGAGAGGCGGGTCCGCGAGGAGAGAGGCAAGAAGGAGGAGCAGAGCAGACTGAGGCGCATCGCTGCATCGACTGCCCGAGAAATAGAGTATTTTTGGTCTAACATTGAACAGGTGAATTCTGTGAGGCTGCCTGCCTCAGATACAAGGCCATGAGGCTGATTGCACAGGCACAGTTGTTAGGGTGAGCTGAGACCCAAGTCCTGAGACCCAAGTGCTGGGTTATTGGCTTGTTGAAATGCTTAGGATGAGCTGCACTGACCTCTGTGTTTGTCTTTGCACCTGGAAGACACCTAGTGCAGTCTGCAGGCATCGAGATGTCTGAGAGCCCTGGTGAGACTTTGGGAGACTCCCTGTAGTGTTAGTGGAAGTCTCAGCAGCAGAGGGCTGCCCCAGTGTGCCTGGGTGCACACAGGCACTCCTCACCCAGTCTTTCTCAGCTTACCTGCCTCCTGGTAGGATTTGAACTCAGTGCAGACAGAGACAGAATAAATGAAAACACCAAACTGGGAATTTCTTCTTGAAGAAATTTGAAATGAGGTTGGACAGCTGTGCATTTGAACTGCTGTATCTATGAGTTTTAAAGTTTGTGTGCTGACTTCTGTAGTTTGCAGCCTTAATGCTATTATTTATTCTCTTTGTATTTAGGTTGTCGAAATAAAACTACAAGTAGAATTAGAAGAAAAAAGGAAAAAGGCCTTAAATTTACAGAAAGTTTCCAGAAAAGGTACGATTCTTACAGAGGAAAGCCTTAACAAGTCCCGGACTGTCCTTCGTGTAGGTTACTGCTCACAGGGCCGCTTCATAGGAGCCGCTAGCCACCAGGGGACCGGCGTTTGCCGGTGGCTTGCCAGCATCTGGTCTGCTCACTGCCATGCCTCCGTGTGCCGCCACTCGAGCTTTGGTTGTGTTGCGAGGTGTCTGTGAGAGTTAGCACCCCCAGCTGGGTTACTCTGGGTGTCCTCAGCATCGAGGTTCTCAGCCTGCTCTGCAGTCAGTCCCTGGCCAGTGAGGTGTGCTCACCCAGGGGTCTGTCCCATGTGGGTCCTTCTGGGGATCTGTCCTGTGTGGTGCTGGTGCGGTGTTTGCATGGACTCCTGGAGTCCTCACTCCACAGACTCCCTACTTGCTGGACTCCTTGGTGTGTGCCCTGCACAGAGGAGGTGATGTCTGTGGTCTCCTTTGATCACAGAACACCCCTGGGAGGATGAGTGTGAGCCTTGCGTGTTCCTCGTGAGGAAGCAGCCTCAGAGGGGGCCCCTGCAGAGGGCGTAGAACTTGAAGATGGGAGAGTGGCTGCTGTGAGTTGTAGGAGGAAGAAGGCAGCAGGCCTGGGCCAGGCAGAGGTGCCCTCCTCGAGTGTGAAGAACATCTGCTCTCTGCAGCCTCGGTGAACACTAATCACGTTCTGTATTTCTTCAGGGAAGGAGTTGAGACCCAGGGGATTGGAAGTATTACCAGAACATTTCCTGGTGAGTTCAGGGTTGTGGCTGCCCTCTGGCACAACGCACATGTGGACTGGAGGGAGTGCTGCCTAGACAGATCTGTCTCTGGTGGTTGTTTCCTTTCCTTACAGAGTCAGCCCAGTGTGACAGTGAACCCATCCTCCCTGGCGTTAGTCTGCATAGGGTGTTCATTTGGCAGTTTGGCAAGATGCAGCCAGGCACAGTGACTGTAGATTTGTGTCCTTGTTCTGCTGCCTGGTGTCTTTCCCACAAGTGGAGGCTCAGTGTCCATGGGTGCCCAGGGCCTTTTGCCGTCCTTGTGGGTTATGCACCTTGGCTTCCCGTTCTGTTTTTTGAGCTTCTGTCTATTACTTTCATTCTGTGTTTCAGGATTCCAGAGTATCTGGAAGAAAGAGAAAAGCAAGCACGTCCTTGACTGATGATGAAGGTCTGTCTCCACCCCCTGGTGCTGTCTGTGCCATGTGGCTCACATGCAGTCACTCTTGGTGCTGGGGGGCGGGGGGCACTGTTGGGGGGTGTGCACCTCTGTGTCCATCCAGACGTCCCCAGTGCACAGAGTTCTTCAGGATCCCTAGCATCCTTGGCAGGTTTTTTGGAGCATCACAGAGGTAGGTGTCTTTTGTGAGTTTGGAAATGCAGCTGTATCTGGGGCTCAGAGTAGATGTGTCAGATTGGGGTCATGTCCACGGTGACCCTGGATGGCTGCGTGTGGGTTCCCTACGGGGACCTCAGCAGCTACACAGAAAGGGGGACATTGCTCCGTGTGCTCTGAGATCTGTTGTGTGTTGAAAACCCAGGACTGTAATCATAGCTTGAAATGAGAGGGAAAGCACACTTTCCAGTTTCTTGCTCATTTAATAAATGATCCTTGCCGACTTTCACCTGCGAATCACAAAGCTCAGTTTTAATCTCGTCAGTAGCTGTGGAGAAACAGTTTGGAAGCCCTGTAGTGTTCAGTGAGCAACTGGAAAGCTCAGAGGGACTATCCTGCCCCCTGACTCCGATGGTGCCCATTTTAGTGGAAGATGAAGAGGAGACCATTGAAGAGGAGGAAGCACACGAAGGGGCCGTCGATCACCAGACAGAACTTTCTAATTTAGCCAAAGAAGGTAGGCCTCATGATCGTATTGAAAACTGCTTTTCTTTTAAATAGGCACAAAAAACTATGAAAAGTGTGTGTCAGGTGCCGACTGCACAGGACATAGAGTGCAAGTGCCGTCACAGCTGGCAGTGCCGTAGCCTTGGTCTCGGCACCTGATGGTTCACGTGGGTCCCTCTCTGGACTCTTGTTCCCACCACCTGCTTACATCTCTGAATAACAGTGTAGCCAGGGGTGCGCGTGTGAGGACTTTGGTGAACAGGGTCAGGCTTGTTCTGCTCAGTCATCCCTCTCCCAGGGGCCTCCAGACCGTAGTGTGTGAAGCCATTGCTTGCTGCTTTTGTGCCACTGAGGGACGCCAGTGTCCCGTTCCTCCCTTGCAGACAGCGCTGCTGTGAGCCTCCTTGCAGCGTGCCTGTGCATTGGCTTGGGCATAGCACTATGGGCCGGGAGCGCATGGCACTGTCTGGGAACCATGCCGCCTTGTTTAGATTGGCCGCCCGTGCTTCACGTTCAGAGGTGCTGGGCATTGTCCACCCATCTGGTGGCTCTGTGATTGCTGATGGAGTTTCTTTCCAGCTGTGTGGCACAGTTATGTACAGTGCCGTTCTGGAAAAGCTTGTCTTTCCTCACCAGTAAACCAAGTTCCTTATACCTGGCGCTTTCCGGGGTCAGTACTGTCTGATGGCTCATTTGTACCAGTTTCTGTGTTGGTACCACAGGTTTATAATAGTTCTTGATACCTGGTTAGGCAAGTTCTTCCACGTTGCTCTTCTTTTAGGAGAATCTTGACTGTTGTTGAGATGTTTCAAGTACACATTAGAATCAGGTCGTTGGGGCTGGCGCTGTGGCAGAGCAGGTAAAGCTGCTGTCTGCAGTGCTGGCATCCCATATGGGTGCTGGTGCAGGTCCCAGCTGCTCCTCTTCTGATCCAGCTGTCTGCTATGGCCTGGGAAAGCAGCGGGAAATGACCCAAGTGCTTTGGCCCCTGCATCTGTATGGGAGACCGTGAAGAAACTCCTGGCTCCTGGCTTCAGATTGGCCCAGCTCTGGCTGTTGCGGCCATTAGGAGAGTGAAACAGCAGATGGAAGAGCTCTCTCTGCCTCTGCCTTGCTGTAACTCCACTTTTCAAATAAATAAATAAATCTTAAAAAAAAAAAAAAAGAAATTTGGGGGGGATTATTATGGATTCTTAAAGGCCTGGCACTGAGGGAGTTTGCTCCAGAGAAAGTTTCTGTTAACTTCAATCTGTGCTCTTTTATTTATTTATTTATTTATTTTTTGGACAGGCAGAGTTAGACAGTGTGAGAAAGAGAGACAGAGAAAAAGGTCTTCCTTTCCGTTGGTTCACCCCCCAAATGGCCACTGTGGCCGCTGTGCTGCGGCTGGCATGCCGTGCCAATCCAAAGCCAGCAGCCAGGTGCTTCCTCCTGGTCTCCCACGCGGGTGCAGGGCCCAAGCACCTGGGCCATCCTCCACTGCCCTCCCAGGCCACAGCAGAGAGCTGGCCTGGAAGAGGAGCAACTGGGACAGAATCCGGCGCCCCAACCGGGACTATAACCCGGGGTGCTGGTGCCGCAGGCAGAGGATTAGCCAAGTGAGCCACGGCGCTGGCTTATTTATTTAATTTTTTTAAAAGATTTATTTATTGGAAAGTCAGTTTACAGTAAGAGAAGGAGATTCAGAGGGAGAGATTTTCTATCTGCTTGTTTACTCCCTAGATGTCTGCAATGGTCAGGATTGAGCCACGTGGAAGCCAGAAACCAGGAGCTTCATCTGGGTCTCCCACAAGGGTAGCAAGGTCCCAAATACTTGGGCCACTCTCTGCCATCAGCAGAGCCATCAGCAGGACTTGGATTGGAAATGGAGCAACTGAGACATGAACTAGCACCCACATGGGAAGCTTAACACACTATGCCACAATGCCAGCCCCTTACGTATTTAAAATTTTTATTTATTTTTCATTTTATTTGAAAGACAGGTAGACAGAGGTCTCCCATCTGCTGGTTCATTCCCCAGATGTGTCCCAATAGCCAAGGGCAGGGCCAGGTTGAAGCTCAGAGCTCAGAATTCAGTGCAGGTCTCCCTTGTGGATGGCAGGGGCCCAAGTATTTGAGCCATCATCTGCCGCCTCCTAGGATGGTCATTAGCAGGAAGCTGGACGAGAAACAGAGGAGCCGGGACTTAAACCATATGAGATTTGGGATGTGGGTGTTCCATGTGGCGGCTTAACCGTCGTACCAAATGCCTGTGCTCTTTTGTTTACAGTGCATCTCCTATAAAGTGATTGCTGACCGACAACTCTGTTGACATTGGAGCATTTAGTACATTTGTGTTAAATTGAAGTGCATTCTAATTGAGTTTAGATCTATTGCCATTTTTTAAAAAGATTTATTATTTGAATGTCGGAGTTAATAGAGAAGGAGGGAGAGACAGAAAGAGATCTTCCATCCATCGGTTCACTCGCAATGGCCAGTGCTGGACCAGGCCGAAGCCCAGAGCCAGGAGCTTCCAGATCGCCCATGAGGGTAGCAGGGGCCCAAGCTCTTGGGCCATCTTCCGCTGCCTTTCCTCGGTCATCAGCATGGAACTAGATGGGAAGTGGAGGAGCCAGGACACAAATAGGATGTCAGTGTTGCAGGCAGTGGTTTGACCCACTGTGCCGGCCTCAATCTATCATCATTTTAATTTGTTTTCTGGCTTCCTCATCTGTCATTTTTAAAAATTATACATATTTGGGGCCAGTGCTGTAGCGTAGTGGGTTAAGCTGCCACCTGCAGTGCCGGCATCCCATTTGGGCACTGGTTCAAGTCCTGGCTACTCCACTTCCCATCCAGCTTTCTGCTGTGGCCTGGGAAAGCAGTAGAAGATGGCCCAAGTCCTTGGGCCTCTGCACTCGCGTAGGAGACCCAGAAGAGGCTCCTGGCTCCTGGCTTCGGATCGGCGCAGTTCCGACCACTGCGACCATTTGGGGAGTGAACCAGCGAATGAAAAACCTTTCTCTCTCTCTCTCTTTCTCTCTCTGCCTCTCCTTCTCTGTGTAACTCTGACTTTCAAATAAAATAAATATTTTAAAAAAGAGAAAAAAGGAAAAAAATTATATGTATTTTACTTAATTTGGAAGGCAGAGAGAGAAAAAGTACTTCCATCTGCTAGTTTACTCCCCAAATGCCAATAATATGGAAGACTGGGCCAGGCCAGTCAAAAACCTGGAACTCCATCGGGGTTTTTCATCTGGGATGAGATGATGCAGATATTTCATCTGTTCCCTGCTGCCTCCCAGAGTGCACATTAGCAAGAAGCTGGATCAGAAATGGAGCAGGAGGGCCGGTGTTGTGGCACAGCGGTAAAGCCACTACCTGCAGTGCCAGCATCCCTTACAGGCACCAGTTTGAGTCCTGGCTGCTCTACTTCCAATCCAGCTCCCTGCTTATGTGCATGGGAAAGCAGTAGAACATGGCCCAAGCCCTTGGGCCCCTGCACCCACATGGGACACCTAGAAGAAGCTCCTGACTCCTGGCTTCAGCCTGGCCTAGCACTGGCTGTTGGGGCCATCTGAGGAGAGAACCAGCAGGTGGAAGATCTCTGTGTGTGTGTCTCTCCCCCTCCATCCCTCCCTCCCTCCCTCCCTGTAACTGTGCCACTCAAATAAATAAAAATAAATAAAAAAAGATACAGTCTATGTCAATAATGGTTAACCATCTTCACTTTTAGGAAAAATAAATGTGCTTTAAAAAATCGAGGTTGAGCATTGCTGATCTGAAAATCCAGTGTGGATCCTGGGTAGTGTGGATTTTGGATATTTAGGTTAGAGACTCTCAGCTGGTAAAATGTGGGAAGTGGAGTCTGAACACTGTGGTCTCCAGCCCTTGGAGTGATGGTACCAGCCTGCGTGCATGTGGCTTCTAGGGCCCTGGCGTTGTAGGTGAGTGACAGTTGTAGAGGACGGCCTCTCCTTGTCCCTGCAGCGGAGCTGCCACTGACCGACTTGGTGAAGCTGTACGAGGGCGCATTTCTGCCGAGTTTCCAGTGGCCACAGCCCAGTCCTGACAGTGACGAGACGAGCGAGGACGAAGGTAGGCCTTTGGTGTTCCTGAAGAATTTAGGTCTAGAAACAGAGGCCAGTACTTACAGAGTAAGTATATAAAATTTTAAAGATCTCTTCATTTTTCTTTTACTTTTGTGAAAGAAGAAATTGGAAATATGTATATATATTTAATCTTATATTGAATAAAAATTAGATTCTGTGCTTTTTATTTATTAATTGGATCAGTTATCAAAGTATTTGATTATGTTGTGAAAAATAGGGAAATATGGTTTTATGGACTAGATTTTTATCATCTTTTTTCCAGCTGTGCTCTGTTTAATAATACAGTAGTTTTAAGTAGTTTGTTCTATTATTTACTAGGTTTTATAAACAGATGCAGACTATACTAAAAAGCCTGTCTTCCCTGTAGTTTGTAGATGCTGTGCAGGGGCCAAAGCATGTGAAGAGGGTCCTCTGGCAGCCAGGCCCTGGCCGCTTCTGGTCCCCTGCTGGCTGCAGGGTTGGCTGGGAGGGGCTGGCCATCTCCTCCTTTACCGCATCTGGGTGATGTTCCAGTTTTTCTGGTTTGGGAGGTGGTGAAAGGGAGACTGCAAAAGCTGAGACACCCTCAGCTCTACCTGTGATGCTCCTCGTCGTGCAGAGCACCTACTCTTGTCTCCACCCATGACTCTCCCCATCCCACAGAAAGCTTCCGAACACCAGGCTGTGTGCTGCCGGTTACACCCTGAGAGCTTTCCAGAAGGGCCTAAATTTGGTGACTTCAGAGAGTCCCTTCCATATATCCAGATAGTGTTGGGTTGCAGACTGACTGCTGCTGAGTGTTACGCTGGGGTTATGTGGGTTCTGTAGACTTCTGTCTTGCAGCACTCCCAGCCTGTGTGTCTCCCTGTTGCAGATGCCGAGGACTGCCCTGGTGAGGGGGAAAGTCGGAGGGACCTGGTCCTCATAGACTCACTTTTCATCATGGATCAGTTTAAAGCTGCAGAGAGAATGAATGTTGGGAAACCCAACACAAGAGACATTGCAGAAGTGACAGCTGTGGCCGAGGCTGTCCTGCCCAAGGGCAGTGCCCGGGTCTCAACTGCGGTGAGATGCTGGGCAAGGGGCAGGGTCTCAGGAGTGTGCGTGTCCCGGTCTCTGATGCTTAGCCAGTTCCTTGTTTCCACCACGGAGGATGTTAGAATAAGCAGTGCCTGCTCTGCCCTCCCTGTTTCCTGTTATTCTTGTGGCTCCCTAATATGGTTCATATGGTTCACCATACAACTCTTTTTTTTTTTTTTTCTCCTAAAGATTATTTATTTGAGGAGCTAGTATTGTGGCGTGGCATGTAAAGCTGCTGCCTGCAATGTCGGCATCCCTTATGGGCACCAGTTCGTGTCTCCACTGCTCCACTCCCTATGCAACTGCCTGCTAATAGTTTGAGAAAAGCAGTGGGGTAAAGAAAAGACCCAGGTATTTTGGGCCCCTGCCACCCATATGGGAGACCTGAAAGAAATTCCTGGCTTTGGTCTGCCTCAGCCCTGGCCATTGCAGCCATCTGGAGACTGAACAGTGGAAGGAAGATCTCTGTTTCTTTTCTTTTCTTTCTTTCTTTCTTTTTTTTTTTTTTTTTAATTTTATTTTAGATTTGTTTATTTATTTGAAAGGCAGAGTTACAGAGAGGCAGAGGCAGAAGCAAAGAGAGAGGTCTTCCATCTGCTAGTTCACTTGTCAAATGGCTGCAGCGGCCAGAGCTGTGCCAATCAGAAGCCAGAAGCCAGCATCTTCTTCCGGGTCTCCCACACGAGTGCAGGGGCCCAAGCACTTGGGCCATCTTCTACTACTTTCCCAGGCCATAACCGAGAGCTGAGTGGGAAGTAGAGCAGCTGGGACACAAACCGGTACCCATATGGGATGCCAGCGCAGCTTTACCTGCTGTGCCACAACACCAGCCTCTCTCTAACTCTAACTCTTAACGCTAAACTCTTAACTCTGACTTTTAAATAAATAAATACATAGGGGCCGGCACTGTGGTGCAGTGGTTAACGCCCTGGCCTGAAGCGCCAGCATCCCATATGGGCGCTGGTTCAAGCCCTGGCTGCTCCACTTCCAATCCAGCTCTCTGCTATGGCCTGGGAAAGCAGTAGAAGGTGGCCCAAGTCCTTGGGCCCCTGTACCCGCATGGGAGACCCAGAAGAAGCTCCTGGTTCCTGGCTTTGGATCAGCGCAGCTCTGGCCTTTGTGGCCAGTTGGAGAGTGAACCATTGGATGGAGGACCTCTCTCTCCTCTCTGTGTAACTCTTTCGAATAAATAAATAATAAAATCTTTAAAAAAATAAATCTATAAAAATACATATATAAAATCTGATTTGAAAGGCGGAGACGGATCTTCCATCCACTGGTTTACTCATGACCCTCTCTCCCTCCCCCAGTGGCTGCAGTGGCCAAGCTGAAACCAGATCTCCACTGGAGTGGCAGGGACCCAGGTTCTTGGGCTGTCTTATGCTACCTTCCCAGGAGCATCAGCAGGAAGCTGGATAGGAAATGGAAAACCTGGGACTCCAGTTGGCACTCTGATATGGGCTGCTGGTTCACAGCATTGACCTCTATCATGGGCTTTTTTTTTTTTTTTTTTTAAGAATTATTTATTTTGAAAGGCAGAGTTACAAAGAGGCAGGGATGGAAGAGAGAGAAAGTCTTCCGTCTTCTGGTTCACTCTCCAACTGACCACAGCAGCCGGCGGTGGGCCAATCTGAAGCCAGGGGCTTCTTCCAGATATCCGATGTGAGTATAGAGACCCAAGGACTTGGATCATTTTCTGCTGCTTTCCCAGGCCATAGCAGAGAGCTGGATTGCACGTGGAGCAGCTTGGTTTGGAACCAGCGCCCATATGGGATGCAGGCACTGCAGGTGGTGGTCTTACCCGCTATGCCATAGTGCTGCTCGCCCTACCCCTTTTTTTGAAAGGCAGAGCCAACTGAGAGAGACAGAGACAGATTATTTTCCATCCACTGGGTCATTCCTCAAATGGCTACAACAGGTCTTGGCCACACCAAAGCCAGGAGTTAGGGACTTCATCTGGATCTCCCAAGTGGGTGGAAGGGACCCAAGTACTTGGGCCATCTTCCCAGGCACTTTAACAGGAAACTGAGTTGGAAGAAGAGTAGCCAGGACTCAAACCAGCACTTTAATATGGGGTGGTGTTGTCAGCTGCACCACAGTGCTGGCCTGCATGGAACTGATTTTCTTTGCGTTATGAGAAAAGGTTTGGAAGATTGTTAGAACACGTCATTCTTTGGCCTGTTGTGTCTCCAGGTGAAGTTCAGCGCCCCGGCTCTATTGTATGGGGCTCTCAGAGACTACCAGCAGATCGGCCTGGACTGGCTGGCCAAGCTCTACCGGAAGAACCTCAATGGCATATTGGCAGATGAAGCTGGGCTTGGTAAAACAGTGCAGATCATTGCTTTTTTTGCTCACCTAGCTTGCAATGAAGGTAAGAGCTTGTTGATTCTTAGGTCTTCTTAGCTTGGCAGTAGGCTGAGGTACCTGATCCTGAGGGTGAGGACGTGGTCCTGTTGTCAACATTGTGCCTGTCCTATGGCCTCAGCAGGGTGTGGCTCAGAGTATTTGCTGTGAGCAAGCAGATAGCCTGTTCCCAGTTGTTTTAGAGTCCAGTGTGGCCCGGATTCCTAGCAGGCTGTGGCTGAGCCCCAGGTGTCAGACGTTGTCTTTCTTGCTCTGAGGGCAGCAAAGCCGGCAGTTCAGCTCCCTGCTGTTGCTCGGCAGACATGAACTGTGCTGTCCCTGTGGTCCTGGCTGCCCATCTAAGCTCATCTGATTTCCTAGTGCTGTAATCTATGTCTTCTCTTGTCTCCGAATGGGTTTTGCTTCTCTGGGCAGCATTTCTGATCTGGGTGTCCTGCACGGGCTCAACTGCTCCTGCAGTCTGAGCCCTTCCAGCCATACTTGGCTCCTTACCTCTTGCCACACAACTGGCACATAGCTTGTGTAGCCCTCTGGCTTCCCATCCACTGCCTGTGTGTTGCTGGCCTTGGTTAGGTGGCTGTGTGCGGTGCCAGCCAGTTGCAGAAGAGGTTGTGCCTGAGCCTCCTGACACAGGACAGGGTCTCACACATTGTTCCTGTGGCAGCAGAAGCGCTCAGGACGGACCTTAGGGGGGATTGTTTAGATACAGACCTTTTTTTTTTTTTTCCCCCAATTTTTTTATTTTTTGACAGGCAGAGTAGACAGTGACAGAGACAGAGAGAAAGGTCTTCCTTTGCTGTTGGTTCACCCTCCAATGGCTGCCGCGGCCGGCGCACCGTGCTGATCCGATGGCAGGAGCCAGGTACTTATCCTGGTCTCCCATGGGGTGTAGGGCCCAAGTACTTGGGCCATCCTCCACTGCACTCCCTGGCCACAGCAGAGAGCTGGCCTGGAAGAGGGGCAACCGGGACAGAATCCGGCACCCCGACTGGGACTAGAACCCGGTGTGCTGGCGCTGCAAGGCGGAGGATTAGCCTAGTGAGCCGCGGCGCCGGCTAGACACAGACTTAAGGCAGAGGAGAGAGGACTGACACCATCCTCTTCGCAGGAAGGGTGGCCACATCTGAGTGGTGAGGTCAGCCCCACTGGTGGGTGGCATAGATGCAAGTGGTGCAGTGGACTTGGAGCACCATGCTCCAGTTGCTGCACGGTGGAAGTGGAAGTGGGGAGGTCTTCAGCTGCCGAGGCACCTGGATGTCCCTTCTGGTCACTGCTCAGGGCACCACAGCATCCTCATGAAGTGACCTGTGCCCTAGGTTCTCAGGAGCCCAGTCACCTAGCAGAGCAGCACCTGGGCTCTGTTTTTAACTCAGAGTTTCAGTATCTAATGGAATACTTGAGCTTGCTGCATAGTTACTTCAAGATGGAGCAGCCAGCTGGTCTCACTGCTTTGTCTGTTAGATAAAAAAGGTGTTGGTCTGTTCACTGTGTTTGTACTGTTGTTGCCTGCTTTGGGCTCAGGGCTGTGTGGTGCCTGACTCAGAGCCCTGTGGTTCCCGACTAAACAGCATCCAGCCCAGCCTACGCTATGCCTTTTCCCAAGCCCAAGGCCCTCATCGTCCCACTGAAGGAAGCAGTGCGTGGCTTCTCCTGGGGAAGTCTGAGTCACCAGCATCATGACTATGGCACTTTGGGGCCAGTGTCCAGTAAAGTAAGGGTTCCTTGAATACAAGCACTGGGCAGTCTGAAAACCGAGACAGCTGCCTGTGACTGACAGGCATGCATATACTGGACACAGGGATGACCACATGAGAAAGAGACAGACAGAGATATCTTCTGTCTTCTGGTTCACTTCCCAAGTGACCATAACAGTCAGGGCAGGACCAAACTGAAGCCAGGAGCCAGGAGCTTTTTCTGATCTCCTGCGTGGGTGCAGGGGCCTAAGGACTTGGGCCATCTGCTGCTGCTTTCCCAGGTGCATTAGCAGGGAGCTGGATGGGAAGTGGAGCAGCCAGGACTCCAACAGTGCCCATATGGGATGCCAGGTGGTGGCTTTACCTGCTAGGACACAATGTCAGCCCCTATTTTTTTACCCTATATTTTCAAACTGTTGACCATGGATATCTGAAAACGAGAATTATCAAATATATTTGGGTTGGAGGGATCTGACAACCACAAAAAATTGGAAGTAGTCTGAACTTCTAAATTAAATTAGGGAGTTGTTTCATTAACTGAACAAACACGTGGGTTATTATTCATTCATTCCTTGGATCCTTCTCTGGGGACTGCCTCAGCAGGCTTTGCATGCAAAGAAGTGATCAGAGGAGAGCCTGCTCCCAGGATGCCACAGGACTAAGACAACAGGCAAACCTGGTGAGGGCCCAGAAAAGGGTGAGAGTAGTGTCTGTGTGGGAGGAGGTGCCCAGCATGTGGGGAGCCCTGGAGCCCTGGGCCCTGTCTCGTGTCAGCAGCAGCACCAAAGCTGGTATGGCAGCCAGAGAGAGCAAGAGGCCTGCCGGGTGGAAGCATCAGAGTTGTGAGGTTAGAGTTGATGCAGGCCTGTATCAGAGACTGTGACTCCAGAGTGCCAGGGTCTGTGAGAGAGGTGGGGCTGGGGACAGGCTCTCAGCTGGGCTTGCATCCGCTGGTTCTCCGCAGCCTCTTGGGTTCCTCGTCCATGGTTACCCAGAAAACCACGAGAGTTTACTAAGTTTATTATTTGAGATTAGAGAATGAATGTTGAATAAGCTCACAAAAAACAAAAATTGTTCACATATCACCATTTTTTCATTGTTTACCTTTATAATTATTATTAAAGATTTACTTATTTGACAGAATTACAGACAGAGGAGGAGAGACAGAGAGATCTTCATCCGTGATTAACTCCCCAGGTGGCCACAAGAACTAGGCTGAAGCCAGGAGCTAGGAGATTCATCTGGGTCTCCCACAGGGGTGCAGGGACCCAAGCACTTGGGCCATCTGCTGCTGCTTTTCTCTGGTCATTAAGAGGAAGTTGGACTAGAAATGGAGCAGCCAGCGCATAAACTGGCACCTGTACGGGATGTTAGCGTTGTGGGCAGTGGCTTTACATGCTACACCACAATGCCAGCCCCTTCACTTTTTTTGTTGTTGTTGTTTAAGATTTACCTATTTTAAAGAGACATGCTCTATCTGCTAGTTCACTTCTGAAATAGCTGCAATGGTTAGGGCTGGTCCAGGCCAAAGTCAATCCTGGTCTCCCATATGGGAGGTGAGGACCCAGATATTTGGGCCATCTGCTGCCTTTCCAGGTGCGTTGCCAGCGTGCTGTGTTGGGAATGGCGCAGCAGAGACACTCAGCCAGTGCTCTGACACGGGATGCCAGCTTCGTAAGCCACAGCTCGACCCACTGTGTCACAACACTGGGCCCCTTTTTGAATTTTACAGGAAGCAGGCCGTCTCCCTTCCACTTGTTTCCCTCCCAGGTGATTTTGCAGGACAGCCCACGTGTGTGCTGCCTAGTCCTCCCAACCCTCGCCGACATGCCTGGACAGACAGCTCTTCCTTCCTGAGCACACCTTGTACTCTTTCTCCAATCTTGCTTTCAGTTTGTGCAGAAAGCCATCTAGCTGGGATCTGCATTTCCCTGCTGTGAGGCTGTGTCTTACACTTTATCTTCCTCTTGCTGTTTTCCTGTGAAACTTCTGTCCCTGTCCTTTGTCCATTTTCTGTCGGTGGCTCCTTCATCAGAGTCAGGCAGTACTTTGCACATTTGCAGTAGATATGTGCACTGCAGATGTTCTTTTGAAGTCTGCCATTTCTGTGTTTAACTTAGGTTTATATTTTATTTATAACTTCAGAGCTGAAGCCTGCTGGTCTGTAGTCTAATAACTTAAGAATCCTTAATTTTCTGAAGGATGGAACAGAAACTGCCCATCTCAGGTGGTCTGGATATTGTGATGAGTGGTTGGACACGAGTGCGGATTGTGCCTTCAGGCTCATGTACCAGCTTGTGGGAGGGCGCTGCAGGCACAGAACCCTGGCCTTGGGATCTCAGGGTGGGGAGCTGTAGTCTCAGTGCTAGCTCTGTGTGCTTTCTTCAATTTCTGAGCAGGAACAGGCTCAAGGTAGGTGTTCACCCAGGACTTGAACAGATGCTGGGCTTATTCCGTGGCTGTTGATCCATCATCACTTGGGCAGCACCTGCTCAGGGTCAGGATTCCCATCTGTGGCAGCACAGATGTTGCCAGGGAGGACCCTGTTCCCTCGGAGTCTGCCTCCGTTGAGTGTGGGTTATTACATGTAGAAGTGGTGCCGAGTGCCTGGTTTGGCCAATGATCTTGTTTGGGGGTTTGTGTCTTATTTTCCTTTGCAGGTAATTGGGGCCCCCATCTTGTGGTTGTGAGGAGCCATAATGTGCTTAAATGGGAACTTGAATTGAAACGCTGGTGTCCTGGGCTCAAAACCCTCTCCTGGATTGGCAGCCACAGAGAACTCAAAGCAAAGAGACAGGTATTGTTTTTTTTAAAAAAGACATATTTCGAAATGTGAAGGTGTGTTTGTTTGTTTTATTAAAAAAAATTTGGGGGTGGGCACTTGGTGGAGCGTTTATGACACTGCTTAGGAAGCCTGCGTCCCATATTGGGTTCAAGTCCTGGCTCTGCTTCTGTTGCCAACCTCATGCTAATGTGTACCCCGGGAGACAGCAATACTGGCTTATGTAGTTGGGTCCCTACCTCCCACATGGGAGACCTGGATTGAGTTCCTGGCTCCTGACTTAGGCTTGGCCCAGACCCAGCTATTGTAGGAATTTGGGGAGTGAACCAGTCCGGTAGGTATAGTGTCTTTCCTTGTCTCTGTTGATCTCTCTGCTTTTCAAATTAAATAAATAAATAAAGTTTTAAAAAAATGGCTATTCATTTACTTTTTAAAAGTTTATTTTACTTATTTGAAAGGCAGAGTTTTATAGAAAGACAGAGAAAGATTGATCTTCATCTTCTGGTTCACTCTGCAAATGGCTGCAATGGCCAGGGCTGGGCCAGGCTGAAACCAGGAGCTGGGAGCTCCCTCCTGTTCTCCATGTGGGTGGCAGGGACCCAAGCACTTGAGCCGTCTTCTGCTTTCCTAGGCACAGTAGGGAGCTGGATAGGAAGTGGAACAGCCGGGACTTGAACTGGTGCTCATATGGGATGCTGGAGTCCTAGGTGGCAACTTAGCCCACTGTCCCACAATGCCATACCCTCTCATAAATTGAAAAAAGGAATTAAAATTAATTTGTTTGAGAGGCTTCTTCTGTCCCCTACTTCACTCTCCAAATGTCTGCAGTTGGGCTGGGTTGAAGCTGGGAGCTGGACCTTAATCCAGGTCTCCCACCTGGTGGTAGAGACTCAAGCCATTACCTCCTGCCTCTCAGGTGTGTTAGCAGGAAGCTGGGATCAGCCAGCAAACCCAGGTACTCTGATACAGGATGCAGGCAGAGTGCAGAATGCCAGCACCCAGGTCACTGGCTGGTAAAAAATCAAACCTGCAGGTTGTGGATTTTGAGCCCTTTGAAAGCGTAGATTATGGCCATCAGCCCCGTTGTCCCCTGCAAGGACAGCTGTGCATGCACATGCACACACACACGCACACACACATGCACACACACAGACCCAGCTGCACGAGGCTCCGTTTACACACACACACATGCACACACGCAGACCCAGCTGCACGAGGCTCCGTTTACACACACACACATGCACACACACAGACCCAGCTGCACGAGGCTCCGTTTACACACACATGCACAAACACAGACCCAGCTGCACAAGGTTCTGTTTACACACACATGCACACACACAGACCCAGCTGCACGAGGCTCCGTTTACACACACACACATGCACACACACAGACCCAGCTGCATGAAGCACTGTTTACACACACACACACATGCACACACACAGACCCAGCTGCATGAAGCACTGTTTACACACACACACACATGCACACACACAGACCCAGCTGCACGAGGCTCTGTTTACACACACATGCACACATGCAGACCCAGCTGCATGAAGCACTGTTTACACACACACACATGCACACACGCAGACCCAGCTGCTCGAGGCTCTGTTTACACACGCATGCACACATGCAGACCCAGCTGCATGAAGCACTGTTTACACACACACACACACATGCACACACACAGACCCAGCTGCACGAGGCTCCGTTTACACACACACACATGCACACACACAGACCCAGCTGCACGAGGCGCTGTTTACACACACACGCACACATGCAGACCCAGCTGCACGAGACTCTGTTTTCGTTCCCAGGGGCGAGGTGTTCCCCTCAGGACAGAGGTGTCACTTGGAAATTGTAGTGTTTTTCTACCAAGGCCCCACTGATTGTCACAAGTGTAAATGAGGAGTGTAGTGCACCCTGAGTCCTGAGTCATAAATCTGTGAAATTTTTATGGAGATGTATATTAAGAAAATTTGTATCGGCCTGCGCTGCGGCTCACTAGGCTAATCCTCCACCTGCGGTGCCGGCACACTGGGTTCTAGTCCTGGTCAGGGCTCCGGATTCTGTCCTGGTTGCTCCTCTTCCAGGCCAGCTCTCTGCTGTGGCCAGGGAAGGCAGTGGAGGATGGCCCAAGTACTTGGGCCCTGCACCCGCATGGGAGACCAGGAGGAAGCACCTGGCTCCTGGCTTCGGATCGGCACAGCACTGGCCGTAGCAGCCATTTGGGGAGTGAACCAACGGAAGGAAGACCTTTCTCTCTTGTCTCTCACTGTCTAACTCTGCCTGTCAGAAGAAAAAAAAAAAGGGAATATTTGTATCATACAGATAAGCTTCTGGGACACATTTGGACTTATTCCTTCTGTCTGTCCAACACTGTCTAGTACAAGGTCCTGTGTTAAAGTATCTTGAGCACAATTTTTCATTGAACATAAAATTCTGGCTTGGACATTATTGTGTTTTGCAGAGTTTACTGAAAGAACGAGTACTTGCAGTGTGTTTTGTCACTTACTCGCAGTCTTCCTGGACGGATGCTTGTTGAAGCTGCCTAGAATGAGTGGTGTATTCACTGCTGCAGGCTGGGTAGTTCCAGGCCAAGGTGCCTGCGGCTCAGTGCCTAGTGAGAGCTCAGCTTGTGCTCCCAAGGTGGTGCCTCCTGCTGTGTGCCCCGTGAGGGGAGGGGCAGAGGACACATCTGACCCGCAACACCATCTCTAGCTCTTGCTCTGTTGTTGGATGTTGCGGCATAGATGCGTTTGTCACCTGAATACAGCCCTGTTCTGATTTTATGCCGCGAAGCTTGTTCCCTTCAGGGCCCTGCTTGCGCTCACCGTTTTCCAAATGATGACTGTTGGTGCCTGCAGAACAACTTCTTAATTTGTCCACAGAAGTGCTTTAGCCTCCTAGAGGAAAGGATAGAAATAGAAACTCTGCCATTTTCTCTGCGGTGATAGCAAGAATTAAGTAAAGTTGTTCTAAGTGGGAATAGTGTAACTTCATGGTGAAAGTCATGCTGGTATGTTGTGATGATGATGCAAAGACACAGGCGTGAGAAGACTGTGGGGTCTCCTGTCTGTGCCGCAGGAGTGGGCCGAGCCCAACAGCTTCCACATCTGCATCACGTCCTACAAGCAGTTCTTCAGGGGCTATGCCTCCTTCTCCCGAGTGAGCTGGAAGTGCCTGGTCATCGACGAGATGCAGCGTGTGAAGGGCATGACCGAGAGGCACTGGGAGGCCGTCTTCACCCTGCAGAGGTCTGTCCCGCACTGGTGTTGTGTGCTGTTTGCACGTGGTCGCATGTTCTTTGTGGTTGACATAAGGGTGCTCCTGGGGGAAGTGAGGTTATTGCAGATAAATGCATGAGTGCCTTCCAGCTGCCAAGAATGACGCCTCGCTTTAGCAGAGTGCGCAGGGCAGAGAGACCCGGCAGCTCCCTGGGGCTGGTCCGTTTCTTCTTCCCTTTTCCCAGACATGGCCAGAGAAACGGTCTCACCAACCTTATGTGTTGTGGGTTTCGCTGTGGTCTTTGCTGTTTGCAGTCAGCAGCGACTGCTTCTGATCGATGCGCCACTGCACAACACCTTCCTGGAGCTCTGGACCATGGTGCACTTCCTCATCCCTGGCATCTCCAGGCCTTACATGAGCTTCCCTCTGAAAACGCCCAGCGACGAGAACCAGGACTACTACCACAAAGTGGTCATAAGGCTGCACAGGGTAATTATGGCTTTATGCTTTTTACTTAGTAAAATTCATGTGCCTCGTTTCCAGTGTCTTGTGGCAGCCTTTTTTGGAAAGAAAACAGTAGGTGGGTGTCTGGTTTTCCAGGTGACACAGCCGTTTATATTGAGGAGAACTAAAAGAGATGTGGAAAAGCAGCTGACAAAGAAATACGAGCATGTTTTGAAGTGCCGCCTCTCCAACCGGCAGAAGGCCTTGTACGAGGACGTCATCCTGCAGCCTGGGTAGGTAGAGACCAGTGCCTGCCTTGCTCGCCCCTCAGACCCTCTCTGCAGCCTCAGTGGAAGGTGCTCCTTGCTGGGGTCCTGGGCTCTGCATCTGGCAGATGTCTCCATTCCCCTGAGCTCACTGCAGCAGCTGTGTGACTGCTGTGGATCTGTGTGTGTGGTTCTCGCAGTCGTGTCTGGCTCTGCTGTAAGTCAGTGTGTTCTAGGCCTCTTGTTGGAGTTGTAGGCTATACTGTGAGTGCACACGATGATCATGGGATTTCTCAGGCAGTCCTTGACAGACTGCCCTAGGAGTGCAGTGGTCACCTTAGCATTTAGTTAAAAGCAAAAGAAGTGCACAGCCAAGGGGTTATGACACATTGCTGGAAGTTGTGGAAACCATGTGCATGGACATAGGAGACTGCCCTGTTGCTAAGCCCTCATGCATACATCTTGATGGAGTGCTGGACTCTGCCATCAGGTTGGAAACACCACTTTCACTTGAGGAGGAGCAAGTTTGAGTGGAGAGAATTGCAGTTCCTTTAGCAGTCAGGTTCAGCCCCTTGGGGAAGGAAAGGTCGTGTGGGTCCCCTTGCCCACTGGGTACCTTCGTCGCCTCCCAGTGCATGCACAGACCAAGCTCAGGGTCTGGGTGTGGCTCTCCTGTGAGTGAGCCCAGGGCACACACAGATGCTCATACTTAAGTCATACCGTACGGCGCTGGGGCCTGCAGGCCAAGAGCAGATCTCATATGGCCTTAGGCTGGTTCTGTGGCATTTGCTTCCTGACCACGGCCCAGCAAGAACCTGTCTTCTCTCTGTGTGTTTTCCTCCTCCTGAACCTGCAAAGTGAAGTGTCCATGTACTCGCTCTGCACATGCTGCAGCCCCATCTGTCAGCACGTTGACTGCAGGAAGGGGTGCAGCCAGTCTCAGGTCCTGGATGGATCTCCAGTCCTGTGCGGTGACCGTGCCACACTTGCTGAACTCGGAGCCCCTGCCCGCACTCTGACAGAGAGCTCACACGGAGCTCATTTCCTCCCTCTTGAGAGCCGCAGGGTGCTGTCCTCCCTGTCTGTCAGGAGCTGACTTTCTATTATGGTCCCCACACAGGGCTCCGCATCCCCTGCCTTCTCTGGAACCTCCTTCTTTCCTGAGTCTCTAAACTGTGTCCTTTGTGCCAGCCTCACACATTCAAAGCCCTCCCCTTTGCCCCCCCCCCCCCCCGCCTCTGTCTGCTCTGCAGGGCCATGCAGGCGCTGTCTCTGCTGTCACGTCCTCAGTCCCCGTTCCCTTCCTGGCCTGTGCAATGTGGCTCTGTTCTCGTGACTGCATGCTGGCTGCACTGAGGGTGACTTCCAAGTGCTGGGTTCTGAGATCCCATACTGGCTCCCTTCTGCTGGCTCTTCACAGTTGCTTCTGTACCTGCCAGGCCCCTTTAGTACCTCGATTCTGCATATCCCAACTCGGCCCGTGCTGTGTCTTCCCAGCCTGGCTCTCTTCCAGGTCTCCCTGCCTTGGGCTGGTCACTGATTACATGTCCAGCCACATGTTTGGGTTGGAAACCTAGCAAGGCTCTGCCCACTCCTTCCCTTTTTCCACATCTGTTAGACCAGTCCCCTCATTCCTATCTGGGACACGAGGTGCACTGTGCTCACCCTGGTGGCCTAGTGGCTCACCCAAGTCCCCTCTATTGCCCATAGAGACCTGTCCCAGTGTGAGTAGTGGGTCTGTCCATCTGTATGCCTTTGCAGACGCTGTCCTGCAACAGGCACAGCCTGGCCTGCTAACCTGTTGCTTGGACTGTGCACTCCCCTGTGAGCACAGGCAGGAAGACTCTCCCTGGGTGCTCATTCTGCCCCTTCCTCAGCAGATTCTACCTGTCCTTCAAAGGGCAGGCATTTGACACAGAGGTGAAGTGCCGTGTGGGCACCACATCTCACAGCACAGTGCCTGGTAGGTGTGCTGGCTCTGCTTCTGTCTCCAGCTACCTGCTAACGCATGCTCCAGGAGGGAGCAGGTGGTGGCTCAAATAGTGGGGTCCTTGCCACCCATACGGGAAACTGAAATCGGATTCCTGGCTCCTGGATTCGACATCTACCCAGTCCCGGCTGTTGCAGGCACTTGGGAAATGAACCAGGGAATTCAAGCTCTGTCTTTCAAATAAATAAACAGATAATTTAAACAAAGAAGCAAACAAACAAAAAACATAAAAGTACACTAGTTGCTCCCACTTCTCCTTCAGCACACTCATCACACTTGTGCCTGAGCGCTCATCTGTGGAAGGGGACATGCGCTAGCCCCTTGTTCCCGTCCTTGCTCACGCACCGGGGCAGTGAACAAGCCGGCAGAGGTGTCGCATCATCACGTGCACGTGCCGCTGGTGGGGATGTGAGCGGGAATTCTTGAATGATCCATGTAACTAATTTTTAACCAAAGCCGAGGAGAACGGACCGCTCTGTGCTTGTGGAATCAGGCTGCAGCCTGTGAGGAGCCTGGGTGGTCGGTCGGTCTCTCTGCCTGCCACTCCGATGGAAACGCTTTGTGATCTTCCCCGTGCAGAACTCAAGAGGCCCTGAAGAGCGGGCACTTTGTCAGCGTCCTGAGCGTCCTGATGCGGCTGCAGCGCATCTGCAACCACCCGGGACTGGTGGAGCCCCGGCTGCCTCACGCCTCCTACGTGGCAGGGCCTCTGCGGTATTGCTTGGCCTCTCTGATTCTGAAGGCGCTGGACAGAGATTTTTGGAAGGTAAATAGAGACTGCAGAAGGCTGAATCATTGCTTGAGGGCTTTTCCAGGCAGATTATAGAGAAAGCAGTTCTTGGAGGTGGTTTCCAGCTAGCTCCCGTTCTGCTTCTGGAGATCTCCTGACACTTGGCATGTGGAGCGACATTTCAGCTACACTTGCCCCACGTGCTGGATTCAGAGGCAGCTTCTGGGCGCTGCTGAGGGTCAGAGCCACACTGCACTGGCACAGAGGAGACACCAAACGCAAAATAAAATTATAAACTCAGCCACTTCCTGTGCAGTAATAGCAAATATTAAGAAAAATGAGTAAAATTATTATAAGTGAGAACTCTTTATCTCTGTCACTCTCCACTTGAAATAAATAAATAAGTAAACGTCTTAAAAACATTTAAAAAGTCCCACCTCCATACTTCCAGTCCAGTTTCCTACTAATGCCTGGAAGGCAGCAGGTGATGGCCTCAGTACTTGGGTCCTTGCCACCCACATGGAGACCTGCTAGAGTTCCTGGCTTTGGCCTGGCCCAGCTCCTGCTGTTGGGAGCATTTGGGAGCAAACCAGTGGGTGGAAGCTCTGTCTGTCTTCCTCTCAAATAAGCTTATGGGGGGGTGGGGGACCCAAATGAATGGATACAGCATGGGCTCTCCTTACAGTAGAACATCATGCAGCCTTTAAAAGGTATGAAATTGGGGCTGACATTGTGATGCAGCAGGTTAAGCCACGGCCTGCAGCGCTGGTAGCCCATATGGGCACCAGTTTGAGTTTCGGCTGCTCCACTTCTTATCTAGGCCCCTGCTAATGTGCCTGGGAAAGCAGCTGGAGATGACCCAAGTGCTTGGTCCCCAGCACTCACATGGAAGACCTGGAAGAAGCTCCTGGCTCTTGGCTTTGGCTTGGCCCAGCCCTGGCCATTGTGGTCATTTGGGGAGTGAACTAGCAGATAGAAGACCTCTCTGAGGACAGTGCTGTGGCATAGTGGGCTAAGCCTCCGCCTGCAGCACCAGCATCCCATATGGGCGCCAGTTTGTGTCCCAGCTGCTCCTTTTCCATTCCAGCTGTCTGCTGATGGCGTGGGAAAGCAGTGGAAGATGGCCCAAGTGCTTGGGCCCCTGCGCTTGCATGGGAGACCTGGAGGGAAGCTCCTGGCTCCTGGCTTCAGATCGGCTAATCTCTGGCTGTTGCAGCCATTTGGGGAGCAAACCAGCAGATGGAAAACCTTTCTCTCTTCTCTCTCTCTCTCTTTCTCTCTGTAACTCTACCTCTCAAATAAATAAATAAACAAAAATCTTTAAAAAATGTCTTGGGGCTGATGCTGTGGCACAGAGGGCTAAATCCCCAGCCTGCAGCACTGGCATCCCCTATGGGCACTGGTTCAAATCCTGGCTGGTCTGCTTCCAATCCAGCTCCCTACTAATGTACCTGGGAAGGCAGCGAAAGATGACCCAAGTCCTTGGGCCCCCGTACCCACATGGGAGACCCTGAGGAAACTCCTGGCTCCTGACTTTGGATCAGTTGAACTCAAGCCATTGTGATCATTTGGGGAGTGAATCAGCAGATGGAAGACATTTCTCTCTTTGTCTCTACTTCTCTCTGTAGCTCTTTCAAATAAATAAAATAAATCTTTAAAAAATAGATATCTCCCTCTAACTCTGCCTAATTTTTCTTTCCTTTTTTTTTTTTTTTTTTTTTTTTTTTTTTTTGATTTATTTATCAGGAAGAGTTAGAAATCTTCCATCTCCTGGCTCACTCTCCAGATGGCCACAACTGCTAGGGCTGAGCCAGGCCAAAGCCAGGAGTTTCATCCAGGTCTCCCACATGGATTGCAGCAGCCCTTGTCTTTGAGCCATCTTCCACTGCTTTTCCCAGGCCATTAGCAGGGAGCTGGATTGGAAATAGAGCAGCCAGGACTCGAACCTGCACACCCATATGAGAGGCTGGCACTGCAGGTGTCAGCTTTACCTGCTGTACCACAACACTGGCCCCTCTTTTTTTTTTTTTTTTTTTATTTTCTTTCTCTCTCTCTCTCTCTCTCTCTCTCTTTCTTTCTTTCTTTTTTTTTAAAGATTGATTGATTGATTTGAAATACAGAGTTACAGAGAGGCAGAGAGAGAAGTCTTCCATTTGCTGGTTCACTCCCCAGACGGCCATAGCAGCTGGAGCTGGATTGATCCTAAGCCAGGAGCTTGAAGCTTCTTCCAGGTCTCCCAGGGAGTTCGATCATCTGCTGCTTTCCCAGGCACACTAGCAGGGAGCTGGATCGGAAGACGAGTAGCCAAGACTTGAATTGGCAGCCATATGGGATGCCAGCGCTGCAGGCAGCAGATTTACCCACTATGCCACAGCGCCGGCCCCTCTTTAAAAAAAAAAATTTTTTTTTTTTTTTTTATTTGAAAGGCAGAGTGGCAGAAAGAGAGGGAGAGACAGACACCCAAATGGCTGCAATGGTGTAAGCTGGTCCAAGCCCAAGCCAGGAGTCTGAGTCATGTCTCCCACATGGGTGGCAGGGGTCAAGTACTTGGACCATTTTTCAATAATTTTCCAGGTATATTAGGGAGCTGGATTGGAAGCAGAGCAGCAAAGTCTCAAAGTGGTGGTCTGCTACGGGATGCTGACATTGTGGGTGGCAGCTTAGCTTGATGCACTACAATGCCGGTCCTCTGGAGCATCCGGGCACTCTCCGTTGTGGGCTATAAGTATCCCAAGCAGCGGCTTAACCTTCTGCACTTCTGGATCATTGTGTTGGCTGCTGCCGTGAGCCTGCTTTGGGTGAGCTGCAGAATGGGACTGCTATACCGTAGGTCACTGTGTTTCACCCTTTGAGTGGCTGCCTGTTTCTTGTGAGCAGTTGTCTCACATCCCCACCAGCAGCACATGAGAGTCAGATACCCTCTTGTCCCCTCGCCAGCACTGGGGTTTGACTCTTGTCCTCTGAGGTTTTGCTTGCATTATTTAAAGTCCTGGAGAAACACTGGTTGGTGCCACTGAGGCCATTGTCCTTGTTCCTTGAACACAGAGGTTCCAGTTCTAGTTGGGTTTGTACCACTGGACCTCACCTTGGCTGTGCCAGAGCCAGTGTGCTGCGGTCAGAGTGCTACGTGCTCAGTGCACAGATGTCTCTGCCTCTGCTTCTCGGAGAGGACCCTCGTCTCCACACTTGTCTCAGCAGAGTGTCCCTACACTCTGCTCCTCCCCTCCCCCTGCCAACAGAGCCCAGGCTTTGTGGTGCTGCCCACACATGGGAAGACCTGGTGACCACTCTCACTCCCATTCTACACTGGGAATGTAGCCATGGCTGCCCACACCCTGAGTGGGTTGAGGTCTGTGGGGAGCTCGCTCAGGGAGGGGTGCTCGGGACTGGGTTTCTGCTCTCCTATATGCTGGCCCAGTGCTTTTCCTAACTACCTCCCGAAGCAAGAGGTTTTTATTTTTTATTTTTTTTTCCTTTCTCAGGAAATTGATCTTTCTATATTTGACCTCATTGGGTTAGAGAATAAAATCACTCGCCATGAGGCAGAATCACTGTCTAGGAAGAAGGTGACTCGGAAACTCATGGAGGAGATCTTCACCTCACCACCCCCATCCGCACGGCCAGCATCTGTGAAGCTGAAGGCGAGCAGGTGTGTGAGTGTGGGCAGGAGCAGGAGTGTGAGTGTGGGCAGGAGCAGGAGTGTGAGTGTGGGCAGGAGCAGGAGTGTGAGACGGGCAGGAGCAGGTGTGTGAGTGTGGGCAGGAGCAGGTGTGTGAGTGTGGGCAGGAGCAGGAGTGTGAGTGTGGGCAGGAACAGGAGTGTGAGTGTGGGCAGGAGCAGGAGTGTGAGGCGGCAGGAGCAGGTGTGTGAGTGTGGGCAGGAGCAGGAGTGTGAGTGTGGGCAGGAGCAGGTGTGTGAGTGTGGGCAGGAGCAGGTGTGTGAGACGGGCAGGAGCAGGAGTGTGAGTGTGGGCAGGAGCAGGTGTGTGAGTGTGGGCAGGAGCAGGAGTGTGAGGCGGGCAGGAGCAGGTGTGTGAGACGGGCAGGAGCAGGTGTGTGAGGCGGGCAGGAGCAGGTGTGTGAGGCGGGCAGGAGCAGGAGTGAGACGGGCAGGAGCAGGTGTGTGAAGCGGGCAGGAGCTGCACGTGCAGTGTTAAAGGTCCCCACCCCGGTGGCCCCGGGCTGTCAGTTAAGGAAAGACAGCTCAGTGTTCTGCCTCCTGGGAGTGTCCCGACTCACCTGTTCCAGTGAACCCATCCGGGGACAGACACTCCCCTGGTCGTGCTCTGCAACTTCTTACCCACCCTGAGGCACAGCCCTCCTTGGCTGTCTCTGAGCTAGCTTGAGTTTCTGGGGCCTGGTGTGGGGGCAGCTGGTACGGCTAGCCAGTGTGCCGGCAGTGGGGAGGGCCAGCTGAGGGCTCGCTGCCTGACTGTGCTGAAGTTGGTGCCCTTACATCTGCCATGATGATTTTCGTAAGTACCGTGAGGCTGGGAGTGTTAGACGTATTAGAGGATGTGCTCGGAATGGAAGGGATTCAGTGCAGGCAAAATTTGGTGATTGGAAGTATGCAAAGTCCTCGGCTGGGGTCAAAAGGAAGAGAAGGGAAACAGGTATTTTAGAGATAAAGAGCCGGTTCTACAGTTTGGTGGTGGCACGTTCTCATCACCGCTGGAGAGCCTGCCCTCACTGCGGACATGCGGTGAAGACGGCAGACCAGCCCACCCTCCCAGTCTGGCTTTACTTACAGGCTTTTGAGAACCATCCGTGCCTGTTACTTTGTACAGGGGGTTTGCAAACTGCTATGACGATTTTCAGGTAAAAGGATGTCGCATCCTGATAACATCCAGGAATGGCAGCCTGGCTTGGATCTGACTTTGATTTCTTGTTGTTACCACCTTTATGATGCTGCCACGTGTAACCTCTCCTGAGCCACCATGGCATCATCCTGTTGCCACACAGTCCATGTCACTCTACTGCAAACGATGATGTCAGAGACTGTGTGTGCTAGTTGTATTTTTTTCCACACTGATGTGAACTTAAAAATTAAGATAACATTGATTCCTGTCTCACCAAGAACCAGAGGTGTGTGCTAAGTCTTGCAGCAGCTCTCCCAGGCTCCAGGTGAGCTCCTTCAGGCAGTGTTAGGAATCTCTGCCCTGCCTTCTCTGGGCTGGGAATCCTCACAGCCTCCAGGGCAGGCCTGTGTCCCCTGGACTCTATCTGTGCCACCCCTGCTATCTACAGTGCAGTGACACTCTGTGTGTCTCCCCACCTGGACTGATGGTCGTCCAGGTTGTTTCAGCCCGTGCAGTACGGCCAGAAACCCGAGGGCCGCACCGTGGCATTCCCCAGCACACACCCACCCCGGACAGCAGCCAGCACCGCAGCCACTGCTGCTCCTCAGGGCCAGCTGCGAGGACGGCCACCAGTTGCCACTTTCTCTGCGAATCCGGATGTGAAAGGTATACTTGACGCGGTCATCTCTGCTTGGCACTTGTGGCCATTGTCACCATTCCCGAGTGGGGATGGGATTCATCCATGGGTTCTCTGAAGAGGTCCTGTGTAGTTGTGAATTTTAAACGTTTTTACTTCATGTGATGGATTTTCCCCCATACCAGACGCTTCACCCTGAGTCACTGTTGATCTCGTGGTGGTGATGTGTGCCTGGGTGGAGCATCTCCTTCTTCACACAGGCCAGTGTTCCCTCCCCTGAGCATTGCTGTGGCGAAGGATGGAGTCAGGGACAGAAGATGACAAAGAGCTCCCCCTGACCCCTGGGCAGAGGGCTTCTCTGGTTCATGGCCATCACGGTTTCTGAGATGCAAAGCAATGTTCAGAACTGCCTTTTGCCAGAGTTGTTTGTAAAAATAAGAATGGAAACTGCTTTCTGTGTGTCCTGGGAAGTGGTTCCTAATCGAAGACTGATTGAGTTTGTTGGGCTCGCTCTGCTTCCCTGTTCGTCCAGAGAAATGCCCTGTGTAGCGGCTGATGAGGAGCTCCAAGCGAACACGCCGCACAAGAGACGGAGAATCGCATCCCTCACGCTTGTTCACTGCAATCAGCCCCTTCATTTTTTTTTAAGAGAGGGCTTCTCATTTAAAAGATAGTGTGAAATGTTTATTTTATTCTTTAAAATTCGGGTGTAAAATATTGCCTTTTATTTAAGAACCTCTAACAGCTTTGCACAAACAAACCTTATCAATTGCAGCAGCAGCAGCCCCGTTTCAGAGCTCTCAGGCCTCCTCCAGTGCTGCTCGACACCAGCCCGCCTCGACCTTCAGCACGGCCGCTAGCCCAGCCCATCCTGCGAAACTGCGGGCTCAGACCACTGCACAGGCCTCCGCCCCAGGCCCGCCCCCGCCCCAGCCCCAGGCCCCCGCGCACGCGGCCGGGCAGAGCCCGCTGCCTCAGAGGCTGGTGCTCACCTCGCAGGCCCAGGCCCGCCTGCCCAGTAAGTGGCCTTGCCTTCCCGGGTTCTGCCGTCTCTGTACCACAAAGAGGTTGCATTAAGAACACGGGGGTGTCTGAAGAGCCTTTGCTGTCCACTTCTCTCTTGTCCCAGATCCTGTGCTGCTGACCCTGAGGTCTGTACCAGGGAGGGGCCTCTTCCCAGCTCAGCACCAGGGCCTTCTCTCTGCACTTCCCTCTTCCCACTGCCAACTCTGCTTTCCTTCTGAACTCCCAGCCCACTGTGCTGTGTGCAGCCTGCCCGTAGTGTCAGCCACCAGCGTGCTCTGGGGCACCCGTAGGAAGGTGACAGCAGGTGCTCTGGAGCGGCAGCTCCTTACCAGCAGTGTGGATTGGCTTTAGGCCTCTTAGTACTGAGTTTAAATTGGGGATTTGGAACGAGTAATGGCTCAGCTGAGACAGTTTGTAATGATTTAATGGCTAAAACATCCCAGTGTTACTTTTTTTTTTTTTTTTTTTAAACATATACAGAAGTTTTCACTGTGGCCAGTGAGGTCAACATGTTTTCAAATCTTGTGTGTTCTTTAATTTGTTCTGTGGAAATCATCCTAGCCTAAACTGTTACAGGTTGTCATTTCTCTGATGCCATCTCAAGTACTTCATTTCTTGATTGGACAAAAATTGTGTCAAGGCTTTTCAGGAAGCACAAAAATAGAGTGGTAGTGGGGTGAGGAGACACTTGAGCTCAGACCGGTTCTCCCCACGGAGTCTCTCCTGCCACTGTCAGTGAAGAGTAGCTGCCCTTGTCAGCCGCCCGAGGAGAGCACGCTTGGCTGGATGCCATCCCCGGGATGTACTGCTGTGCAGAAGAGCTGTGCTCCGGGGCCTGGGAAGCAGGCAGAGGCACTTTCTCTGCTCTCGGTCTTGAGCAAATGCGGACCGGACGGGGGCTGACGGGAGACTTCATTTCTGTGCATAAACTTCTGTCTCCTATTTCATTCCCTTCTTGTTCATGGGTCTCCTGTGGGCAGGGTATCTTCAGGTGTTTTCCAGTCTTTTACTAACTGTTCTCTTCATAGCATCACTAATAATTCTGGCATGGATTTTCTTGGGAGTAGCATTTAGACTCGAATATCAACCATTGGGTGAAAACCCTTAAACTTGTTTAGTGACAGCCTGCAGGTAGTTCTTGTTTGAGATGGGCTTGTTATGTCTGAGTTATGTTTCAAAATTTTAAGCACTTAGATTTTTCGCAGTAAATAGATCAAGTCCTATGGTCTAATTCAAGTTGGTATGAAACTTTTATATCTTAAAGTTTAATTTATGTACTTAAATATATTCCTAGATTTTGTATAAGTTATAGGTGTTATTAAGTTCAGTTACTCATTCTTTCCTATATGCAGTGATGTAATCTTTTCTTGTGATTTATTTATTTGAAAGGCAGAGTTACAGAGAGGGAGAGAGAGAGATCTTCCATCTGCTGGTTCACTCTGCAAATGGCTGTAGTGGCCAGGGCTGGTCCAGGCCAAAGCCAGGAGCTTCATCCAGGTCTCCCATGTGGGTGCAGGGGCCCAAGCACTTGGGCCATCCTCTGCTTTCCCAGGCCATTAGCAGGGAGCTGGATCGGAAGTGGAGCAGCCAGGACTGGAACAGGCACTCACTTGGGATGTCGGCGTTGCAGGCGGCAGCTTGTTTACCTCTGTGAGCTAACTGCACACATACTTCTTCAAATTTTGAAAGTTTTCTGAAGTTGAGGTTGATACATGAGTTTCTGATTTTGTAAGATATATTTCTGGTGATTTTGATGTTTGCTGCTTTATTATTTGGGGAGAAAAGTAAAATACTCCTTAATAGTTTGGTAAATAATATTAACATTTGATATCTGAAATCTCTATTAGCTGTAGTTAAATTAACGATTAAAATCTGGTATTTTGATTGTTTTTCCTTTTCTATTAAAATAATTTGTTTTCTTAAAGTCATAGAAAGCCTAAGAAATGTTTGTGTGACTCCGCGTACCATACATTAAATGTAACGGGTGCCCGTCATTAGTGATGCCCAGTTCACCTTTTCCTCTGCATTTCAACAGGTGGCGAGGTAGTAAAAATAGCACAGCTGGCGTCCATCGCGGGACCGCAGAGTCGGGTCACTCAGCCCGAGACGCCTGTAACCCTGCAGTTCCAGGGCAACAAGTTCACCTTGTCACACAGCCAGCTCCGGCAGCTCACGGCAGGCCAGCCTCTGCAGCTCCAAGGTGAGGGCGGCGGCTGAGGCTGAGGATGACAGAAGAGCCACTTCACCCAGGGGCCCGTGCCTCTGCTGGGTTCATTCACTGACTTGGGCTGGTTGTTTGGTTGCTTTGCTTTCCAGGTTCTTGATCCGTAGGTGGTGGTGCTGAGCCTCGCCACGCACAGCTTCTAGAGAACTAGGGAAGGCTTGTGAACTGAGCGCACAGAGCCGTGTTGCCTGTTTTGTAAATCAAAATAGAAGTGTTTGCCACTTGCAGTGTATGTGTGAGACAGAGTATGAGTGATACGTGTCTGAGAACTTACTTTCTTTTGCATATAGACTTTCAAATGTTAACTTCCAGATGAAAACACGCCACACCTCTGGACAAGAGCAGTGTTTACCTAGTAATTAATTGCCTTTTAAAAAAAAACGAGGGTCTGAACCTTGAAATTTAAATTACTCTGTAATGACTGCATGGCAGTGATTTAGTCATTTCAGTTCCTCGCATAATTTAGGTTAGGGTTCAGAGGTAGCGTCCACAGCAGCCTTGCACCGCCCTTCCCGGCAGTTTCCCCGCGAGGTGCCGCACGGTGCATGTGGGGCGCAGCTGGGTGGAGAGGCCCAGAGAGCCCCGCGGCAAAGAAGACTTTCACTGTGGTTGGATTCCATAGTTGTCATTTTTTGGACCAGTGAGGGGAGGCCACCCATGAATGTCTGTGATGGTCCCAGTGATCTCTAGAACATCCCTGCACGGGGAAGGCGGCCAGAGATCAGTCACACAGAAAAGTTGAAGTGGCAGTAAAGGCACAGGCATCTGGGCTGAAACAGTCTTTTTGGTATTTCTTTGTCCTGTTTGACAGCAGTCAGAGGTGCCTGCCGTGGCCTGGGAATTGGCTGTCTACTGGGCAGGGCACGGGCCTAGGACCACCCCTAGTGGATGTGTGTGGCAGTGCCTTGCCTGGACACTGCCAGCACAGATGATCTCTTCTTGACGTAAAGTAAAGCAGACTTCACTCCTTAGATGTTTCATTCATCGTAGGTGAAATATCTTCATTTTTCTCACATAACTGAACTTTGCATTGATTTGTTTGTGTACGTTTGATTTTGGGTTTTCAGCATATCAACTTGTTTATTTCTGTGCCACTTGGGTTGATAGTAGTGTGTGGCTTGAAGGCACAGGCTTGTGACTGATGTGGCCTGGTGCACATGTGATTTCAGGCAGCGTTCTCCAGATCGTGTCAGCCCCCGGGCAGCCCTACCTGCGAGCCCCTGGCCCTGTGGTGATGCAGACCGTGTCTCAGGCGGGTGCTGTGCATGGCACCCTGGGAAGCAAGCCCCCGGCCGGCGGCCCCAACCCTGCGCCCTTGACCCCACAAGGTAGGGCACGTTGAGCAGAAGGAAGCAGCTTCTTCCTGACTGTGTTTTCCTTCTCAGGCAACTGGAAGGGGTGTGTGTGTGTCTTTAGCCGTGATGCCTGAGCACATCCAGCCCAGGGCGTGCCCATCTCTGGTCTCCACAAGGTGGATGTGTCAACTTGATTTATTCTCTTTCTCTTTTGCTTTCAAAGGCACTGGTTGAATATAAACAGCCTCCACTGTTAGAGTTTGCTTGGGTTCGTCCTGACGAGACTTTTGGGTCATGAGAAACCTTGTTGTACCTTAGGGGTGACTGTCTTGAAGGTTAGTGGGTGGTGAGCACCCACACCTGCAGGCCATGCTGCTTCACACCTGGTCCATGCCCCACAGCCGCCAGCCTCCAGGCCTGGCCCGGTCCCATCACCTTCTTCAGCCTGAATGTCTCCGTCTCCTGCCTGGGTTCTAGCTCTGCTTGGACGTGAAAGCAGCAAAGGGGCCCAGGGCCGAGGTGTACTTGTCCTTGGCACCTAAAACCCTGTCCCCTGTGCTGATTGCTCCACATTTCCTCGGCCCTAGGCCCAGCTTCATGTCACCTGCCACGGTGCCAGGGTGGGGCTGCTGCACAGCATGCAAGACTGTGCCAGCAGAGGCTTCCGGGCTGGAGTGGGGAAGGGCGTGGTTGGTTTCCCATTCCTGTCCGTATCAGCGACAACAGCCTAGTTGTGGAGATCCGTTCCACCTGCCAGGTTTTCCCAACACTTAGAGGCAGCCTCCCATACCTGTCCTCACCAGCTTGGCAGTTGGAGAGCTGCACCCCAACCTTCAGGATTGGCAAGTCCCAGCTCTGTGGAGCCCTCTTCCTCTGAGGCACCAGAGCCAGTGTGAGGTCCAAGCCCTGACCCTGTTTCCTGCTCCCCAGCCACCAGGTTCTGTAACCTCATTCCCTGCTCACTCTTTCCCCTAAGGCGACTGTCTTATCCCAGCGTCCCTGCTTGGTCCTCAGATACCTCTGATCACTGCCACGCTGGCTCTGGCTGGTGGTGAGTGCAGTGTTGGCAGCAGTTCTGGGACACAGAGCCCTAGATGAGTCCTGGGTGGGTCTGTCTTGAGGACTGTGGACTTCTTGCCTGGGGGTGGGGGCAGGGGCAACACCATCATCAACTTGAGTTGATGGTGGAAGTGGGGTATCCAGGGCTGTGTGACTACCACATGCACCTTGGTGGCAGTGAAGTGAGCACAGGTTTGGGTGCACGGAGCCGATGCCTCCAGTGCTGCTCACAGGATGGCCGGAGTCCTTTCTTTGCTGGGAGTTTGGAGTGCTTGTGGTCAGAGTCAGACGTGTTCCAGGACTGCACCTGGAGGCTGAGGCCCCAAGAGCAGGTACCCAGCAGATTGCATCCTGTGGCTTTGAGTCCACTGCAGTGCCCTCCATTTGCATTTGCAGCTGGTGTTCCCAGTCGAGTGGCTGTTAATGCCTTGGCCGTGGGAGAACCTGGGATGGCCTCCAAGCCAGCCTCCCCCGGTGGAGGGCCTACCCAGGTAAGGTGCCGGGTGGCGTGCCTGCCCCTACCCAGGTAAGGTGCCAGGTGGCGTGCCTGCCCCACCGACGTCCTTTTGCTCAGACACCCATTGTTCAGAACCCTCTGCTGTGGTGGGGATCCTTCTCAAGTTAGGCGACTTCAGAAATATCTCTCTGGGTGTGGGATTTTGATTTTAAAACATGCTTCCTAAATGAAAGAAGTGAGTCTTGGCTTTGAGACTGCAGAAGCCTTCTTTGTCTCTCCTGCACGCCTGCAAGCATTCCCAGGTGCTGGAAGTGCTCGCTTTGTCCTGAGCCTTGCTCCTGCTGCTAGCAGGGGAAGGGCCCTGGCTTTCCACCGGCTCCCACCTGTTTCCTGTAGACCGTGGAGTGGGGCTGCCGAGGGCGTCTGTGCGGGTCTGCTGGAGGTGGTGACCTGCGGGTGTCTGCGTGATTTTTGCACAGGAGGAAAAGGCCAGGCTTCTGAGGGAGCGGCTGGACCAGATCCATCTTGCCAACGAGCGGCGCTGTTGCCAGGCCCCGGTGTATGGCCGGGACTTGCTGAGGATTTGTTCCCTGCCAGGAAGAATACACATGCCTGGGAAGGTGGCTGGGCCGGCCAGCTGTCACCTGTCACCCTCAGAAAGTAAGGGCGACTTGATTCTGACCCTGAGTCAGTGCCAGGAGTCTCTGCAGGACGTGCTGGGCAGGTGAGTGGCCTGCCTGTTGTCCAGGCTGCAGTCTTCCTCGTGGCCGTCTCTGTCCTGCTCCCCAGCAGTTCTCATCCTCTGGTGTTCATCTCATTCCCACAAGCCTTTCCACAAGACCCACCTTGGAAGTCTCTGGAAATCACTGCTGGGGCCTGCAGCCCTGGTGTCCGGGTCCCTGTGTGCTTGAGGCAGCCCAGGTCCTGCGTGCAGACCACGGCACCTGAGCTGCTGGTACTGCTGCTGTTTTCCATCCTGTTCTTTGAAGAACCATCTTACTGGAACAAACCACATGTCCAATTGCATGTTCCTTGGTGAGAAGTATGTGCAAGGTTAGAACGACAACTTGAGAGGATAAATGCAATGGGTGCTTCCGACGCTTAGTCCTTGCTGCTCCTCTTCTGAGAGTGCTGGCCCTCCTTGTGGTTCTGTGACCACAGGGACCTGGTGTCCAGGTGTGGCTTCAGCTCCTGTTTTTTCCTTTTCTGGATAACTAGGTTTCTCCAAGTTGTTCCCAGTTTACAAGAGAGCCCTGCTGCTCCCTGTGCCGTGACTCCGTGTTGAGGTCTTCCTGTCTCAATCTTTCAGATCAGGAACAAATGGGCACAGAAAGAGAAGGGAGAATCACCTCTGAGGCTGAGCTGTCCCGCTGCTTCTCCGGTCCACTGTGGCCGGACAGAACCTCTGGCCTCCTGTCCTTGTCCTCCTTCGAAATGTTAACACGTGCTGGCTAACACGTGTCTCCTCCTCCCTTGAGCCTGACAGATGACGTGTTGGGTTTGGATGCAGCTGTGAGCCAGTCAAAGTAAACCCAGTTTTGGCTGATAGCCATGGGAAGGGCCTTCTTGGGGCAGTGGCCTCTGTAAGCTGGGCCAGGGGTGCTTTGCCGTTATGTCCTTCTGTTGGCAGGGCCCTCGGGGGAGGCAGCAGCTGTAGCACTTCACACTCAAGAGACGATGCCTCTGTCCCAGAAGTCCCAGCTGAAGCTACAAGCGTCAGACGGTGTAGGCCATGTCTGAACCAGTTCTATGGTTTGGGGAATGCCTGCACGGTCTGTTTAGGCCTAGGCTGGCTGTCATTGGCTCCCTGCCCCTCACGATGAGATGCCATCCATGGGGACTGAGTCTCAGCTCTGCTGTTTCTTTCACCACTCAGGCAGAGTGCCTTGGAGCCTTGCCAGCTGTGGGCTCTGGGCTGCATGGTGACCAAGCCCGCTTTCTACCCCTCAGGGTGGCCTGTGTTATCCCTCCTGTGGTGGCCGCACCCCCGGCCCTGTGCGTGGCAAGGCCTCCCTCCCTGTACAGCCACAGGCTGCGGGTCCTGAAGCAGCGCCTGGAGGAGCACGCGGCCCCCTTCCTCCAGCAGCTGCGGCGCTGGACGGCCCTGCGCTCGCTGCAGTTTCCTGAGCTGAGGCTGGTGCAGTTCGACTCAGGTACGAGGGCCCTGTTGGCAGCTGGTCACCTGGGCCTCGGCGCTGCTGCAGCCCTCTCCTGACTCTCCCATGCTCCTCCGTTCCCTAGGGAAGTTAGAAGCCTTGGCTCCCTTGCTGCAGAAGTTGAGATCTGAGGGGCGCCGGGTGCTGATTCTGTCACAGATGGTTCTGATGCTGGATATCTTAGAGATGTTCTTGAACTTCCATCACCTCACCTACATCCGCATTGATGAGAACGCCAGCAGTGAGCAGCGGCAGGTGAGGCAAACACCGCTTACTTTGACCTTGTGCCTCAGTGGCTTCAGCTTGGCTCACCAGGTCGAGACTAGGGTCTGAGTGCTGTTCATGTCCTGTGATCCTGAGCCCCTCCACTGTGTTCCTCACCCTGTCACAGGCGGTTGGGTGTCTCAGGACAAAAGCTGGGGACCTACAGTGCTCAGCAGGCCTCGTTGGTGCACCCAGAAAACTGCTTAGACCACCTCATAATTAGAGGGCTTGTCAGGGTGCAGGGAGACAGGCCACCAGGTTTACTGCTGGTGGGAGCACAGGGAAGAACGATTTTCCAGGAAGAACAGAAGGCCTGAGGTGAACCTTAGCAAATTGAAGGTTGACTTAGTAATTCTAAACCTGCAACAGTGCACAGCGCACCATGGAACTGCCTACACTGGTTCATTGCACAAGTGTTGAAGATGACCCTGTCAGAGACAAAGCAGAAACGAGTAAGTAAGGAATTGTCTGTGGCAGCATCATAAAGAAAACTGCTCCTGGCACTGCCCGTGTGGCTGGACAGCTTTGTCAGTAGCATTTCCAGTTTCCCTGTGTGCTTGTGCAGGCCCTGGGAGAGCCTGGAGAGACATGTGCCAGAGCGTCTCCAGCTGACAGTGCAGCAGACGGCTTGAGTGTCAGAGTTCTGGTCCTGTCTTAGCAGGGGCGGCTGCAGAGAGCTGGCCAAGCGTCCTGGTCACTGGTCCACGGCCTGAGCAAGGCCAGAACATGCGTCGTGGTGGTTCTGTTTCTCCTGCTTCCTCAGCCTTACTCCAGGGTGGTTTTGCCTGTAAAGTGCCCTGGCATTGCCTGAGGATAGATGAGAAAGCACAGATCCCTCCCCAGGAAGATTTGAACTTCTTTTGGGGCCTACAGTTTGAGCTGACAGTAAATTTGAGAGAGACCACTGTGTTTCCTCCATGTTCACTATTGTGTTCCTCAAACAATGCAGGGATGTTTGTGACTGTGGGAAGAGCCAGGAAAAATGCTTCATCTTTGGTGTAACTTGAACACTGGCCCTGTGCCACGTGGTTCACAGTCAGCTGGTTAGGGAATGGTCTCTGGGTGACCATTTAGAGGTGTTAAAGGTGGCATGTCGTGTTCACCTCAGGAGCTGATGCGGAGTTTCAACAGGGACAGGCGGATCTTCTGCGCCCTTCTCTCCACTCACAGCCGCGCCACAGGGGTCAGCCTCGTGGAGGCAGACACTGTCGTGTTCTACGACAATGACCTGAACCCTGTGATGGACGCCAAGGCCCAGGAGTGGTGTGATCGGATTGGGAGATGCAAGGACATTCACATCTACAGGTGAGGCCCCCAGGAGGCAGGACAGCAAGGAAGGAGTGTGTGCTGCCTGTGGATTTTGGGGTTCCCTGCTGCTTCATTTCTTTTTCCTTGAGATGCATATTCCTGCGGTTTAACTGCTCCTTATTTGTACTTAACATTGGCTTGAAATTATTGAGTGCAGATGTTGCTTCTCCGTACCTACCTGCTCTCATCAGCATTAGGGGAAGGGACCTACTCTGGCGACCCAAGCCTTGGCAAGGGTGGTTTATATTTTGGGTTGTTTCAACTGTTTTTTGTTTTGTTTTGTTTTTAAATAAAGATTTATAGGGCCAGTGCTGTGGCATAGCAGGTAAAGCTACTCCCTGCAGTGCTGGCCTCCCACATGGGTGCCGGTTCAAGTCCTGGGTGCTCTACTTCCCATCCAGCTCTCTGCTATAGCCTGGGAAAGCAGTGGAAGATGGCCCAAGTCCTTGGACCCCTGTACCCACATGGGAGACCTGGGAGAAGCTCCTGGCTTCGGATCGGTGCAGCTTCAGCCATTGCAGCCATTTGGGGAGTTAGAGTGGTTGGAAGATTTTCTCTCTTTCTCTCTCTTTCTCTCTGTGGCTCTGCCTTTCAAATAAATAAGATTTATTTATTTTATTTTGAAAGGGTTATAGAGAGGGAAAGACAGAAAGATCTTCCATCCACTGGTTGATTCCTCAAGTGGCAGCAACAGCCAGTGCTGGGCCAGGCTGAAGCCAGGAGCCAGGAGCTTCATCCAGGTCTCTCATGTGGATTCACGGGCCCGAACACATGGGTCCTCAAAAAGTGGAAAAGCTGCTGCTTTCCCAGGCCATTAGAAACGAGCTGGATCAGAAGTGGAGCAGCCAGGACACAAACTGGCACCCGTATGGCGTCGCAGGTGGCAGCATGACTTGCTATGCCTCAGTATTGGTCCTACAACTTTATTTTTTCAAAAGATCTATTTATATGTATTTATTTGAAAGTCAGAGTTAGAGCGAGATACAGTGGAACAGAGAGAGATCTTCCATCTGCTGGATCAGTCCCCAGATGACCACAGTGTCCAGGGCTGTGCCAGGTTAAAACCAGGAGCTTCATCCAGGTCTCCCACATGGGTAGCAGGGGCCCAAACACTTGGGCCATCTTCCTGCTTTTCCCAGGCTGTCATGTTAGCAGGGAGCTGGATTGGAGGTGGAGCAACTGGGACACAAACATTTTCAATGAGAGGGTGGTTTGTGTGATAAATAGGGATGCATGCCTTGCTGCCCACCAATGAGAAGGTGGGTTGGAGCATGGCTTCCTTGTGAGTGTCATACAGTTCAGTTGGATGGAGGGCAGCCTTCAATGTAAGATACAGGGCAGGTGTTCAGCCTTTGTGGTTAAGATGTCCACCTCCCCTGTTGAAGTACCTGGGTTCAGCTCCAACTCCTGGTCCTGACTCCAGCACTCCAGCTTTCTGCCACCTGCTAATGCACACCTGGGAGGCAGCAGGTGATGGCTCAGTAGTTGATTTCCTGCTACTCACATGGGAGACCTGGATTGAATTCTCAGCTCTTGGCTTCAGCTTAGCCCAGCCTCAGCTGTTGCAGGCAGTTGGGAAGTGAACCAGTGGATGGGGGCTCTCTTTGTCCTTCTTTCTCTGTTTCTCTGCCTCTCAATATTTTTAAAAATATAAGGAGGGATGGAGGCTGGCACTGTGGCATAGAGGGTGAAGCTGCCACCTGCAGCACCAGCATCCTATATGAGCGAAATAAATCTTAAAAAAAAAAAAAAGAGGGAAAATGGGAATATGAATAGTGAATTCCAAGTGGCAAACAAGCATGAAGAACTACTTCAACTCACTGTGGTCTTGAGAAAGAGGTGCCCATTCAATGTGTGACAGAACACTTCAGCAGACAGCACGATAGCGAGGGGAGCTGCACCTGCCCACCAGCCCTGGGCAAGGCCCGCAGGGATTGGTTCAGACTCTTTGTAAGCATTTGGCACCTTCTGGAAGTTAAAATGACACCTGCCTGTTGTCCTCAGTACATCCATAGCCAGAGACTAGTGTGTGTGGGCAGTTTTGTGCGCGTGGTTCAAAGCAGGAACTGGGGTTACCTGCCGTGGGAAGTAGCAGCACTGTTGGTGTATAGCAGCCAGGAGGGAATGACTGCCTTTGGAGGGATTTCTGTGATGCACTGCGAGAGTGCAGGTCAGCACACAGGGAGACACACCACAGGCTTCTAACATGGACGTGGTGTCTCCACAGTGAAAATCCTTGTATGCCAGAAAAGCCTGCCCACTTAGACGTGAGGCATCAAACGGGATGTGGCATCTTTCAGATGTTTGTGAACTAAAACAGGTGGGCGGTATCGTCACAACATTTCAGTGGTTATCTGAGTGATCATCCTGGCAGCACTTCTGTTTTCTTCCTTGCACTCTTGTGTGATCCGATTGTTTATGAGTGCATGCTCAGAGAGAGTTGTGTGTGGTGAGCCTGTGCAGAGTTGTGTGGTGAGTGTGTGCAGGGAGTTGTGTGAGAGCAGTGCCTGTGCAGAGTTGTGTGGTGAGTGTGTGCAGGGATGTGTGTGGCGAGCGTGTGCAGGGAGTTGTGTGAGAGGAGTGCCTGTGCAGAGTTGTGTGGTGAGTGTGTGCAGGGATGTGTGTGGTGAGCGTGTGCAGGGAGTTGTGTGAGAGGAGTGCCTGTGCAGAGTTGTGTGGTGAGTGTGTGCAGGGATGTGTGTGGTGAGCGTGTGCAGGGAGTTGTGTGAGAGGAGTGCCTGTGCAGAGTTGTGTGGTGAGTGTGTGCAGGGATGTGTGTGGCGAGCGTGTGCAGGGAGTTGTGTGAGAGGAGTGCCTGTGCAGAGTTGTGTGGTGAGTGTGTGCAGGGATGTGTGTGGCGAGCGTGTGCAGGGAGTTGTGTGAGAGGAGTGCCTGTGCAGAGTTGTGTGGTGAGTGTGTGCAGGGATGTGTGTGGCGAGCGTGTGCAGGGAGTTGTGTGAGAGGAGTGCCTGTGCAGAGAGGGAGCAGGCAGGTTGCATTACATGATCCATGGAATTCCTCCCAGATGCAGGGACTGTGCTCATGAAGCTATTCCTCCCTTCTGTTGGATGGCTGTTTCCTCTTTATTAGGATTTAGTTCTTTTCTACACTTCTGGGTTCTTACTTCTGGTCTTTTTGTCTATTTTTATTTAAGTTCTCCCCCCCCCCCTTTTTTTTTAAAAGATTTATTTATCTATTTGAAAGGCAGAGTTATAAAGAGGCAAAGAGAGAGAGGTCTTCCATCTGCTGGGTTCACTCCCCAAATGGCCACAACAGCGGCACTGGGCCAATCCAAAGCCAGGAGGCTGGAGCTTCCTCCAGGTCCTGCATATGAGTGCAAGGGCCCCAGGACTTGGGCCATCCTTTGCTGCTTTCTCAGGCCATACCAGAGAGCTGGATTGGAATTGGAGCAGCCAGGACTTGAACCGGTGTTCATATGGGATGCCAGTGTCGCAGACAGTGGTTTTAGCCACTGTGCCACAGCACTGGCCTCCCTACCCCCTGCCCCCTCCTCTTTAAAAGGATTTATTTATTTGAAATGAAAGTTACATAGTGAGAGGGGGAGAGAGAGCTCTGTTTGCTGCTTCACACTCCAGATGGCTGCAATGATCTGAACTCCATCCAGGTCTCCTACGTGGTGGCAGGGGCCCAAGCACTTCGGCCATCTTTGCTGTTTTCCCAGGCCATTGGCAAGGAGCTGGATTTGAAGTGGAGCATCTGGGACTTGAACTTGTGCTCATATGCTTTGCAGGTGTCACAGATAGTGGCTTAATCCATTGTGCCACAACACTGACCCCTAGGTTCCTTTGATTTGAAATTTTCTGGAAAAATTCCATTTGTTCTTCTCTGTGAAGACCATAGTGTTGGAATTGTTGATGCTTCCTTGATTTGCACATTAGCATTTTATGAGCAAGCAGGCCCTGGGCAAGTCCTGGCATGTGGGTGAGTGTGCACGTGTTAGGCCCTTCCTCATTACAGCCTTGTGCCTGAGCTCCACTTCTGTCCAGTGGAGGCACCATCTGCAGCTCAGAGTCGTCACTGAGCACCTGCAGGACGCGGGAGTCACAGAGATGAAAATGCCAGTAGTAACGAGGAGGAGACATCTGACAGTGCTGGACACAGACAGCCAGGGAAGTGGCTACTCTGCCCGTGTGGTCAGAGACAAAGATGTGTGAGATGAGTCTGGAAGGACCGAGGGGTAGCACTTCCAGACTGGGTGGCAAGAAGAGGGTGGTGTGAGACAGCACTCGGGCCATGTCCTGCTTTCCCAGGTGCATTAGCAGGGAGCTCAGTTGGAAGTGGAGCAGCCGGGACTCGATCTGGTGCTCACGTGGGATGCTGGTGCTGCAGGCAGTGGCTTAACTTGCTGCACCACAGCGCGTGAATGCTTACCTTACTGAGTCTGTTAATCCCCTAAGATTTTGGATAATTTTGGATAGCCACTGGGGCTTCTAGGGGAAAGATGGCCACAGACACATCAACCAGAATCCCTCCAGGGGTCAGGGCATACTGAGGCACAGCAGTGGGTATTGGTTCCCCAGCCACTCTGTGCACCTGATCCCTGGTCGTCCTTCGTGTTTCCAGGTGGCTAAACTGTCACTCTGTGTGTGTCTGTGTTTCATTCACAGGCTTGTGAGTGGAAATTCCATTGAAGAGAAATTGTTGAAAAACGGAACTAAAGATTTGATCCGAGAGGTAGCCGCTCAGGGGAACGACTACTCCATGGCATTCCTCACACAGGTACTCTCCGTTTGTGGACAGCCTGTGTGGTGACATGGGAAGCCATGGTTTGGATGCCTGGTGATGAGGATGCTTAGCTGACAGGGTCCCAATCCCATGGTTCTCAGGAATAAAATTGTGTCTTTGCTATGAAAAATAATGCACATTTCTGTGTGCAGCGCACCATCCAGGAGCTGTTTGAGGTCTACTCCCCCATGGATGATGCCGGCTTCCCTGTGAAAGCTGAGGAGTTTGTCGTGCTCTCTCAGGAACCTTCCGTAACAGACAACATTGCTCCCAAGATCGCAAGACCTTTCATAGAGGTGAGAGTACGCTGGCCTTCCCCAAGGAATTGACTGCACTGGGAGCTGTCATCCTGCTTGCCCGACCCGCGCTCCGACCCCAGATGATGCTCACGGTGGCCTGGGGCATTCAGTGCCCATGTCTGCCTTGTTCCTCCTCAGCTGCCAGCCCCCTTCCCTCTGCCCTTTCTGTCACGAGGCTTCTCGAAAACACACGAGGAGAGCGCATGACCCAGGCTCAGGGTTGGCAGAGCTTTCTGAGCCATACTGCATTTCCCTGCCAGCCTGCACTGCCCCCCACCCTATACCTCTGTCCGTGTCCCACCCTCCCCTGCATAGCTGCCTGGCCCCACAGTAGTCAGCTGTCTTAGCTTTACTTGCTCAGAAGAGTTCAGATACTGGGCCAGCGCTGCGGCTCACTAGGCTAATCCTCCGCCTTGCGGCACCGGCACACCGGGTTCTAGTCCCGGTCGGGGCACCGGATTCTGTCCCGGTTGCCCCTCTTCCAGGCCAGCTCTCTGCTGTGGCCCGGGATTGCAGTGGAGGATGGCCCAAGTGCTTGGGCCCTGCACCCCATGGGAGACCAGGAGAAGTACCTGGCTCCTGGCTTCGGATCAGCGCGGTGTGCCGGCCGCAGTGGCCATTGGAGGGTGAACCAATGGCAAAAGGAAAACCTTTCTCTCTCTCTCTCTCTCTCTCTCTCTGTCTAGCTCTGCCTATTTAAAAAAAAAAAAAAAAAAAAAAGTACAGATACTGAGCTCTCTGGATATGGCTGGCTTGTGTCAGGTATATCGGAACCATGGTGGGGACTTGGTATGGAAATAGCAGTTGATTATCTCATGAGCACTGGTTCCACTGGATACCTGCAGTTTTGGCTTTCAGGAAATACTTGACTGTGCTAACTTGGCCACTAGGAGATTTCACACCGTCACGTGATGACCTCTGTGACAGTGTTGGTGCGTGCACACAGTGTAGTCTGGGCCACTTCTCTCATTTCACTCCTGCTCCCTGTGGCCCCAGCCTTGGGTTCCCAGGTCCTCTGGGAGGCCTCACCGCGTCCCCCAAGGGGCTGCCCTGTCCATGAGATGGGCACTCAGCTGCAGGGCTGGTTTCCTTCACTCTGGTTACGTCCTCCTGTGGCTCAGGGTCTCACAGACCCTACCTTGTGTTGGCGGTGTGGGCTGACACTGGTATGCTGTTGCTTGGCTGTGCTGTGGAAGCCTCAGTGCCAGACCATGCAGCCCTCCCACACTGTCCCCTCACCTTCCTGGCGCTGCCTCCTCGCTCTCCACAGTGTGTTGTCACCTCCTCCTCCACTTCTAAGCCCTGACTGTTGAGCAGGGGGGAAGCCGTAACACACACGGCACAGTGTTTGGGAGCTCACAGTGAAGAAGCCTTGCCGGACCTGGCCTCCTGCTCACATGACAGCCACAGGGCTTTATCTCACATGCTTCTTCCAGAGATTTGTGTAATTTACACAAAGACTTCCTGTACCTGTTCTATACTAGGAGCTATAGATTACCTCATGGTGTTTATAAAATAGGTCATAGAGAGCACACATTTGTCATGGTGGTTAGGACACTGGAATGCCCACGTTCCATAGAGGAGTGCCTGGTTTTAATCCCTTCTCTGCCTCCAGTTCTAGTTTCCTGCTGATGTGTACCCAGAGAGGCAGCAAGTGATGGCTCAACTACTTAGGTCCCTTCCATGCACATGGGAGACCTGAATCCAGTTCTTGGCTTCTGGTTTTGGCCTGGTCCAGCCCCAGCTGTGATGGGCATACAGGGAGTGAATCTGCAGATAGGAGTGCTCTCTACTTTCAAAGAAGTAAACATTTTAAAAATACGTAAGGTGGGGCCAGCGCTGTGGTGCAGCAGGTTAAGGCCCTAGCCTGAAGCGCCAGCATCCCATATGGGTGCTGGATCTAGCCCTGGCTGCTCTACTTCCAGTCCAGCTCTCTGCTATGGCCTGGGATAGTAGTGGAGAATGGCCCAAGTCCTTGGGCCCCTGCACCCACGTGGGAGACCCAGAAGAAGCTCCTGGCTCCTGGCTTCACATCGGCCATCTGGGAAGTGAACCAGTGGATGAAAGACCTCTCTCTCTGTCTGTACCTCTCTGTAACTCTTTCAAATAAATAAAATAAATCTTTAAAAAAAATTAGGTAAGGTAAGCATGAGGTTGAGAAAGATTCAGTAATGCATTAGGTTCTTTTCTAAGAGTAGCCTTTTAATTACTGTTAAAGATTTCACAGGTAACCTGGAAGAGCAGTGTAGGGCCTAAGATTGTGTGTGTATGTGTGACATGTCTGTGAAGGTATGTGTGTGAGGAGTGACATGTCATGACGTGAGAATGTGTGATACGTGAGTGTGTGTGTGGTCCTTAACAGTCCTGCAGGTGCTCCCACGCTGGCTGTGTTGTGGGCAGCAGCTGGGTCAGCCGCAGGATCCTCTGGAGCCGAGTGCTTCGCTTGTGCCAGGCTCTTCCTTGGCAGTTGGAGCACAGTGTTGAGAAGATGAAAACTCCACTTTCCACGCAGCTTATACTCTTGTGTAGAGAGAAACAGAACTGAGTGAGTGAGTAAAATAATTTATTCATGTAAAAAGATGGAAAGGCTAGGCTGTGAATGGGAGCAGGGTGCGTCCTAGAGTGTCGCGTTGTGGGTACAGAGCCAGCAGAGCCGGGGCACCACTGCAGCTGGGTGGGAGTGAAATGGGGAGCCATGCAGGGTTTGAGTTGGCTGTGGTATGCTCTGGCGTTCCTTAAACAGTGTCCCCTGGCTCCTGACTTTGGACTGGATTATAGTGGGTAGCCTGGGGATGGGTTAAGAGGCCAAAAGTAGACATGCAATGAGTATGGTGTGTGGGACAGGTGGGCAATGGTGGAGTCTCTTAAGCTGCAGTTGCTGGAGCTGATGGACGTGATGGGAGAAGGGGCTGCTTTCACCGGCACGATCCCCCCACGAGAGTCACAGGCTGCTCTTCGGCAAGCTCGCTTGTGCTCTGTGCGTGTGCTCTGCCTGCCTGCCTGCCTGCCTGCCTGGTGGGTTCTGCAAGCCTGGCTGTGCGTGCCCCTGGGTTGTACCTGGGAGTGGTTTGAAGAAAAGTTTCTGTCGAAGTGTGAACATGCAGAGAAAGGAAGACATGTCACGAAAATTAAGCCAGGTGCATTTTCTTTCTCCTTCCCCTCCCCTCCCCCTCCCCTCCCCTCCCCTCCCCTCCCCTCCCCTCCCCTCCCCTCCCCTCCCCTTCCCTTCCCTCTGCTCCCCTTCATTTTCTTCTAGATATTTCTTTTTCTTTTTTTTAATTTTTTTATTTTTATTTTTTGACAGGCAGAGTGGATAGTGAGAGAGACAGACAGGGAGAAAGGTCTTCCTTTGCCGTTGGTTCACCCTCCAATGGCCGCCGTGGCTAGTGCGCTGCGGCCGGCGCACCGCGCTGATCCGATGGCAGGAGCCAGGTACTTATCCTGGTCTCCCATGGGGTGCAGGGCCCAAGGACTTGGGCCATCCTCCACTGCACTCCCTGGCCACAGCAGAGAGCTGGCCTGGAAGGGGGGCAACCGGGACAGAATCCGGCGCCCCGACCGGGACTAGAACCCAGTGTGCCAGTGCCGCAAGGCGGAGGATTAGCCTAGTGAGCCGCAGTGCCGGCTCTTTTTCTTTTTTAATACTTAGATGCATAATCTCTCTGGAAATAGTTTCTGTTATGTGTGAGATAGGTTTGCCAGATTGTCTTAGGAAGAGGTTGTATATTTTCAATTTATGTCTTTTAACTAAAAGCCGCACGCCCACCTCAGATATGAGTGTCTGTGTGCATCCAGGAGCAGCAGCCAGGCGTGTGCTGCTACAGGTTCTGACAGGTGACAGTGCTCCCTCCTCACTGGAGTCTGCAGGGCTCAAACTGGAATGAAGCCATCCGTGTTTGTTCCTTTGTGGACTTGCTTTTGCTGCCCTGTTGTGCTGTTCCTTTCCTGGTTGTGCTGTGGGCAGTAGCCTCCACTTGCCGTCGTTGGTCAGAGCTGTTGCTAGGGATGGGCGTCAGGTGTGAGATGAAACCAAGTAGCCCTTCTTTGTTCATGGAGTCTGGGAGCTCCACCAGCCCTTTTTGTCCCACCGTGCATGTTGGTGAGTTGGCCTGCTTTGCCTTCCTTGGGGCCTGCCTATCCAATGTGATAGTTGGTTTGGGAAGGCCTGGAAGGTTTATGTTTGTTTATTTTTCCTTATTTGAGAAGCAGCGCTATCTGTATATCTGCATCTGTAGGTATATCCCTTTATCTATCTATAAATGGGGGTGGGAATTGCACAGAGATTGATCATCCATCTGCTGCTTCACTCCCCAAATCCATGTAGCAGCCAGGTATGGACCAGGCCTGCACCAAGAGCCTAGAACGCCCCATCCAGATCTCCCATGTGGCTATCAGGGACCCAGGTGCTTGACTCCTCACCCGCTGCCTTCCTGTTAGTGGATGCTTAAATAGACGCAAAGTAACTGGGGCTTGAACCAGGCACTCCGATGTGGGATGCAGGTGTTCCAAACTGTGCCTAACTGCTGCACCGCAGTACTCGCCCTTGGAAGGCTTCTTGCACTCACTTCCTCTAGGCCCAAGTACCTCTCTGTCCACGTGGATGCATAGACCTCAGAAGTGAGGCACTTGCCCAGCGGATGTGGTGACCATGGTGTAGGCATTTGCTCTAGCTATTTGAAGAATGGCTCTGTTTCAGAATGCCTCAATTTAAAACATATATCCCAGTTTCTAAATCCAGAGGCTTTTTTTAGGCCCTCAAGAGCATCGAGTGTTTGGAGGAAGATGCACAGAAAGCCGGCGAGGCTGTGGTGCCTGGGTTGGATGCTGACGCCCTGTTGTCAGACTCAGGCGACCTGCTGGTTGAGGACGGGCCATCACAGCTGGAGGAGCTGGCTGACTTTATGGAGCAGGTATGGGGGTTTCTCCTTTTTAAGTAAACTTGACCTTTTTATAAGAACAATCACTTTTTAAATTCAAGTTGTAAGGAACTTAATTGACCTTTATTAATGTGCTACTAACCCAATTTAAAACACTTTTCTGGAGCAGCTTACACCTATTGAAAAATACGCCTTGAATTACCTGGAATTTTTCCATACTTCCTTTGAGCAAGAAAAACAGAGAAGTAGTGGGGTAAGTGGGTCTACTTTGGGTCAGTTTAACATGAAGAATCTCAAATTTTCAGTGTTGAATTTAGTTTGAAGTACATGTGACTTCACTGAAGTAGCAGAAGCCCAGCCTCGGGCAAGACGGAAACAACTCTGGGCAGCTGTGAAGCTTACGTTTACATTGGTTCTCTGTGTTTGAGTCAAAGCAGCCTAGTAAGAGGGTATTCTGTTTGGGCTGACAGGAGAGGGGCCAGTGTCCAGCACTGAGCCAGGAGACTGCCACTGCGTTTCAGGGTCGGTGCCTGGGGGTGGGCACTGCCTCTTCTGCTTCCGAACGTGCTGCTTCTGCTGCTCTGCCTGCCAGGATGCAGTCATGGCGTCGGTGAGGGAGTGGGAGTCCCGGAACATGAAGGCGCAGCAGGACAGAGAGGCCCAGCTGCAGCTGGAGCAGGAGGAGGCCGAGCTCCTCACCTACACCCGAGAGGATGCCTACAGCATGGTACGGAGCGGGCCTGCACCCCTGCCTCGGGCACAGTTGTTCAGCTGGGGGCGGCTTTTGCAAACCTCCATGCATCTCCTCGAGAAAATGCCCAGGAATTTTTATTCTGTCAAAACAACCAAATTCATGTGTGTTTGTTGTTGTTTTTAAGATTTACTTATTGACTTGAAAGGCAGTTGGGGAGAGAGCATGTAAGCAGGCGCTCCTCCATCTGCAGGTTCCCTCTCCAGATGGCTGCAGTGGCTAAGGCTGGGTTAAGCTGAAGCCAGGAGCCAGGAACTCTATCCAGTAACTCCTATGTGGGTGCAGGGGTCCAAGCACTTGGGCCATCTTCCACTGCTTTCCCTGGCGCATTAGCAGGGAGCTGGATCAGAAGTGGAGCAGCCGGGACCCAAAACTGGTGCCCACATGGGACACTGGCATTGCAGGGGATGGCTTAACCCTCTGTGTGCCACATTGCTGGCCCCCATAATTTATGTTCTGAAGCAGGTATTTCTTGGTGGCTGTCACTTTGTTAGGGATTTGCATACTTGGTGGCTTCTAAATTGCTTTGCAGCTCTAAAAAGCATGTTTATGAGTTTTTCAGTACTTATGTTGGCCAGACTTACTTGGAAGACCCACGTATGAAAATAATTTGAAGCTTACAGCATGAAGCTAAGACTTTGTCCCATTTAAAGCACACCTGTGTTTCCTGCAGGAATATGTCTACGAGGATGCTGACGGGCAGACAGAGGTGATGCCGGTAAGCAGCCCTCCTACTGTGTCTGAGTGAGCAGCTCCCTGCCTGCTCCCTGTCTCACTGAACTGTCCTCTCCATACAGCTCTGGACCCCACCCACTCCCCCTCAGGATGACAATGACATCTACATTGACTCGGTTATGTGTCTCATGTATGAAACCACCCCCATCCCAGAAGCCAAGCTACCCCCAGTGTATGTGAGGAAGGAACGCAAGCGGCACAAGACGGACCCCTCAGGTGGGCATTATGGCGTCGGGGGGCCCAGAGCATTGCCTTCCTCCTATAGAGCCCTCAAGTGTTGTCACTTGGCTGCCCTGCTGTGGCCAAGCGGCCATCTGCCGTCTGTCTGCGTGCCCTCTGTTGTCCCAGTGAGGAAACAGAAAAGTTGGTTTTGTCTCTAATGGATGCTTTCCAAGCCCACTTATCCACATGCTCCTTGTGCCCTCCTTGCTCCCTTTTTACTCCCTTTGTTCTGTGTCTCCCTGTTCAGCTGCAGGCAGGAAGAAGAAGCAGCGGCACGGAGAAGCAGTTGTCCCGCCCAGGTCGCTGTTCGACCGAGCCGCACCGGGCATGCTCAAGATTCGGCGAGAAGGCAAGGAGCAGAAGAAGAACTTGCTGCTGAAACAGCAGGCTCAGTTTGCCAAGCCCCTGCCCACTTTTGCCAAGCCCACAGCTGAGTCTGGGCAGGACAGTCCCGAGTGGCTCATCGGCGAGGACTGGGCCCTGCTGCAGGTGTGCGGTGTGGCCCTTGGTGTGTCGAGCTGTGGGATCGCCCTGTAGACAGCCTTTGGCTGAGGGAAGGCCTCTCGCTCCCAGTGCACTGACCTCTTTTTTGCTGAAACCCGGTGCCCTAGGCCGTAAAGCAGTTGCTGGAGCTGCCTCTGAACCTCACAGTTGTGTCGCCGGCCCACACCCCAAACTGGGATCTTGTCAGCGATGTCGTCAACTCCTGCAGCCGGATCTACCGCTCTTCCAAACAGTGCCGGAATCGCTACGAGAACGTCATCATCCCAAGAGAAGAGGGGAAGGTGAGCCCAGCCTCATTGTTCTGAGAGGGGGTCCAGGTGCGCTGACCTCAACCTGCAGTGCTGGCCAGGGCCAGCTCGTGTTCGCCACGTCGGTGGTAAAACTGGCCTCAGGGCTCTGAGGATTCATGAGGCTGAGGGTCTACAGGTCTGCACGGGGCCTGGTCCGTAACACAAACAGTGATAGAGCTCGACCCTGAACTTGAAAGTTAGGGTCATATTTGATGCTGACAGCTGACCTGACTCCTGATGTTTTATCTGAACCAGCCTCCGTGTTGCAACTGTTATTTGGAAAACTCTCCTCTGAGTACTGGGTCACATCTTGGCTTTTTTCCTTTTTTAAAGAAAGTGTTTGTTGAGTGAGTAAAAGGAACTCTTCCTTTGTCATAGTCGTTAACTCAGTTACAGGAAGGTTTGTCACTGTTTCCTGTGCTGTTGTGGTGTGGAATGCTGGCACACTGCAGTCATTCGGCACTACAGATGCTGTTTCTGGATTAACTGTACACTGAAAGGCTAACTACCTGGGCTAAATTGAGTCCCAGCACCACTCCTTAAAGAGGCTGGCTGGCTGTGGTTTACAGCCCGGCTTAGATGAGCAGCACTGCTGGTCTGGGCTGCATGCCGCCACCACCACACCTGCCTTGCCTCACCTTTTCTCCACCTGGCAGTCTTCTCCTAGCCCCTGCTCCTTGCCTGCAGCTCTGGCCTCTCCCCAGGGCTCTGCTGTGCCAGTGTGTCCGCCTCTCCAGTGCCCTCTGTGGTGATGGGTGCTGCAGCTGGTGTGCGGGGGCAGCTGCCCTGCTGAGCACCTCAGGGCCCTGTCGCAGCAGGAGCTGTGGTCCCGTCTTCCAGCTGTGACAGGGTAGGACAGGTGCAGGAGAGAAGGGCAACTAGTAGTTTTTATTGAGTTTGCTATGATGCCTTCTGTGTCCAAGCCAGATCCGTCGTGGTAAGAACACCACACTAAGTTCATTTCTGAAATCACTCTGAGTCATCCTGGTTCTTATCTAAAAAATTCTTGTGCCTAAACAGAAACTGTTTCTTAGCTTTTTTGTTTAAAGTAAAAAGGCAAGCCCTCCTCAAAATACCATTCTGGCCAGTGCCGCGGCTCACTAGGCTAATCCTCCACCTGCGGTGCCGGCACCCCAGGTTCTAGTCCTGGTCGGGGCGCCGGATTCTGTTCTAGATGCTCCTCTTCCAGTCCAGCTCTCTGCTGTGGCCCGGGAAGGCAGTGGAGGATAGCTCAGGTCCTTGGGCCCTGCACCCGCATGGGAGGCCAGGAGAAGCACCTGGCTCCTGGCTTTGGATCAGCGCAGTGCGCCAGCCACAGTGGCCATTGCGGGGTGAACCAACGGGAAAGGAAGACCTTTCTCTCTGTCTTTCTCACTGTCCACTTTGCCTGTCAAAAAAAGAAAAAGAAAAAATACCATTCTGTGGTACCTTCACCAATACAGTGACCTGCCTGAAATCTTGTGTTAAGTCATTTATGTTGCAGAAGCATTTATATTAATGGTCATTGCCTTCTATGGAAGCAAGTCAGACTAAGCTTTGTTCTTCTCTCATAGCTGAACAGGGCAGAATGCACTCGTAGTTATGAAGGTGGAACACAGAATAAATTGGAAAACTGACAGCTGGTGCTGCGGAGTTCGTAGGCAGCCCCTAGTCAACCTGCAGTTAGTGGCCAGCACTTCTGGAGCCTCTTCCTCCTTTGTAGAGTTTGCTGTGAGTCAGGAAACACGCAGAGACGTGCTGACCTCCCCGGGAACTCCCTGACCCTTTTCACACCCAGTCATCTCTGCCGGTGAAATGTGCATAGCTGAGGCACCCATACCCGTTGCACCATGCAGGGCTCCAGTGTGTGCCTGTGGCGTAAGCAGGTTCCTTCACTGAACACACAGTCGTTCCTGCCCTGGCCGTGGCTTGGGCCTGGATCGCTGTCTGTAGACTGCCATGGTCTCGTCCTGACTCGCCCTTTCTCCCCACCTCCTTTCCTGAGTTTTATTTGCATGTGAGAATGCACCCATGTCTGCCACAGAACCGCCTGGTTCAGCACACAGACCAGTGTAACCTTGCACTTTGGCTTTCTTGTCCTGATGTTCCTTGGTATTACCTTGGAACTCAAGGCATTTGGTAGTAGCCACATGTGTGCACATATATGTGTACATGCGTAGATGGGTGGGTGGTCATGCCTGCACCCAATGCTGCTGTGTTGGTGCAAGGCTTCATGGGAATAATCAGAAATGCCAAGGGGAGGGACCCTAGAGAGGGAGGAGGAACTCTGAGCTCTGGGACCCTGTGTAGGGGTCCCTTGTCTGGGCTTCTGTCCACAGGAGGAGGAGCTGCCTAACATTCTGTGGGCTGCTGGGATATCTCGGGAGTGAGTAGATCAGTGGCCTCTTGTTAAGCTGCAGGATTTGTGAAGAGAAGACGTCCATTTTGTTTCAGAGCAAAAACAACCGCCCCGTGCGCACGAGCCAGCTCTATGCGCAGGATGAGAACGCCGCCCACACCCAGCTGTACACAAACCACTTTGAGTTAATGAAGACCACTGCTGGCAAGAGAAGCCCTCCCATCAAGCCCCTGTGAGGCCCCACCTGGTCTTTTATGTGGGTGGTGACTGAGGGAAAAGTGTTTCGGGGTCTGATAATCTGTGCACCAAGGTCTTCTGGGTGGAGTAACCACTGTCTCCTTTCCTGTGCCGCAGGCTCGGCATGAACCCCTTCCAGAAAAACCCCAAGCATGCCTCTGTGCTGTCGGAAAGGTATGTCTGTGTCAGGGCTCACTAAGTGTAACGAGCCATGCAAAGAGCGCGTTCCGGACTCTGGCATTCAGCAAGGAGAAGGGTTGATAGATGGGCAGAGAAATGGGAGACGCGCAGTTCCGGTGGAATCTGAGTGCTGAGGCTTGTGGTGTTTGCTGTGTTTCTATAATGCTGGAAAAAGGAGTTCCTGAGGTGAAGTGGTCACCCCTGCCAGGCGCCATCACTGCCCAGGGTCAGTCTGGAGTCCCTCTTGCCGGTTCCTGCTTCCTTCCCGGGCTCCACGGAGCCACTAAGCATCCTTGTCAGAGCGAGCCAGCTCCTGATGCATCTGCTGACAGCCCCTGACACGGCTCCCTTCAGCCATCCTGCCTGAGCCTGAGACAGGCCCGGGTTCTGCCCTGCCCTGCTGCCTGAGTGTCCCAGCCACTGTGCCTCCTGAGGCCGGGCCACCTGTTGAAAGCCACATGCCTGCACTGCTGTTTTTCTCTGTAGCATGAAGCATCTTTGGCTGAGCTGTGTCTGTTCCTTGTTGTCTCTGAGCCTGCAAGCGTGGAGTAGGCGTTCATCATGCGACTCGTGCAGCTCGTGGTTGCCGACGGGCCTCAGGCCGCCCAGTGCTGGGCTGTGTGCTCAGTACGACAGTCACAGCCCTGTCTTCAGCCAGCATGAGGAAGTCCTCGGGCGATCACGGCAGTAGTTTTCTGTGGTGTGTGGGGAGAGGCTTGCACGGGCGAGCAGAGAGCCTCTCTGCGATGTGAGTGCGGCCTGACATTGCAGGCACCAAACCTCTGCGTGGCCGCGCCTGGTGTTGAGGTGCCCCCCCACCCTGTAGGAAAGTGGAGGTGGCGCAGCTGAGCGAGGTGAAGCACAGCACCCAGGGGTTGGGGGGGACATGGCTGTGGGGCTACTGGGGGTTCTATGTGGACAGTGTGTTGAGCTCATGGGGGCGGGCAGTGTCCCCCAGCCAGAGTCTGATGACAGTACCAAGCCCTGCATATACCACACTTTCTCCTCTTCGTGGAAAGGAAGCACTTCACCACGCCTGTGCTTTGGCCGTTGCTGTTAAGTGGAGCGTAGCTGCTTGGACACAGGCACTGCCGCACCAGGCGGTTGATCTGAGCGCTGACCGAGGGGCAGCGTCGTGTGCAGTGCTGACTCACGTCCCAGGGGCAGGACGAGGCAGCGTGAAGTCTCCTCATACCACTCAGGACTGCGCGTGATTGACATTTTAGGAGCTGCTCATTTCTGGAGTTTCCCATTTGATGTTTGTGGTCACTGTCAACTGTGGGTCACTAAAACTGCAGGGCGGGAGGTTGTGGGGAAGGGCGGATGAACACCATGTCTTTAATTTTTGCTTCTGTCTCTCAGTGGGATCAACTACGACAAGCCACTGCCTCCCATTCAGGTTGCGTCTCTCCGTGCAGAGCGGATTGCCAAAGAGAAAAAGGTGTGCACTCTGGACCCTCAGACTCACACGGGACGCTGCCTGATCGCCTCTGTGCCCGGTTGGCCTGGCGTGGCTGGGTCCCTCTTCAGTGGCTTCTCTGTTCTGATCCTTTAGGCCCTGGCTGACCAGCAGAAGGCGCAGCAGCCAGCCGTGGCTCAGCCACCTCCCCAGCAGCAGCAGCAGCCCCCACCACCACCTCAGCAGCCACCACCACCACTGCCACAGCCACAGGCCACAGGCAGCCAGGCACCAGCAGGACCGCCAGCGGTGCAGCCTCAGGCCCAGGCCCAGGCCCCAGCACAGCCACAGCCTGTGCAGGCTCCACCAAAGGGGCAGCCTGCCATCACCACCGTGGGCAGCGCTGCAGTGCTGGTGAGGAAAGGCCACTGGCCCTGTGTGCCGGGCTGCCCCTCCCACCCCAGCATTTGGCATGAGTGCTTCCTGTAGGGCTGAGCACATGGTACCAGTTCCGACCGCTGCCAGCCAGCAAACCTTCCTCTCTGGGGAAACAGGACAAAAGACTTGGTCTTTCTCTAGCATATGCGGGGAACCTTTTTTTCTGACAAGGGCCATTTGGATATTTATAGCATTATTTGCAAGCCACACAAAATTATCAGCTAAAAAATTAGCCTGCTGCAGATGATTGAATTCCATGTCCTGCCTGTGGTTGCCTTGGCAGGGCCAGACCAGGTGATTTGGTAGGCCCTGAACAACCAATGGACTGGATGTTGCCCAGGCCTGCCCTAGGGGAAGTGTGTGTCTCCCCCACCAACTCTGCTTTTGGGGGCTTGGTGATTTTCCTGGATTTAGAAGCTGGAGCAGCTGTTGTTAGTGGAGGCGATGAGGAAGTTTGGAATTGTCCGAATCCCCTAAAATACAACTAGGACTAATTCTTGTCACTCCCCCAGATGTACAGATAGACATGTGCCCACGTGTCTAAGCTAGCCGCCGCCTTCTTCTTTTTTTTTTTTTTTAAAGATTTATTTGAAAGTCAGAATTACGCAGAGAGAGGAGAGGCAGAGAGAGAGAGAGAGGTCTTCCACCCGGTGGTTCACTCCCCAGATGGCCGCAACAGCCGGAGCTGTGCCGATCCTGTCTCCCACGTGGGTGCGGGGGCCCAAGGACTTGGGCCATCTTCTGCTGCTTTCCCAGGCCATAGCAGAGAGCTGGATAGGAAGTGGAGCAGCCGGGTCTCGGACCAGCGCCCATTTGGGATGCCGGCGCTTCAGGTCAGGGCGTTAACCCACTACACCACAGCACTGGCCCCTAAGCTAGCCTTCTGAGAACATACGTACATGGATGTGCTCATCCACATGCATGGATCTTAAGTGCCCTTTGTGAAATAAAGCTGTAAAATGCACAAGAAGGTGGCAGGTGATGTGGCGCAGTGGGCTAAGCTGCCACGTGGAACACCTGGATCCCATATCGGTGCTGGTTAGAGTCCCAACTCCTGTGCTTCCAATCCAGCTTCCTGCTAATGGGCCTGGGAAGGCAGTAGATGAATGATGGCTCAAGTACCTGGGTTCCTGCCACTCATGTAGGATGGGTTCCTGGCTCCCGGCTTCAGCTGGCCCAGATCTGACTGGTATGGGTATTTGAAGAGTGAACCAGTGGAAACATGAGCCTTCTTGTGTGTGCATACTCTCTCTCTCTCCCTTATTCTGTCTTTCAAATAAATAAATATCTAGAAAAGAAAACTGCCAAAAAGCACAGGAAGGAAAGGCAGAGTTACAGTCCGGCAAGCTGCAGTGTCGCACCCCTTTGCTGCTGTGTGTCTCGTAGCTAAGCATGTGTGTTGCAGATGTTGGGATAGCAGGTGCAGTCACAACACCGTCAGCCAGGCAGGAAAGTCTCTTCTGTGTGGAACTGTTTTTTCCTCCATCTATTTATTTCTTTTAAAAAATTATATTTACTGTAGTGGGAATTTTATGTACACTCAAGAAATTTTGTTTTTCATTCATCCAAAAGACATACAAGTCTCTGTTTAACATTTGCTTGGTAGGAGGCCTGCCCCAGTGAGCAGCAGCACAGGCATGGTGCCAGCTCACTGGAGTGTGCATCCTGGCAAGGAGGTGGCCATTCAGACAGAGTAAGGTCATTTTAATGCTATCAGGAAGGGGTCAGGTGCAGGTGGCTGGTGGTGTGAGCCAGGGGCCAGCGCTGGGGTCGGCTATGCAGTGTGTGGCTGTGTGTGCACATGGGCGTGAGCTTAGATTTGGTTCTGAATGAAATGGGAGTCCTGGGAAAACTCAGGCAGGGGAGAACTTGGTGTGAAATTCAAATGAGCTTTCTTTGTTAAACAGGCAGGAACCATTAAGACGTCAGTGACAGGAACAAGCATGCCAACTGGTAAGAGACGCAGCTGTGTGCTGAGGAGGGAGACTGGTATGTTCATATGCTAACCCCATGCGTGACTCTGCTACAGGCACCGTGAGTGGAAATGTGATAGTGAATACCATTGCGGGTGTCCCTGCAGCCACCTTCCAGTCCATCAACAAGCGCCTTGCCTCGCCTGTGGCTCCTGCTGCCTTGCCTGTGAGTTGTCCCTGCACCTGGGGAGCACATGTGGCTTGAAGTCTGGGGAAATTAACTGCCTTTCAGAATATTCCATTGGTGAAGAAAGTATTGATGTGGTTTAAATTTCACAAAATAACCTGATGAGCATGGCAATTTCAGAAACACTCAGATGTGTAGGAATGGTTTCTGTTTGGTAATTTGAGGGAATGAAAACAAGAGTTTGATGTTTATATGTTGAAAATTTCCCCCCACCATATGATTTTCAGAGAGGAGCTGGGAGCAAGGGGATGCATTGCTGATTGTGGTGGCACAGGTGCCCCCAACTGCACCTGGCAGTGCCTGTGTGGGGAAGCAGAGGAGCCGCGGTTCTCTTGGAGGTTGCGGGAGGGGACGCATGTCCTGCTGGGACAGACTTTGCCTCACACGTGCTGCCGCAGTGAGGAGCACAGGTGCAGGATCAGGGATACACCCCGCCTGGGTGAAGGTACAGGCCTGGGAGAGTCAGAAACACAGCCCAGCGTCCAGCCCCTGATTTTCTCTGAAGGTTCACCTTCTGAACAGAACAAAATGGAGCTCAGGGACTGTTAAGGTATGAACTCTGATTGCTCACTTAATCACAGAATGAGGAGAACCTGACACGTCAGGCTTAGGTGACTTTGGCTGTAGAATGCCGTCCATCTTGGGTTGTGTTAGAATTTTTATTTTCCTTTTATTTAAAAGATACAGAGACAGAGATGTGGATCTTCACTCTGCTGATTCACCTCCCAAATGCCTGTGACAACCAGAGCTGGACTAGGCTGAAGCCAGGAGCTAGGAACTCCATCTGGGTCTCCCACATGCGTGGCTGGGACCCAAGTACTTGAGCTGTCTTCCTGCTTTCTGGGGTGTGCGTTAGGAAGCTAGATCAGAAACAGAGCTGGACCTCAAACCCAGGGACTCACAGGAAGGCTGTGGGCATCCCAAGAGAGTCTGCCTGAGGATGGTGTTGGCCAAAGCATGGACCCACAGATGAGTGGAACTGCATAGGGTGTAAAAGAGCCTCGTCCTTCTGTGTGGGCAGTTCATCCTGGTGATAGTGCCAAGGAAGTTCAGTGGAGAAGGATGGTCTTTCCAATAAAGGGTGTTAGCTGGGTAGCCATACACAGCCCGTAACTTACACCGTGCGTAAAAGTCGCTCCGGAGTGGTGTTCAGCTTAGCAGAGCTTCTCCCAAGAAATCAGGGTGCCATTGTATGTACAGAATGGAGTAGAGCAGAAAACTCATTCTGTAACCCGGAAAAGGTCTTTTGTCTTGGTGATGAGTTGAGAGTGGTCATTTTTACACCTCTCTCTCAGTGAGTGAAAGGAATGAAAATTACTGAATAAAACATTTTTTAAATTTTAAGTTTCGAGGGACTGGTACAAGAACAAATTGTTATCAGACCCAAATGTCAGGGAAAGAAGCAGCCCCAAGAAATAAACAGGATGTACTGAGGCTGTGTGTGCCGTGAGCGTCAGTTCCAGCATGTGGTATGAGGGGAGTAAAGGTCAAGCCTAAAGCTTGCCCCACATGGACTCTGAAAGGACGCTGTGGACATATGAGCTGGGCCCAAGGTCCAACGTGAACTCCACCACGGGGCGAGAGTACACCGGAGGTGAGACCCACCACCTGCCACTCCTGGTGCTGACCGAGTGCAGAGGGTGGCCCTTAGTTCGCAGTGGTGGTGCTGGGCGGCACGTCCTGTCCAGGAGACTGTGCTTCACCTTTGATGTCTTAGAGCTCCACAGATAGTTATTTTTGGAAGATTGATTTATTTGAAAGGCAGAGTGAGGGAGAGACAGAGCAAGAGACAGGGGAGATATCTTCTGTCTGCTTGTTCACTTCCCAGATGGCTATAACAGCCAAGTGTGGGTCAGGCTGAAGCCAGGAGCCCGGAACTCCATCTGGGTCTCCCACATGGGGGCCAGGTACCCATGTACTTGAACCATCAATGTTGCCTTCCCAGGCACATTAGCAGAGAGCAGGATTGGAAACAGAGCAGCCGGGATGGGACAGCACTCCAAATGGGATGCTGGAGTTGCAGGCAGTGGCTTAACCCACTGTGTCACAACACTGACCCCAGTTTTCAGGTACAGTGAGTAGCAGACAATGAACAAAGTAGGCACCAGGAGTGGAAACTAGCAGAAACAAGCATGAGACATTGAGATTACCAGGTTTAGTTTAGAAACCAATTAACTAGGGGCCGGTGCTGTGGCGCAGCGGGTTAACGCCCTGGCCTGAAGCATCGGCATCCCATATGGGCGCCGGTTTGAGACCTGGCTGCTCCACTTCCGATCCAACTCTGCTATGGCCTTAGAAAGCAGTGGGAGACCTGGAAGAAGCTCCTGGCTCCTGGCTTTGGATTGGCACAGCTCTGGCTGTTGCGGCCAATTGGGGAGTGGACCATCGGATGGAAGACCCGTCTCTCTCTCTCTGCCTCTCCTCTCTCTGTGTATCTCTGACTTTCAAATAAATAAATAAATCTTTTTTTTTTTTTTTAATAAACCAATTAACTATGGCAAGCATGGTGTAGCAAGTTAAGCTGCTGCTTAGAAAGCCGGCATCCCATATCAGGGTACCATTTTTAGTTCCGATTGCTCTGTTTCCAATCCAGCTTCCTGCTTATGTGCCTGGGAGGTGGAAGTGGAAGATGGCCCAATTACCCAGGCCCTTGCTACACACATAGGAGGCCAGGATGGAGTTCCTGGCTCCGGGCTTCAGCCTGGCACAGATCTAGCTGTTGGGGTCATTTGAGGAGTGAACCAGTAAATCAAAGATTTCTCTTTCTCTTTCAAATAAACAAATCTTTTTAAAAATTAGACTGTATTTAAAGAAATAAAAGGCCGGCGCCGCGGCTCACTAGGCTAATCCTCCGCCTTGCAGCGCCAGCACACCGGGTTCTAGTCCCGGTTGGGGCGCCGGATTCTGTCCCGGTTGCCCCTCTTCCAGGCCAGCTCTCTGCTGTGGCCCGGGAGTGCAGTGGAGGATGGCCCAGGTGCTTGGGCCCTGCACCCCATGGGAGACCAGGAAAAGCACCTGGCTCCTGGCTCCTGCCATCGGATCAGCGCGGTGCGCCGGCCGCGGCGGCCATTGGAGGGTGAACCAACGGCAAAAGGAAGACCTTTCTCTCTGTCTCTCTCTCTCACTGTCCACTCTGCCTGTCAAAAAAAAATAAATAAATAAATAAAAAAGAAATAAAAGAAGTTGGAGAACATGTTTTTTAACCGGAAACTATATTTAAAAAGAGAACTTTTAGAGATTAAATCTATAAGTACCAAAATTGGAAGAAGAGAATAACCCTTACAGATGGATTTAATGACAGAGCTGGAGAGAATTAGTAAACTGGGAGAGAAGGCAGAAGAATTGCCCAAGTTCAGCAAGGAGAGAAGATGGTCGTGCTGCTAAGCTCCTGGGAGCCATGACCCTGCTGTGGGGGTCCCGGGCTAGACGGAGAGCAAACCCAGCAGAAGCTGTGCTTCAGCAGCTTGGTTTCCCAGAGCTGATGTGTGCACGCACAAGCCCAGCTGGTCTCCAGGCAGCGACACGGAGGGGAACTCACGGAGACCCAGGCAGGGGAGGAAGGCGTAGCAGTTACCGTTTAGGGCAGCGATTATGCCAGGAGCCTGCAGGGCTTGGTCACGGTCGAGAGTTTAAGTCCTGCCTTTGACTTTTAGATGAGCCACCAAATGAGTGAGAATGGAGTCTGCAGCTGCCAGGCTTTGGGAAGGCAGGTCCTGGAGGAGGACATCTGGTGACGCGAGGGAGCAAGCAGCCTGCCAGCTTTCAGTCTGAGCACGAGAGACGTGCAGGGGTCCAGGACAGGCGGGGCCAGCCTCTGAACCAGGGGAGCCTAAGGGACTTCAAGGTGGAACTGCTAGGGTTGGTGCAGCACTTCGGGAGAGGCCTTGAGCAGGGTCGCAGCTGCTTCTGCCCTGGCCTGAGGTTGGAGCTCCGAGGCAGTGAGTGGGCAAGGCCCAGGCTGTGCCTGCAGATTTGGGAGTGAGGGGGAGAGTCAGGACCCTGGAGGACAGTTAGGAATTCGAGATACTCCCTGGGCCAGACAGCCTCTTCATCTGGAAGCGTCGCTCCTCTGTGGGCAACCTGACCTGCTGCAGGAAGACATGGCTGAGTGCCCCAGGTACACTCTTGGCACTCACGCACCCTGACCAGAGACTGATGCAGGATGTGCGTCTGGCACACTTTGTTTCCTGTCACGTCGGAGGAGCAGGGACTTTGATACATTTATATGTTTGCTTTTCGTAGGCAACTGGAGGTTCTGCTCCTGCCCAGGTGGTTCACACCCAGCCACGAGCAGTTGGCTCCCCAGCCACAGCCACCACCGACCTGGTATCCATGACAACAACTCAGGGTGTTCGAGCTGTCACTTCAGTGACAGCCTCAGCTGTGGTCACCACCAACCTGACCCCGGTGCAGACCCCAGCACGGTCTCTGGTGACGCAGGTGTCCCAAGGTATAAGCATGCCTGGCGTTGGCCTCTGTCTCTGCCCACTGTGAGAGCCTGAGTGGACACCTGACGCAAATCCCTTCACAGCCACAGGGGTTCAGCTTCCAGGAAAGACCATCACACCGGCACATTTCCAGCTCCTGAGGCAGCAGCAGCAGCAACAGCAGCAGCAGCAGCAGCAGCAGCAGCAGCAGGCCTCCCAGGTGCAGGTTCCGCAGATGCAGGGCCAGACCCAGTCCCCTGCACAGATCAAAGCCGTGGGCAAATTGGCACCGGTGAGCATTTCCCAGAAAGTCGAAAGCAGACCCACCTGCACAGGAGCTGTGCAGTGCTGGGTAGTGCACGTCGAGGGGTATTGTGAACAAGCTTTGTCTTCAGTTAGGAGGTGATGTGTTATGTTTCCGTGGGACTCTATGCAGGGGCCCTCTGGTTAGCTTTCTTGAGTATTGTACACAGCAGGTCATTCACCAGAGAGGACCAGGGGGTCCCCTTGGTCCATTCCTGACCAGAGAATGCTGGTGAGAAAGTTGCCCACGGTGTCAGGAGGCCAAGTAGCAGAAACGATTTTGTTTAAGGGATATTGCACTTGCAGCACTGTTTGAAAGCTGGTCATGTGAGTGGCCATCCTGATTTGACCCGTTGGACACCTCTCCTGCTGTCACTCACTGAAGCATATTTGTTTAAAAAGGACAGGTTGTATCATATCACTGTTGTAAATGGAAAGTTATCAGTAGGAAGTAACCAGAACAGCACACACAGTGAAAAAACAAGGTGCTTTTCTGAATTCCCAGCTAGCAGCTGGGCCTGAGCCTGTTCTTTCTCAGACAGAGAGGGCCGGAGGGGTCCTTCCAGAGCTGGGCCATGTCCCATGTCCCCTCTGAGGCCTGTCTTCTTTTTCTTCAGAATGGTTGGTGCCTTCTCAGTGGTCTTGTAGCCACCGCTGGGCCTGCCTCGTTCCTTTGGAGAAACGGTTACAGTTGTGTGCCCTGGTGTAGTGGCCACTAGCCAGCTGCGTGTAGTTATTGAGAGAAACTTGCAGCAGAGAAACCATGAGGATCCCCCTGTGTCCCTGCATCTGTTTTAGGGCCCACTGACCACTGTGGTTGCTGCATGGGACTGCCCAGGGCTAACCTGTTCCCGGGCTCAGTAAAGGTGGGCTGACGGATGCACAGAGCTGGGCCTGAACTCCTTTTCCAATTGGGTGTGTTTCCTACTCTCGGGGTGGGCAGCAGCCCAGACCTTGACCTATCCACCCCTACACGTTCCTGTACTCCTCATCGACCCCTCTGAGCCAGTGTCAGTGTTGTTTTCAAGAGGCATTGGGAGTCATGAGCAGTTTAGTGTGAGTTCTCTGGACCGTTTATTTCTTAAAACACTTCCTGAACTTAGTATCCTGGTGTCTCCATATTTTTACTTCTTTTAACGATGTAATGCATAAACTGTTTATTATTAAGTTATTAATACATTTAATGGTGTTATAGATTTATTTTTTAGGAATTTTTTAAGTTATTTGAATGATGGCAGGAGGGAGAGAGATCCTCCATCTGCTGGCTCACTCCCCAGATGGTCACAATAACCAGGGCTGGGCTAGGCCGAACCTGGGAACCTGGAACTCCATTCAGATCTCCCATGTGGTTGCAGGCGCGCAGGCACTCGGGCCATCTTCCGCTGCTCTCCCAGGCACTGCAGGAGGCGGCTTCACCTGCTGTCCCGCAGTGCTAGCCGTGGTGCTGTCGATGGAGAGTGCCATGAGCGATGGGACCTTAGCAGTTCTGCCCGTACTAACCTGTCACTAGCACTGATGAGACGCTGGGAGGGCTTAGGGGTGGTTTGCTGTCTGCACTGGAGCAGGTCTGAGTGCCTCACAGAAAGGAAGACATTCAGTGTAAAGGGTGAGGGCTGGGTAATGTGCAGACAGTGTTTTTTCTTTGGGTTTTAGGAACACATCATCAAAATGCAGAAGCAGAAGCTGCAGCTGCCCCCGCAGCCCCCACCGCCACAGGCCCAGCCAGGACCCCCGCAGCCCACAGCCCAGGTGCAAGTGCAGCCGCCACAGCCCCCACAGCAGCAGAGCCCGCAGCTCACCACAGTCACGGCTCCACGGCCCGGAGCGCTGCTCACAGGCACCACGGTGGCCAACCTCCAGGTGGCCCGGCTTGTAAGTTGTAGTTTATGGGTTTATTTTCCAAAAGCAATGTCTTTTCCCGTCTTGGCTGAGCTCTGTCTGTGGGCTTCAGCTGTCATGGACCTACAAGTGAAGCGCGAGACCCGAACTCTGACCCAGCAATACCTCCCAGAAACGATTGCCCCCGGGTTTCTTAGCTGCAACAGTGTAGACGAGGGAGCGTGTGACAGGCGGGTCAGACACTGTGTGTGGGTGAGGGGTAGGTGGGACTGAAGCCAGTGCCGTCAGCTGCTGGAGCCTCTTGGGAGGCAGGGAGAGCATTTGGGGACTTTGGGAGCTGGAACAAGGACAAGAAGCAAAGGAAAACAATTTTTGGGGTGGGTATCAGGCAGTGACAGCCTCCATCCTGGAGACTCGCCTGAGCTGTGCACTGCCCCAGGGCCCTGTGTCTGTCAACTGGCCCAGTGCTGGCGATCACTTCACAGCAGGGAGAACAGGCGAAGAAACTGACAGGCAAGCTGAGTGGGGGCCCAGATCCTGCTCTGGTCCACTGCAGCTCACTGGGTGTCAGGGCTGTTTCTCAGTCCTTCCCTGGAGATCTCTGGCAAGGGCCTCAGGGCTGTGTTCACAGGAAATGAGCGTTCGGAGGGAAGGGAGCCCGGCCCTGGCCAGGATCTGGGCACTGGCCGTGAGGACTGTGAAGGTGCGCACACCTCGGCCCTGCCCTGGAGAGGCAGCAACGCTGCTCCCGCAGCAAATGCACAGGTTCTGGGGACGGTGTGGGGCTCAGTGCCTGTTGCCCAGAGCCTCGCTGAGCACCCAGAGCGTCCATGCAGTGGGCGTGAGACAGCTCTGGAAGGTGGTCACTGTGCAGGCACCCATGATCCGCCACGTTTTACGTGCTGCCACCATGGCCACATGGATGGGAGCAGGGCCTCCGGGCTAAGAGCCGTTGTGACGTTTGTGCGTGGGTGATCTTCCCCCTTTCCTTTCCACAAGTAACCTGTGCACATAAAAATAGGCTCCTTTCCATTTTCCATTTTGGAAGTGTAGTGTGATGGGGAGGTAGGAGGCAGCGTCCTGCAATGGAGGTTTGGGTGGGAGTGGGCAGCAGGCTGCTCCTGGAGAGGCCTGGAGGCTGAGTGTCACACATGAGCGCAACTCCCCAACCCGTTAGCTTGAGGTGGTGCAGCAGCACCCCGGGTGTGGTGAGAGGCCTGAGACACTGGGTCTCCCTGCAGCGCATGAGCTGCCGAGTTTTCCTGTAGCCCCATTGCCAGCATCTCGGGTTTGTCAGTGTTTGTGAACTGTCTCGTGACTTGACCTCTTGTGGAGAAATGTTTGCAGACACACCGTGTCCTGAATGTCTCTGGACTCTCCTGTTATTTTCACTGTTTAGACCCGGGTTCCCACTTCTCAGCTGCAGGCGCAAGGGCAGATGCAGACCCAGACGCCCCAGCCGGCCCAGGTGGCCTTGGCGAAGCCGCCGGTGGTGTCCGTCCCAGCGGCCGTGGTCTCCTCGCCGGGAGTCACCACCCTGCCCATGAACGTGGCGGGCATCAGCGTGGCCATCGGGCAGCCGCAGAAAGCAGCAGGTGCCGCGTCCCAGCCCCCGCTGCTCCTTCCTGGGCTGCTCCCGCTTTATGAGTCCTGCTGGGTACAAGTGCCACCACCTTTGCTGTGTCCTCTCCCTGACCCCTGTCTCATGCTGTGGGCTTCTGCTTTAGAAGCAGTGCCTCTCCGAGGTTTCCAGTGACAGAGTCTGTCCCTCAGTTTAATCCTTAACGTTCCAAACCTTGCACATCTTCACTTACTTGTCAGTGTGCTTGGGGGGTGGCTTCCTCACTGGCAGCTCTTGGAGCAGAGCTGGCGTGGGGCTGACTGGCCCCTCGCTGCTGCAGGGCAGACCGTCGTGGCGCAGCCTGTGCACGTGCAGCAGCTGCTGAAGCTCAAGCAGCAGGCCGTCCAGCAGCAGAAGGCCCTCCAGCCCCAGGTTGCCCAGGGCCCAGCCGCCGTCCAGCAGAAGGTAGGTGTGGGTCCCACTGAGGGTCCCGTCTCCATGTGGCTGTCGCTGAGGTGAGAGTTGGCTGCCAGAGGGAGGTCCTGAGTAGATGGGGAAGAAGGCTTCTGGGTGGCTGCTGGTGTGGTCAGTGCTGTCCTGCTTTCTCCTCTCTTCCTGTGATGTGACAGTGGTCTGGGGATGAGGCTCTGGGGGCATCTGTAATGGCTGGGCACGAGACGGAATACAGGATGTGGGACTGCACGAGGGGCTCTGGGAAGCAGAGGCGGCTTACAGTGTGTGGCCCCCTGGAGTCCTGGTCCAGGCCAGGGCACTGCCTGGTTGGCATCCAAGCAAGAAGCACACGTAGGTGTGCGGGGAAGCATGAGGGAGTGGGGGAGGCCTCGGCGGAAGCCTCTGCTGAGCAAGGCCCGTGCCGTGCACACAGAGTTGGCATGAAGCTGGCCCTGCGCTCGTAGCTGGCCTTGAGTTGGCACCTGCAGCGCAGCACACAGTCTGAAGTAGGAGTGGCAGGCACGGGGTCCCAGCTGCTCGTGCTGCTCTCTGATCGCTCAGCACTCACGGGGAGCTCCACAGGACTCCAGTGCTTGTCCTCAGGTTGGAGCGGATGAGTTTGAGGAGACTGAGGCACAGAGGAAGAAGACAGGATGAGGGGCTGAGGGGCTGGCGCCACTGCGACCCTGGAGTCCGGGGCCCAGCACCATGCTGGGTGGCTGCCACCTCGTGCAGGGTCTACAGTGTCCGGCCGGTGCATGCCTCGTGCGCACAGCGTGGCAGAAAGCTGGAAGCAGAGCTGTTGTGGGAAACGTCGGGGGAGGGAAGAGCGTGAGCCGTGAGTGCTCAGAGACCCCAGTGCCAAGGGGGGGTGATTGGCAGGAGGGGATCAGCATTGCAAGGACATGGGGGCTCCATTGCATCACAGGTGCCCTTCAGACACACCTGACTTCCTCACACAGTGCCACAGTGTCCCAGGGAAGTGTGGGTGGAGAATGGTCATGTGTGACCAGGAGGTGGGCAGGTGGAACAAGGAGAACACTGGTGCTCAGAACCGCCTCCCAGCCCTTCCCACAGTGCCTGGCTTGGCACCTCCGGGGCAGGGCGGCCAGCACAGGGCCCCTGTGGGTGCTAGAGGCTCCTAGGAAGGAAGGCCTGGCAGGTGCGTGTTCAGCCTCTTGTCTGGTCCACAGACCCTCAGGGCACCAGCACTAACACAGTGTGCTCTGGGAAACCTGAGGCGGGGCCACACCGCAGGAGTGGTGGGCAGGCCTCAGCTGAAGTGCTGACCTACCTTTTCACATTGTGGAAAACCTGCAGCAGCCACAGGGTGCAAGCAGCCAAGCTGCCACCTGGGACGTCAGTGTCCCACATTGGAGTGCCTGGGGTGAGTCCCTGGCTCCTGGCTTCAGCCTGGCCTAGCTGCATCTGTTGTGGGCATTTGGGGTTGAACCGCTGGATGGGAGATGTCTGTCTGTATCTTACTCTTGTTGCCTTTCTTTTAAAGATTTATTTATTTATTTGAAAGGCAGAGTTACAGAGAGGCAGCAGCAGAAGATAGAGAAAGATTTCCATCAGCTGGTTTATTCCCTAAATGGCCACAGTGGCTGGAACTGGGCCGCATCGAAGCCAGGAGCTTCGTCCAGTTCTCCCATGTGGTGCAGGGCGCAAGGACTGCGCCATCTTCACCTGCTCTCCCAGGCGCATCAGCAGGGAGCGAGATCAGAAATGGAGCAGCCAGGACGTAGTGGATGCCGGTGTTGCAGGTGGCGACTCTACTCACTGTGCCACCGGCCGGCCCCTTTGTCTTTCAAATAAAATGGAAATAACTAAATAAAAACGGAAGTAACTTTAAAAAAAACTTTTAAAAAGAAAACTTAGACATTAACAAGTGTCATTGACGAGTGCTCACAGCTTGCGGAGCAGACGGAGGAGCCACATGTGTGTAGCCTTTTCAGCGGTATTTGGATTTTCCTGCAAAGAAAACTCAAAGTTAGATTCAGTGTGCAAAAGTGAAACACTTGGGCCTGCATGGTGGTGCAGTGAGTTAAACTGGTGCTGTAATGCCCAGCATCCCACATCAGAGCCGTGGTTCCCAGTGCCCGCAGCCCTGCTTCGAGCCAGCTCCGTGCTAATGTGCCTGGGGAAGCCGCAGGCGACGACCCAAGTGCTTGGGCCACTCCACCCACGTGGGAGACCCTGCTGGAGTTCCCGGCTCCTGGCTTCAGCCAGGCCCAGCCCCAGCCATTGCAGCCATCTGAGGAGTGAACCAGCCAGTGGAGATCTCTTTCTGTCTCTTTCCCCTGCCCCTTCACTCTACCTGTCAAATAAATAAATATATTATTAAAATGTTTATAATTATGCATCCAAGTCTATTATCCCTTGCACTGAGTATTTCTGGGTGTCTACCAAAGTTTTAGACCAGATTTGAGAAGGTAGGATCGCACAGTCACTTAAGCAATGGAAGATTTCACCAGGAGCCATGGAGGGTGTCAGGCTGCTACACAGGCTGGCCGTCCTGGGCCTGTGACTAAGCAGGAAGCCCCTGCTGCCGTCTGCGACACTCCTTGTGTGAGGTGGGCTGGAGGAGCCGGCCAGGGCCGCCCAGGAGAGGGGCTGGCAAGCTGCGCCAAGCAGACTGAAGTTCGGTGCCTGAGCAGAATGGAACAGAGGGACCAGGCAGGGCCACGAGCCGGAGTTGTACAGAGCACGTTACTTTGGTGCTGGGGTCCTGGGGTGAAGGCCAGGTGGTGGTCACAGAGGGGTCTGAGCCAGGGCATAATCATTATCCAGCTCTGACCTGCAGCCCCTCTCTCTCCAGATAACAGCACAGCAGATTGCTGCCCAGGGCCCACAGCAGAAGGTCACCTACGCCACCCAGCCAGCCCTGAAAACCCAGTTTCTCACCACACCCATCTCTCAGGCACAGAAACTGGCCGGGACTCAGCAGGTGCAGACCCAGATCCAGGTGAGCACAGCACCGCTCCTGCATGAAATGCGCGTGAGTACAGGTGGGGATGTCCTTGAAAGAGCGAGGCACAGTGCAGGTACCCTGTGGGCACGGTGTCACCACGCCACATGTGCCTATCGGGCTGTGTGAATGAATCCCTGGTGTCCGCACGCGTGTGCAGTGGAATCGCGAGAGTGTGGGTCCAGGCTTTCCTCAGGAGCGCGGGGCACGTCCTCGCCTGCAGCGCCGACGTTCCGAGCTCCGTCTGGACCAGGGAGGGAGCCGGAGCCTCCCCTCGGTGGGAGTTGAGTCTGACTTCCACCCGCTGCAGACCTCTTGGCTCTGCTCCTTTGGCCCTCAGTCTGGAGTTCCGCTCCCACTGGGACTGTGGTCTCATGTCCTTTGTGGTCTTGCAGTCTGTTGTGTTGGGTGTCTTGTGTCTCACCACGCTGCCTTCTGAATCTTGAAGGTTCTGCGTGTGACACTGAAGTCCGAGTAGGGTAAAGTGTCCATGTCACACCCCATTACTGGTCACACCATATGTGAGAAGGTCCGTTCTCCTCCACGATCCACGTTGCCACCTCCAGCCACTCCGGTGCAGTGTTTGTGGCTAGGCTGTGCCACACGTTGGCACCCAGTGTGTGTGAGGCCAGTTCTTCAGGAGTGTCTAGGCTGTCCCTGGCTCCTTGCACTTCCGTGTTAATGTGAGAGTCTGAACAGCAGAAATAATGCTGCTGGAGCTTTTAGGAGCATGCACAGATCCCGGAGGTCAAAGCTGAGCTCTTACCCATGGCTCAGATTCTCCAGCATAATCTCTCTCTCCAGTTACTGCAGTCTCCTTGAGGCCTTTGAGCTAATGGTTAGACTTGCTCTTAGCACTCAGGGTCTCCAGATGCGAACAGGCTGACCTCTCAGCTGGCGGCTGTCTCACTGCTCCCCTAGGCTTTCCCGGCTGCCTTTGTATGTAGTTGTGGCTCCGTGGGTGATGACTGCTTCCTCTGCTTTCCTCCTGTCGCCACCTCACAGTGCAACCCAGCACACAACCATGAGTGCAGCGCACAGTGAGGAAGTTCCAGACCGTCCTACTTTGCTGCAAATCTTTGTTCCTTTTTGGCTGTGATGGTGGTTTTTGTTGCCTTTAAAAGCTGTCTGGGGCCAGCACTGAGGCACAGAGGGTTAAAGCCCTGACCTGCAGTGCCAGCTCCCGTATGGGCGCTGGTTAAGTCCCAGCTGCTCCGCTTCCGATCTGCCTCCCTGCTGATGCACCAGGGAAAGCAGCTAAGGATTGGGCCCCTGCACCCACATGGGAGACACGGGGAAAGGGAGCCTCCTGTCTCCTGGCTTCGGATCAGCTCAGCTCCAACCATTGCAGCTGTTTGGGGAGTTAACCAGTGGATGGAAGACCTCTCTCTCTCTCTGTGTCTACTTCTCTGTAACTCTGCCTTTAAAATAAATAAAAATAAATATTAAAAAAAAAAAAAGCTGTCTATGGGGCCGGCATTGCGGTGCAGCAGGTTAAGCTGCAGCCTACAACACCAGCATCCCATATGGGCACCAGTTCAAGTAAGTCCTGGGTCCACTTCCATTTCAGCTCCCTGCTAGTGGCCTGGGAAAGCAGTGAAAGATGGTGCAAGTGCGTGGGCCCCTGCTCCCATGTGGGAGACCCAGAAGAAGCTCCTGGCTTCTGGTTTGAACCTGGCCTACCCCCAGCTGTTGCAGCCATTCGAGGAGTGGGGTAGTGGATGCACGATGTCTCTCTCTGTCGGTCTCTCCTCTCTATAACTCTGCCTTTCAAATAAACCTTTAAAAACAATCAAAAGCCATCTGTACACCCTTCACTGGTGTCTCCTCAGTCCCAGGCCCTACGCGCTGTCTGGTCGCCACATCCAGATGCCTTCAGACTGCTCCGTGGGAGTCTCTGACCTGGCTGAGCCTGCGCTCGCGTCTGCTTCTCCATCTCCCACCCGTCCCTGTCTGCCTGCACTGTTGCTCTGCTTCCAGGGGAGACTCAGAGAGGCTTCGGGGCCCCGTGGCCGACACCGTGCGGCATCCTTGCCTCTGGCCCAGTATAGCCGGTGATGCTGGGCTGGCGGGAGCAGGTCCTAGCCCCTCCTTTCTCCTCTGCTTCCTGTCTCACTGCCTTTGCACTTGCTTCCCCTGTCTGCCACGTCAAAGTGTTTTGAATTTCAGAAGTGTTCCTCAGTTTCCAGTTGAGGTTTTTGGTTATCTTTTACTATTGACTTTTTTTAAAAAAAAGATTTATTTATTTATCTGAAAGTCCAAGTTACTCAGAGAGAGAATGAGAGGCAGAGAGCGAGCGAGCAAGGTCTTCCATCTATTGGTTCATTCCCCAATTGGCCACAACAGCTGGAGCTGCGCCAGTCCGAAGCCAGGAGCCAGGAGTATCTTCCAGGTTTCCTGTGCAGGTGCAGGGGCCCAAGGACTTGGGTCATCTTCCCCAGGCCATCGCAGAGAGCTGTATGGGAAGTGGAGCAGCTGGGACTTGAACCAGCATCCATATGGGATGCCAGCACTGCAGACAGCAGCTTTACCTGCTATGCCACAGTGCCGGCCCCCAACTTTTTTTTTTTTTTAAGATTTTTTAAATTTATTTATTTGAAAGTTAGAAATACAGAGAGAAGGAGAGGCAGATCTTCCATCACTGGTTCACTTCCCAGATGTGCACAACAGAAGGGCCTGGGCCAGGCTGAAGCCAGGAGCTTCGTCCGGGTCTCCTCTGTGGGTGCAGGGGCCCAAGCACTTGGACCATCCTCCACTGCTTTCCCAGGCACATTAGCAGGGAGCTGGGTCAGAAGTAGAGCAGCCGGGACTCGAATTAATGCCCATGTGGGATGCCAGTGCTGCCAGAGTCAGCTCACCTTGCTGCGCCACAGCACCAGCCTCTACTGGTGACTTTTTTTTTTTTAAAGATTGATTTATTTATTTGAAAGGCAGTTACACAGAGAGGAGAGGCAGAGAGAGAGAGAGAGAGAGAGGTTTTCCATCTGCTGGTTCACTCCCCAATTGGCCGAAACGGCCGGAGCTGTGCCGATCCGAAGCCAGGAGCCAAGAGTTTCTTCCGGGTCTCCCATGCGGGTGCAGGGACTCAAGGGCTGCTTTCCCAGGCCACAACAGAGAGCTGGATTGGAAGTGGAGCAGCCGGGTCTTGAACTGGTGCCCATGTGGGATGCCGGCGCTTCAGGCCAGGGCGTTACCTGCTGTGCCACAGTCCCGGCCCCTACTGTTGACATTTTAAAATGCCTTCTTTGGGGCCTTCATTGTACTGTTGCCACAGGAGGCCCAAACAGTTCAGTCTTTTTTTTTTTTTTTTTTTTTTTTTTTTTTGACAGGCAGAGTGGAGTGGATAGTGAGAGAGAGAGACAGAGAGAAAGGTCTTCCTTTGCCGTTGGGTCACCCTCCAATGGCCGCCACAGCTGGTGCGCTGTGGCCAGCGCACCGCGCTTATCTGAAGCCAGGAGCCAGGTGCTTCTCCTGGTCTCCCATGGGGTGCAGGGCCCAAGCACCTTGGGCCATCCTCCACTGCCTTCCCGGGCCACAGCAGAGAGCTGGCCTGGAAGAGGGGCGACCGGGACTAGAACCCGGTGTGCCAGCGCCGCTAGGTGGAGGATTAGCCTATTGAGCCGCGGCATCGGCCAACAGTTCAGTCTTTGAACTGTGTTGAAACCTGTGTCCTCCAGGGCCGTGTGCAGTGCAGGGACACGGTTCCCTCCTTCTGTCACCATGGCCAAGTTTCTGTGTGTGCTGTGTCAGGTCCCTGCTCCCACAGATTGGTCACCTTGTGGAGTTAGCAGCTGAGAGGCCCATTTAAATCTCCCATGTTGATTCCGACTAAAGCATCAAAAGGCTTGGTATTGGCTGCAGGTAACCTGAGTTTACAGTTTTGCTGTTTGGAAGTGATCCAGGAGTTGGTCTAAGCCGTGTCTCTCCTCCTGTCAGGGAAGCCCCTCCCAACCCTGGGTGGAACTTCCTGGGTGTTTTTTCCTCCTCTGACTTGGCAGCCATCCCGGTCTCTGCAGGTGCTGCTGCCACCCAGTCCCTCCGCTGATCTTTGCCTGAGCGTCTGCTCACTTTGTCTAGGTCTCACGGGGTGCAGTTTTCCTCCCGCTTCGTGTGGGCCTGCTCTGCTCCTCCTGTCTCCCTTCCTGGCTGACGTTCTGCTTTCTTTCACTCAAGGATGCTGTGGCCTCTGCTGCCATGCACACACGCACGCACCTGCCTCACCAGACCCTAGAGCTCGTGTCCGCTGCCCTTAGCGGTGCTGCTCTGCCCCAGCTGTGTCTGGCTGTTAGCATGCGAGGTCGTCCTCTTTGGAGCACCCCACGTCGGGCAGGGGCTGCCTCAGCCTGCTCCTGAAGCATGGCTCTGCCCAGCCCGTGAGAGCTCCTGCCGCCGGTGAGCAGCAGGGGCCGGGCCGCTCCACATGCCTGCGTTCAGTGTTCTGCAGCGTCACGACAGCACTTTAGCTTGGGATTTGGGGCTGGCATCTCCGTGGCTGACAGAATGACCAGACGTCCCCTCTTTTCCTCCAGTCTCAGCATCTGCTCCGTGGCGGCCCCAGAAGTGCCCTCTGCGCTCTCTCCAGCTTGCTCGCAAGGCTTTGTCCAGTCTGTGGGTCCCACTGACCACCGTGCTTTCTCACTTCCAGACATTCTCAGATCTGCTTGGCCTTTGTTGGCAGGGTCTTGCCAGGCCTCACAGCGTGGCTGTGCGTGGCTGTCTCCGCTGTTTTCTTTAGGTTACTTTTCTTCCTGGGAGCCACTTTTCTTTGCAGTCTGTCTGGGAAATTCTTGGTGGCCTGGGGTCAAGGTGGACGCTTTAGGCTGTGACTTGACGCGTTCATACCTGTGAGGTACTTTGGGTTTGGTCTCTACCCCTGCACCTGCTTCTCCCCTGCCCTGGCCCTGAGGTTAAAGGCAGCAAATGCCTTGTGGTGGACGGCTGTCCTGTCCGCAGCCCGTGTGCGCCTGTGCGGCCATGCCCTTGGGCACCAGAGCACCTCTGCTGCTGCTGCCTTTGCTTCAGTTTGCAACTGGCAGTTTTCACCTTTCCCGCGTTTGCTGTTGTGTTCAGAGGTCTTCTTAGCCTTGTGTTTAAGATGTTCTCATATTCTCGGTCGTCCAGTATGAACCTGAATCAGACCCTGAGCTGAGCAGCCCTTGGTTTTTTTCCTGTCCACTCTTTTTTTTTTTTTTTTTTAAGATTTTATTTTATTTATTTGAAAAAGAGTTACAGAGAGAGGTAGAAAGAGAGAGGTCTTCCAACCATTGGCTGCAACGCCCAGAGATGAGCTGATCCGAAGCCAGGTGCTTCCTCCAGGTCTCCCACGTGGGTGCAGGGGCCCGAGCACTTGGGTCATTCTCCTCTGCTTTCCCAGGCCACAGCAGAGAGCTGGATCGGAAGAGGGGCAGCCAGGACTAGAACCGGCGCCCATGTGGGATGCCAGCGCTTCAGGCCAGGGTGTTAACCCGCTGCGCCACAGCACCGGCCCCCTGTCTACTCTTCACACACAAGATCAGGGCACTTATCTTGCTGAACCCTGTTCACAATGTTTTATGTTACACTAAACTAGAAAATGCCTTGTGATTAATTTAAATTTTAATAACAAGAACTGCCATTTATTTAGAGTTCTATAATTTACAAATGCATCTTTCCCTCGGGATTATCTTGGACAAGACCTATTTTTGTCCCTGCTGTACAACTGAGAGCCAAGAGAGCTGCGGGGCTGTGTGAGGGCTGCACGGGGCCCTTGACAAGCCCGTGCAGATCTGCTGCTTTTCCCTGGAGCCTGGCAGTCCTCGTGGCACACACGTGAGCCACACCCTTGCGTGACACAGGACAGCAAGAGGAAGAAATGTTTGCAGAAAACTAATACGAAGTGGAAAAGCTTTTTTAAAATTTCTTTTATTTGATAGGCAGAATTACAAAGAGACAGGAAGAACCGGAAAGAGACATGTATTTCATCTGCTGCTCCACTCCCCACATGGCCACCACAGGCAGGACTGGGCTGATCTGAAGCCAGGAGACTGGAACTCCATCCGGGTCTCTCACATGGGTGCAGGAGCCCAAGCACTTGGGCCATCTCCCACTGCTTTCCCAGGTGCATTAGCAGGGAGCTGGATCGGAGTGGAGCAGCCGGGACTTGAACCAGCCCCCATGTGGGATCCCAGCATCGCAGTCAGGGGCTGAGCTTGCACCACGGCGCCAGCTTCCTCAAATAAATCTTAACCAGAAATAAAAATAGTCTTGAGCTGCGGCTCACCAGCCCAGGTGGGCAGTGGTCAGCTCAACAGCCCAGGCGGGCAGTGGTCAGCTCACTGCGGCCCAGGCGGGCAGTGGCCAGCTCACCGCGGCCCAGGCGGGCAGTGGTCAGCTCACCAGCCCAGGCAGGCAGTGGTCAGCTCACTGCGGCCCAGGCGGGCAGTGTTACTTCCCACCAAGGTGAGCGCTTACCCTCATGCTGGCGGGCACTCACCTTACAGCTGTTCCTGCATCTCGTGGTCGTTTCTCTTTTGTCAAGAACTGAGAAGGAAAAAGGAAATTCTCTTTGTGAACAGTCTTTGAATCTGCATTTGTTTCTTGGGTTTGTTTTGTCCAAGGTTGCAAAGCTTCCTCAAGTTGTGCAGCAGCAGAGCCCTGTGGCCGGCATCCAGCAGGTGGCCTCTGCCTCCCAGCAGGTAGGACGCGGGCACGCATGGCGGCGGGCGGGCGGGCGCCTGTGTCTCTGGGAGAGCTGAGGAGTCCCTGCTGACTTCACAAGACAGACAGCGTTAGCTTTGGGGGAAACAGGGCTGCTTCCCCCGTGGGAAAAGTCTGACCCCGCGTGCCCCCCATGGGGTGGACGGTGCCGGCAGGGCTCTGCTTTGTGCTCCCGCCCCCAGGCTGTGGGGCGCAGAAGTGATGAGCTTGAGGCAGGGCGGCGGCCCCACTCCCAGCATGCAGCCCCGCTGTTGCTGCGGTGTGGCTGGGTGCTGTGGTACAGTGTCACCCTGGCTCCCAGAGTTGAACGAAACACACGTGAAAGACAGTCCCTAACCTGAGTCCCACTCCGCAGTATCTAACTGCGCTGTGTGCAGAGGTCCTAGCGTGTCCGGCCCAGCCTTGGTGCTGTGCTGTCCTGGGCCAGGTTCTGGTTGACTCAAGTGCTCTCTGCTGTCTTGGCTCAGGCTTCTCCACAGACAGTGACGCTGACACAGGCGACGGCGGCAGGGCAGCAGGTGCAGATGATCCCTGCGGTGACGGCGACGGCCCAGGTGGTCCAGCAGAAGCTCATCCAGCAGCAGGTGGTGACCCCAGCGTCAGCCCCGCTTCAGACACCTGGTGGCCCGAGCCCCGCGCAGGTTCCGGCGGGCTCCGACAGCCCGAGTCAGCAACCCAAGCTGCACATGCGGGTCCCCGCGGTCAGGCTGAAGACGCCCACCAAGCCGCCGTGCCAGTAGTTGGAGGAGCGGGCGCTCGCGTCTGTGGGAGACGCTGCTGCGTGAGATGCGTGCGCCCCGGGAGCTGTCCCTGAGGCAGCGGCGGGGTCGCCCCTGGGAATTTGGCCCTACCTGGCCCGCCAGCCCGCCCGCCGGTCTCCCTGTTCACTTTCTCCTCCAGAGCAGCAGGCTGGGCTTTGAGAGCCACGAAGAGTCCCTGGCGGTGCCTGCCACGTCCGTCTGTGTCCGCCTCAGGGGCAGGCGTCTGCAGGCAGCCCTGCGGTCGCTCCCTGTCCCGAGGGAGAGCAGCCATGGCTTGCTCTGCTTTGACGCACACGCTGAGTCTGTGCACACGTGACACGCCCCAGCTTGCGTCCGAGGGAGATGCCCAGTGGGGCCTCCCCAGCCCCACAGCCAGTGTGATTTGTTTTCGTTTAAAGGAAACTCGGCGCGTTCATGACGGGCCCTGGCTTTGGATAAAGCTCTGGGTCCTGGGTGTGCCCAGCGTCCCCCAGCACACGGGCAGCCTCGTGCTCCTGTCCCAGTCGCACGCTGTGAGGTGCAGAGTGAGCCTCACAGGCTCCCCTGCTCCTCACTGGGACGAGGCCTGATGTGGGGCCTCGAGCTCCTCTGTGGGTAGCGTCCTGGGTGGAGCCACAGCGCAGCCCTTCCAGGCGTGCGGCGTCCTCGGTGGTGGCATCAGGCATTTGCCGCGGTGTCTCAGGCGTGGCTCTGCCAGCACAAGTGGAGAAGCGCCTGGGCTGGTGTGAAAGGGGTGCAGCGAGGGCGAGACAGGAGCACCTGCCTCTGTCTGGCGGACGTGGCGGCCTCCCTTCCTGGGCTCTCCCCAGGCGGACAGGGCCGCGTCCAGCTGAGCTTGTGCTGAGCCGTTCCCATTGGCGGTCCAGGAAGGTAGGTTCTGCTCAGCTTGTGGAGACCAAGTGTCAGGCCACACACACTTCAAGGTTCCCGACGTTCATCGCCTGGGCTCTGTCCTGACGTGCCCCTTGAGTGGCATTGAGGAGGCGCTGTCCTCTGGGGTCCCCTCACCCTGCGGCCTGTGTGCCACTCCCTGCGAGCTGGCTTTTGAGCCCTTGATGAGAAATTTGGACAGACGTGAAGATCAAATGCTGGAAGGAAGGGACTTAACGTTTCAGTGCGTGCAGCTTAGCACGGAACACCAGGACCCGCTCCCGTGGCCGGCCCTGCCCGTGCTGGTTTGGTCAGCACCGCCTGCACCGAGATGCCCGGCCAGCGTCCCCTGCTAAGTGCACTGGGGTCACTCCACGCAGCCAGTCCAGCGGCGGTCGTGTTGTCACCTCTAAACGCCTGGGTGTGTGGTTCCCGCCGCTCGCTGCAGGGCACTCCTCGTAGTCCAGTGTACTGTTTCTTGGCCTGTTGTAAAGGTTAACCTGCCCAGTTATTTAAGAAGTAAGTATGTGTTTGGGAAGTTGTCGTCCAGCCCTCCTCCCTGCAAGCCCACACCATCTGTGAATCGGAGGTTTTCAGAACGTGACACAAGGCGGCGGCCAGAGCACCGTCCAGATCTGGGTGGGCTCCGTGGGCAGCAGAGGCTTGGAGCCCTGGTGGAGGTCTGGGGCCTGAGGCAGGGGTTTGCCCTTGTGTGTTGTTGTTGTTTTTGTTAATTATTGTAACTAGATAGCTGTTGTGTTTTAATCTCTAAAGGAACAGGACTGAAACTGTAAATACTTTGTAAACATAAGAGTTTGTACTTGAATGGTAGGATTTTAAAAGGGCCCTGATATCTGCCAAACAAAAGGCATAATAAAATGACCTTTTTGTAGACTTTCTCATCTTGTCTTTTATAGAAAACTATTACTTAAGATGCCAGTTATGCTTTCATTTCGGGGCGGGGTGGACAGAGCAAGCAGTGTTGGAGTCACTTGCCCCGTGGTGTAGCGGGACCTGGGAGGAGCGGAGCACGGCAGGGGTTTGACCTCCGCAGCGAGCCCGCTCAGAGCTGCTCCCAGGCGAGGATGGTGCTCCCTGCCCCCCACTGCCCACTCCAGGGCCTGCTGGCCCCAGAGGGCTTCGTGCTGCCATCTCAGGGGAGCTGCAGGACTGTCTGCTGAAAACCTCTCACCAGGTGCCTGGGAGCCATTTTCTTCTCTTTGGCTTTTGGACTTCCTTGTGTTAAAAATCAAGTCTCTAATTATAAGGGAAACACATCTTTTATTTTATTTTTGACAGGCAGAGTGGACAGTGAGACAGAAAGGTCTTCCTTTACCGTTGGTTCACCCTCCAATGGCCGCTGTGACCGGCCCACCGCGCTGATCTGAAGCCAGGAGCCAGGTGCTTCTCCTGGTCTCCCATGGGGTGCAGGGCCCAAGCACTTGGGCCATCCTCCACTGCACTCCCAGGCCACAGCAGAGAGCTGGACTGGAAGAGGAGCAACCGGGACAGAATCCGGCACCCCGACCGGGACTAGAACCCGGGGTGCCGGTGCTGCAGGTGGAGGATTAGCCTAGTGAGCCGTGGCGCTGGCCGGGGGACACATTTTGATAGAAACATCTGGAGTCAGGAAGCAGCTGCAGCCCGTGGTTCACTTTGGTGTCTTCACTACAGAGGTGAGGTGAGGTGTGCAGGGGGCCGTGTGCTCCCCGGTGTGGAAGACGGGTAAGCAGCAGATACCACACCAGGCACTTTGCCAGGGCCTGCTCTTGGGAGCACAGGCTGTTCCCTGGCCCCCAGGGTGGGGGTGGGGGCTGGGACCTTGGATTCCCCTCCTAGGTGACATCTGTACAGCATTCAGCACATGGCCCCTGCACCTCATTGTTTCTCCCAAGGTCACACTGTGACCCCCACCGCAGAGCCACTGCTGCTGTCCCTGACGCTCATGTGCCCCAAAGCTGGCCGTGTGCACTCCAGGGGACCGGTGGGCTCATCCCAGTGGAGTCTGAGAAGCAGGTGTCTCCCAGCCTCTGACGTGGGGCAGCTGAGGACACAGCCCGTGGCGTGTCAGAGGCCAGGCTGAGCCCCAGGCTTCTCAGCCACCCGCATGCAGCTGAGGACAAGGAGAGAAGCGTCGACATTTCGCTCTAGTGCCTGCACTGTCTCTGATGGTCTGACCAGACGTCTGTTCTATGGAGACGCTGAAGAGCAGTGGACTAAGAAACCTGAACACGTGGCAGATGTCCTCTGAGGCCATCGGAAAGCCTCATCGGGCGAAGCTGTCCCACAGCAGCACGGTGAGGCTCAGCCAGAGACCCCGTTCCCAGGAGTGCGCCGGGGCAGCCCTCTGGGCGCTCAGCCCTTACGGCCCACGTATGCAGGGGGGTTTTCAGGTCTTGTCGATGTGACTACCACTTGGTGAGTCAACTGTTTCAGAAGGAAAAGGCATGGAATAGAGCAGGACTAGCTAGAAACAGCAGGGTTAGCACTCAGTGCACGTACGTCATCCAGTCAGTGTTTGTGATTCGAGGTCATCAGAAGCTAACGATGCTGTGTTTTTCCTTTACCCAATACATCAATATCCTCCAGTGAGACAATGATAAAACCAACCAGCTGTGCCTGGCAGGAGGCACAGCATCAGTCCTAGGACCTGCAGGAGCCCTTCTGGGAGTCGGGGACGTCCCTGGACGGCTGGGCTGTCTGATGGCCCCGACCAGGGAACAGGCTGCTCGGCCTGTGGCTCCCCTCCATCCCTCAGCTCAGAGCCTTTTGGGGAGGAGCAAGCGCTGACAGCAGGACCTCCCGTGGCCACGAGCCACGTCCTGTGTGCCCCCAGCCTAGCTGTCACGGAAGCAGCTGGCCCTAAGATCACCGTGGACTGGGCCCCGCCCCGATGTGGAGAGCTCAGGTCTGGCACTGCTACCAGCCCTGGCTCGCTGGGTTGCTCTCCTCCGTTGGACCTTGCTTCTGAGGCCCTGTCTCCTCCTCTGTTGTTGCTTTTTCAGCAAACAAGGCCTTTTTTTTTTTTTTTTTAAAGAAATTTTGAAAGGCAGTGAGAGTGGCTGAAACCCCTAGATTCACTCCCCAAATGACCTACAGCCAGGGCGAGGCTAGGCCCAAGCCAGGAGCCCGGATCTCCATCCTGCTCCCCACGAGCTTGGGCCTTCCACTGCCTTCCCAGGGAGCTGGGTGAGCAGCAGAGCAGCCAGGGTGTAAACTGGCACTCGCAATACGGGATGTTGGTGTCCCTGGCACCACAGCCCCAGGGCCCAGCCTTACAGTGTGCACAGGTGAAGGGCATCGGGAGCCGGGAACTTAAACTGCAGCCCCCCAGCCCTGGCAGGAAGGAACGCAGCCCCTTGCTGGGACCCGCCACACCAGGCCTCAGCAGTTCCCACCAGCACGAGCCCCAGGCGTCGAGGGAAGACACCATGAATCTTGGAGGCAGGAGACCGAGTACACAACACACAGTGCAGTCGCCGTGTCTGGACAAGCGGGAGACGAGTGAAAAGGCACAGAGCAGCCAGAGCGGCTCAGACACAAGCAAACGAAATGAGGCAAACAGAGCTCCTGAGACAGAAAATGCAGCAATTCAGGTTCAAAATGTAACTCAAGGAAGCCCAGGCCCTACTCGAACTGCACACAAAAAATGCACGTAGAGTGGGTCAGAGATCCCAATTAAAACCCCAAATTTAAAAACAGATCTTTGTGCCATCAAAAGTACAGTCCCTAAGAGAAGCTGGCAGGCTGTACTCTGACATTTGCAGGGGCCAGTGCCATCTCATGGCGGGTACAGCTGCCACCTGTGACACCGGCATCCCATATGGGCGCCGGTTCAAGTCCCGACTGCTGCACTTCCCATCCAGCTCCCTGCTGATGGCCTGAGTGCTTGGGCCACGGCACCCACGTGGGGGACCCAGAAGAAGCTCCTGGCTCCTGGCTTTGGCCTGGTCTAGCCCTCAACCATTGTGGCCTTTTGGGGAGTGGACCAGAAGATGGGAAATGTCTTTCCCTCTTTCAAATAAATGAATTCTTTAAAAAAAATTTTTAAGCGCAGCCAAAATGGTCCCTTTTCAGTGCTCTGCACACGAGCCGTGTCTGGCCTAGATTCCTCACCCTCAAGTGGAGGACTCCTCGGTAAACAGCCACGTGAGTGAACGTGCTGGCAGCCAGAGGCCACCCCAGGCCACCCCCACGACCAGCCAAGAACGTGACAAGCTCCGTGCCCCTGTCCTGGGGGACTCTTCCATTTCCCTTTATTTCTGGGAGGACCAATCTGACCCAGGGGACTGGGGCTGCAGGCTGGCACCCAAGCCCAGGCCCGAGCTGCTGCTTCACAGAGGAGACGGTGTGCAGGGGGGGTGGGGCCTTCCACCCGGCACATGTCCACGGAGATGAAGACGCTGACCCGTGCCAGCAGGAGGCTCCCTCCACACCTCGGAGGCCCTGGCCTAGGTGGCCTTCTGCTTTTGCTCTTCCTATGGAAGGAGAAGAGGGTGTGGCACCGTGCCGCCCACCGCCGCCCCACTCCCAGGGCCGCTAACCCAGGGCCGTGAGGCCCCATCATCCCGCAGGCACAGGCTCGGAGCTGAATGTATCCACACCCTTGCCTCCCCGTCCTCGACAGAGACCACCAGGGCCTCAGCCTCACCCTGACGGTCTTCTCCAGCTGGGACAAGGCTGCCTCGTACCGAGGGACCAGCGGCTGCAGGAGCTCGCTGGGGGTCTCATGCCGCTGCAGCCTGGGGGCGCCAGCTTCCTCCAACATCTGGAGGAACCGCCTCTCCTGCAGAGCAGCCCAGTGTGAGTGGGAGGGGCCGCAGGAGCAGCGCGCCCCCTCCACGCCTCACGAGGGCCACACGGCATCACCTGCACTTTGAGGAGCAACGTGAAGGCCTGTCCAGTTCTCCCGGCCCGAGCTGTTCTCCCGACACTGAAGGCAAACAGCGCGTCAGCAGTGCCCTCCCACCCTGGGGTCCCACAGCCGGGGCTCCTCACCCCTCCCCACCCACAACAAGGGTCCCACCAGCCCTCACCGGTGCACGTAGGTCCTCAGGTACTGGGGCGCGTCGTAGTTGACCACCAGCTCCACGCCCTGCACGTCAATGCCTCGGGCAGCAGCGTCCGTGCTCACCAGGCTGCGGAACAGGGGTGCTCCCTGAAGCCCCCCGCGGGCCCACTTCCAGCAGAGGTTGGCGCCCCGCCCCGCCCCGACTCACAGCTGGATCTTCCCCTGCTGGAACCGCTTCAGGATGCCCCTCCGCTGGCCAGGCCCGCAGCGGGAGGAAAACTCGGCCACGCTCACACCGCCGAAAGCTTGCACCAGCAGGAAGAGCCTGGGCGGAGAAGACGCGGTAGGCGGTGCCGGCGCGAGCCCGCCCGCCGGCCCTCCGGGCTGGCCTCACCTGTGGGAGTTCTCTCTCGAGTTGGTGAAGCAGAGGACCCTGGAGAACTTCAGCTCCAGGATCAGGTGCAGCACAACCAGCGGCTTAGACCGGAGGCGGCAGGGCACGTAGTGGTGCTGCGGGCACAACAGGGTTGGCGAGCGCCCCGGGCCTGGGTGCCCGGCCCCCTGCGCCCGCGCCCACTCACCGTGAGCCCTGCGGGGAAGTCATACTTCCCTGCCAAGCCCCCACGCTCCTCCCCGTCTCGCGAGCCCCCGTGCGCCTGTCCTGACGAGAAGAGCCGGGGCTGGTGGAGGCCGAGCCGCTGCAGCCTCTCAGGGTCCTGGGTCAGGGTGGCGGAGAAGAGCAGCTTCTGCAGAGGCACCTGGGGGCGGCAGGTGCTGGGGGGGGAGGGGAGGGGAGCGCTGGAGCCCTGCCCAGGACGGGCTCCCCCGGCCGCACCGCACACACACTGCGTCCCAGGTCTGGGCGTGGGCGCTGAGCACTGGGCGGGAGCCACGGCGCGCCCGCTCCGCGGCACGGCTCAGTACCTGGCAGCCGTCACAGCCGGGGGCTGGCTCCTCTGCAGCACAGAACAGAGGTCCCCGGGGCCCTCCCTCTGGAAGGCCGCCGCGACCACCCGCGGCAGCCAGGACTGGTGCATGCTGTCCACCATGCGGTCAGCCTCGTCGATGACCTGCAGGGGACAGGAAGCCCTGGCTGGGTGAGGCGAGGCTCCCTGCTGAGGCCAGCCCTCGGCCCGGGCACAGGCCCCAGCGCGGGGACGCACCAGGAAGCGGAGCTGCTGGAGGTGGAATCCCGGCGTCTGGTCGATGTGGTCCACCAGGCGGCCAGGGGTGGCCACCACGATGTCCGCAAGGCAGCGGTAGCCATCCGCCCTACAACGCAGGCCGCGGCTCAGCAGGAGGCGCCACCTCGCTCCCACAGCGCCAACCCTCCCTCGGCAGGGAAACTGGCAGCCGCAGCGACCTGCTCCCCGCGGGCCAGGCGGCGGGAACACAGCAGCACCTACGTCCTCTGCACGAGGCCCTCCTGCTCCTTGGCCAGTGACCTCTGTCCCGTGACGAGAGCGACCCGCAGGGGCGTGGCGTCCGTGTAGATGTTGAACACTTTGCTCACCTGGGGAGCAGCCCGCGGTTAGCCGGGAAGCGGCTCTGACCTCGGCCAAGGACCGCCGGAGCCGCCTCAGCCGGCCAGGGCCCAGCCGACCTCTGGGCACGGGGCCCACGCACCTGCTGGGCCAGTTCCTTGGTGGGCAGCACAACCAGGGCGCGGATCTGACAGACTACTCGATGCAACAGGGCCTGCGCGCCAGAGAGCAAGGACAGCCCACGTCAGCCGAGAACTCCCGCCCCACCCAGCTCCAGCCGCAGGGAGGGGCCCTGACACGCACCTGCACCACAGGGATGACGAAGGCCAGGGTCTTCCCACTGCCCGTGGGGGCGGAGACACAGAGGTCACGCGGCTGGTAGCCACCTCTGCCCACCAGGAAGCCACTGGCGGCGCTCTCCAGGACCACAGGGATCACGGCCGCCTGGACTGCACAGGGAGGGAGGCGTGCCAGGCGCGTTCCCGCCGCGAGCAGCGCCTCCCCCTGCACCCAACGGGCTCGCGGGGGCCGGAGGGGCCGCCTGGACTGCACGGGGAGGGAGGGGTGCCAGGCGCGTTCCAGGCGCGTTCCAGGCGCGTTCCAGGCGCGTTCCCGCCGCGAGCAGCGCCTCCCCCCACCGCGCCCGCTGGGCCCCGCACCTGGGAAGTAGGCGGAGATGCCCTGCGCCCGCAGCTGCCTCTGCAGGTCGGGGTGCACCTCGGGGACGTCCTCCAGGGGGGTGAGATTCCCGGAGACGTCTTTCCTGACGCAGCTGGGCTCAGCCAACCAGCCCGGCAGGAACGGCTGCACCTGCGGCGGCGGAGGGACGACCGGATGGCCCCGGAGCAAGCAGCCGCCACGGGCTCCCGCCCCGTGGGCTCTTACCACGCAGCCCTGGGCGCGACGAGAGGCGGCACGTCTGCGGCTGCCACGGGTGGAGGCGCCGTCGCCCCTGCCCCGCCGCGGCTCACCTT